AGGTGATGGAATTCCAGCTAAGCTATTTCAACTCCTAAAAGATGATGCTCAATATACCATCAAATTTGGAAAACTCAGCAGTGGCCACAGGACTGGAAAAGGTCANTTGGAGAATACTCTTGAGAGACCCTTGGACTGCAAGATCAAACCAGTCAATTGTAAAGGAAATCAGTCCTGAGTATTCATCGAAGGACTGATGCTGAAGCTGAAGCTCCAATACTTTGGCCACCTGATGTGAAGAAGGGACTCATTGGAAAAGATCCTGATGCTGGGGCAGACTGGAGGCACTAGAAGGGAACGGCAGAGGATGAGATGGTTGGATGGCATCACCAACTTGATGGACATGAGTTTGAGCAAGCTCCAGAAGTCAGTGATGGACAGGGAAGCCTGGTGTGCTGCATGCAGTCCAAGGGGTCACAAAGAGTCAGACATGACCGAGCAACTGAACTGACTGAGAATGTATTTCAGGCTTAGAGTTAGGATGGCTTTTATTATTTATCTAGACATATATTTCGCCTAAAATATTAGGCAAAAAATGCTAAATATGCAGCATTTTTACTTTAAGCACAAAATTTTTCCCCTTAAGTTTCATGGAGACACAAATATCTGCTTAATCATATTTATATTAAATGTGGCTTAGCAAATACTTTTTTAAAAGTTGAGAAGTTAAAGTAAAATTTTATTCTAATGGTAGTTACAGAAGTACAGTTATTTTAAAAACACATGCAATATAAGAATCCAAGTGTATACAACTTACACGTGCTTTTAAAGAACAAATTTTCCCTTTGGAAATACTGCCACCATCACCAACCACTCTGAAAGATAAAACATGAGAAAAGGTCATAAGATAGCCCATTGGTAATAATTCTGTTAGATAATAAGGTTAACTTCTATTTGTAGAGTAAAGCTACTTATATGTCAAGAGAGGCAGACACAAAAGGCAACAAAGAAGCCATTCTTAACCTGCACCCCCCTTACCTATCTCCCATCAGGCTGAAAAAGCAAGGTACTTATTTCCCTGTCTTTGTCTGCAGTTTGGGCTGGCCATGAAATCTGGTTCTGGGTAATGAGGTAAAAAGGAGTTATTCTGGGAAGCTTTCTGATAAAAATGACCAGATGTAGCAGGTCCTTTTTCTTATTTTGAACATGAACATGGATGGGATTCCTGGCAGTGGAAACTGTCATTTTATAGTTATAAGTAAAAAAACATGAGGTCAAAAAACCAACACATGAAACAATATGACAGTATCTTGGTCTTTAGGGCAATTCTCCAGACAGAGATCATACGATTTCCAGTTTTCTTTGAATGTGACATAACTGGATACATCTACTGTTTAAGCCACCATTAGTGAGGCTTCCTGTTGCAGCCAAACACACATCAACTAACTATCAGTTATATACTGTTGAGTATTTAAGGCTGTTTCTAGAATTTCATGTTGAAGATAAGTCACCAAAATAACTAAATCTGTGACCACAAACAGTGTACGGGTCAACATAGTTTACAAGACAGAATATACGAAGGAAAGCTGCCTTGAGTATAGATGATGCCATAGGTCAGGTTTGATAAGATATAGTCCTCAGGCCAGTCCTGATGAGCTACTTATGAAAACAAGTTTTACTGGAATAAAGTGACATCATTTGTTTATATACTATCTATAACTGCATTCATGCTATCAGAGCAGACTAAATGAGATGTGGCATGGGCTTTATGGTCTGCAAAACCTAAAATATTTACCATCTGGTCCTTTATAGGAAAGGCTTGCTTACCCTTGGTAGAGGTATATTCCTATCATGCTATTAAAAAGGTATGACAATTTCCTCAAATAGATAAAGAAGTATATAAAAAGATGTGGTCCTATTCTTGAAAAAGAATTTTCGTTCTATTTTGTGGAATAGATTCTGCATGTATTCATAGCGCATGGAAAGAAGAGCAAGATGCCAAGGCCCTTTTTTCAAACTTGATACTATGGAAATAAGAATGCTCTCAGGTTAAACTATAAAGCAAACCAAGGAGATGAGAATATAGTTATGTAAAATCACCTTATTAAGAAAGAATGCCTTCCAGGCTGAGTCTCAACTATGTAACAATGAAAGGAATACAACAGAGGGAATGGGAGTACAAATTTAGTTAGAATACTACCTAAAAGGAAGTACCGCAAAGGCAAATTTGAGTCTCTTAATAGTATTTAAGGAAGAAGATATTACAGTGTACAAACAAGAGGAAACCTAGTCTATGTGACAGATGTCTCCATATTAATAAAGATAAATAACACCAGTCATTAAGTTAAGTAATATATCTAACTTACTTTGGTCTGATTTCATGGTCACCAAGTGACCTTCTACTACTTAGATTTCCTGATAGATTTCTTACAGAACAGAATGTGCCTTTGAAAGATAATAAGTATCTAGTCTTGAGTTATAGTTCCTGTTGTCTATGACTACATTGACTTTCTGCTTTTTAATCTCCCATCTTAGTTTGGTTTTCTGCCTGTACTGGAGAGCACTGGACTCATTCTCAAGGTGTCAATGAAGTTTCCGAGTTTGCAAGCCTGAGGATCAAAATCCGAAATTCACCAAAAAGTGGGGCCTACCTAGCCTTCTCTGGGAGATAACTGCCTCAGATATCCAACCAACTAATTCAAAGTAGAACTGAAATTTTTATTAGGTTAAAACTCATATAAACCATTTATTTTTCAGTTCAAGTCCAGCAGGTTTAGTTTCATTAAGCATTTTGAGAATGCATGAACTTCATGACTTAATATTAAACGCTTAGAAAAAATACTCTGAACAAAATATTACTCTTTCAGGTAAAAGATGTATACTTACATATTTGTGGTTGTTGTTTAGTCACCAAGTCGTGTCCAACTCTTTTGCAATCCCATGGACTGTAGCCACCAGGCTCCTCTGTCCACGGGATTTCCCAGACAAGAATACTGGAGTGGGTTGCCATTTCCAGGGAATCTTCCTGACCCAGGAATACAACCAGCGTCTCCTGCATTGAGTTCTTTACCACTGAGCTACCTGGGAAGCTCTATATTTATATATACCCTTTATTAAATTAACAAAACTAATCTGACAACATCTGCTTTGTTTCTTTTTAGCACATTCTATTTGTAGAGCAAATACTCCTGGCCACAAGTAATATCACAGGAATGTAAACAGTATAGTTTTCTTTCAAAAGTCAGCCATTATTGAATGCATTAACAAGATACTCTCAGGGAAATGTTCAGCATTCCTTTTAGTGAAACTTTATCTCAAGGTCAAGTTAAAAGAACACACATTAAAGGTTCTTTTTATTTTTTGATATAAAGGAATAAAAGGAAACGTAGTCTTACTCTGCTGAATGATATGAGAATATTAATGACAAAAGAATACACTTTCAATAATGAGAAAAACAAACAAAAAGATGGACAACTTCTTTACAGCTATCAACAGTCACTGTCCTTTCAAAAATTTTACCACAAACTGCTGACATAAAAATAATCATTATGCTATGTGATAAACTTTAACCCCATCTTACCTGGTATCCACATTTCTAAAGAAGCTGCTTATTGCCTCATCATAAATCCCTTTCTAAAAAGAAAAAATACATGTATTGGTGTTTGATTACATTTAGCCTCTTTGCCAAATTAAGTCTTTTTAATTTAAGGATTATTAATTTAATTATCCCACAATACTTTAAAGGCTGGCATACAGCTACAATAAAAAAAGCAAATAATCATAAAATGCTTAGATTCATTCTTCCAATCTAGAGAAGAGGAAATATCGTGAGATCTACGGATTAAATTCAGCTGGCGGTAGTGAAGAATGATGTCCTCGCAGAATTGTAGAACAGGTGCATCAATTGAAAGGTTTCCTTAGATTCTTAGCAATCATTTAAAAAACTAACTGGTTAAATTAAGGATTACAGTACCACACACCATTACCTACTAAGGTAGACTGGCTGCTGCAGTCCATGGGGTCACAGAGTCGGACATGACTTAGCAACTGAACAACAACTTTCACATATGCTGTATCATTGCTCCTCACAAGAGCCCTGACAAAGAGGTCTCTGGCCAGTGTTCCTTAAGGCTGTTGTGTGTCTAACGCCAACTTAAATTTGTCCTTAATGTTTGTCCATAAGTTTGAGTCACTTTGCTGGGCAGAAGAAATAACCACAACATTGTAAATCAACCATGTTGTTCTTTTAGTTGCTAAGTCGTGTCCCACTCTTTTGCGACCTCACGGACTGTCGCCCGCCAGACTCCCCTGTCCACGGGATTCCTCGGGTCTCTTACATCTGCATTGGCAGGTGGGTTCTTTACCACTAGCGCCACCTGGGAACCACCAACAATACTGGAGGGTGTTGCCATTTCCTACTCCAGGTAATCTTCCTGACCCAGGGATTTAACCCCCGTCTCCTGCATTGACAGGCGGATTCTTCACTGCTAAGCCACCAAGGAAGCCCCCAAATCAACTGTACTTCAATAAAATTTAAAAACAAAAACAAAAAGCAGTTTGCTCTCTACCAAGAAGACCTCATATAAAAATACTGACCAGACAAGAGCTCACAGAGAGTGATTCTTGCTTATTTTTTGGAAGAGCCTCAGAGACAGATCTGGGGTGCGGGTGGGGAATTAGGGTTAGCTGTACCTTGTTGACGGCGGCGTGCTCTCTTAGCGCCAGATCCCAGAAGCAGCAGCCGATCTGGTTTCCGCACTGGCCCACTGTGCCCAGGAAGGAAAGAGAACAGACATTAGGCGGGAAAAGGGCCCTCGCCTCGGCGGCGAATGGGTCCCCATCCTCCCAAGGAGGCCTACCCTGTACGACCACCGACTGGGTCATGCTTCGGCGCGGCCAGCCCACAGTACCCAAGCCCGCGCCGGCCTCCGTATTCCGCGCCCACCAACGGGCGCTCTCCAAGGGGGCGGGGCGGCCGTAAGTCACTCCGCTGCCGCAAGTCGCCGCCGTCGCTCCGCTCCTCTCTAGGTTCAGATTAAGATTTTCCGTCAGAAGGCCGCGCAAGTGCACTTGCGCCTCGCCGTTACCATAGCGACGGGGCCTCCGGACCGCGGATCCTCGCTGCCTTGTCAACATCTCTGAGCGTCGGCAGCTCCGGAGGCCGTGGTAACTGGCGGGTAACTAGGCTTTGGAGTGGGATTTTTAAAACACGTGTCTTTAAAGCTGTCTTGATCTGTCAGAGGTTTAGTCTTCGTTCACAGTCTTAATGCTCGAGTCAGTGGGTCAAATTCCGTTTATTCCGATTACTTGAGACGCTGTGTTACTTTATCTATTCGACAAGCCCTTTGTTCTGATAGAAAACAGACTGTGGATGAGCACAAAGAAACCCCAGGCCGACAGACTTGTCAGGGTACTGCCGAAACTAGGTGATTATACCCTCTGACTCAAATGGTGCTTCAGAGACCTAAGCTGTGTATGTTGAAGCCGTATGCTCTCAACATTAACTTCTAGGCCTTCTGGGAGATTTAAAAGAAATTAAAACATAGACCAGCTCCAAGAAGCTTGCAGTCTAATTGTAGATACACACGAAATACTAAAAAAAAAAAAAATGTGACTATGTTGTGTAGCGCTGAGTATAAGTGTAATAGGATTCAGTGGGTGAGGATATAAACAAGTAAATAGAAGGTGGAGAGCTGCTGTTCAGATGATCTCAACTTGCTTCTCCTAGGTTTGGCTAGGATTAGCATCCAAGGCCTCCACTTACTGACATTCTGTCTTCCAACCTCTTCACCTAGCCTTCAAGTTCATTAGCAAATCAGCTGCTTTCTAGGTTATCACAGAGTTTTCCAAAGATTTTTTCCAATGGATTTGCCACTGAATAACTTAGATAACTACCCTTATCCTTAAAGTTCCCAGGAATGATTTTCTTGATACTTGCTGCTTGACTGCTATGCTAGTGACTTACATTTTATGTTTTTATTATGGTAGGACCTAAGTCTGTACAAGTCGGGATAAAACTAGTCACATGGGCTCCAAGTAATCATAAGGAGGGCAGGAATTATACTTTCTGGGAAACAGAAAGCCAGAAATACTTGATGAACAACATTGGGAAGTATACTACAAAGCACTCGCAAACATGACACCAAAACACAGTATTTGTGGCAGGCAGGGGAAAAAAAAAGGAAAATGACTTTGAATGGAAATGTAGACCTACTCCAAGGGATAAAGAACACAGAAAATGATATATATGTGGGTAGATACAAAATACTTCTCTTGAAAAATTTCTTGAAGAGATGATTGCTTAAAGATAGCAGCAGAAGTATATATAACAACAAAGTAATGCAGAATGTGAGAGGGGAAATAGAATATACTTCTGTAATTTTCTTGCATTAAAAGTGGTATAATGTTATTGAAGGCATGCTGAAATGTTAAGATGTATACCTTAAACCTTAAAGTAATCCAAGGCAACATTCAAGGTTGTATAGCAATAAACCAATAAAGGAGATAAAATAGATTCATAAAATATATTCAGTTGTTTGTTTCAAAAGTACAGAATAAGAACAAAAGGGGAATAAGAAATAGATGGCACAAATAGAATATAAATAGCAAGAAGGCAGATTTACGTTCAGTCATATCTATCACATTGCAGATACATGCATGCTCAGTCACAGTCTGTCCGACTCTGCAACCCCATGGGCTGTAGCCCACCAGGCTCCTCCATCCATGTAACTTTCTAGGCAAGAATACTGGAGTGGGTTGCCATTTCCTACTCCAAGATCATATTACATATAAATAATCAAAACACTCTAATTATAGTCAGAGATCATTGGGGTAGATTTTTAAAAGCAAGACTTAACTGTATACTGGTTATAAGAAAGCTACATTGGATATAAAGGTTAAAACTAAAACTGTAGGAAAAGATAAATTATACTAATACTAATGAGTAGAAAGTAGCTATGTAAATTTTAGAGTAGATTTCAGAGCAGAGAATATTACTAGGGGTAAAGAAAGATAAGAATAAAAATTTATCCAGAGTACATAATACTACTAAAAATTTATGAGCCTAGAGAGTTTGAAAGTATGTGAAGCAAAAATTGGCAGAATAGAAAAGAGAAACATGTTCATAATTATAGTTGGATATTTCAATATCCTTATTTCAATAATTGATAAACTAGTATACAAAAAATAAGAACATAGAAGACTTGAAAAACTGTCAATCATCTAATTACATGTATAGAACACGTCACCCAACAGCAACAGGATACACATTCTTCTCAAGTGTACACAGAACATTTACCAGATAGTCCATATTCTGGCCATAAACAGGTCTCAGTAAATTTAAAGGAATTAAAATAATACAAAGAATGTTCTCTGATAACAATGGAATCAAGAAACCAGTAACAGATATTAATAACTAGAATATTCCCAGATATTTGAAAACAAAATATCACTGTTCTAAAGGGCTTCTCTGGTACTTCAGATGGTAAAGAATCTGCCTGCAATGCAGGAGACCCAGGTTTGATCCGTGGGTTGAGAAGATCTCACGGAAGATCCCCTGGAGAAGGAAATGGCAACCCACTCCAGTATTCTTCCCTGGAGAATTCTATAGACAGAGAAGGCCGGTGGACTATGCTTCATGGGGTCACAAGGAGTCTGACAAGACTATGTCTATCACTAACAAATAACCTGTAGGTGAAAGAAGAAACCAAAAAGAAAAAGTTTAACTGAAGGAAATGAAAATAGAAAATTTCAAAATTTGTGTAATGAAGGTAAAGCAGTGCTTTGATTGAGATTTATAGAATTAAATGCTTATGTTAATAAAATAGGTATCAAATCAATGATCTACGCTTCTATTTTAAGAAACTAGACAAACAAAAACAAACCCAAAGTGAGCAGTAAAAAGGAATTGCCAAAGACTGGAGTTTAACTCAAATAAATAGCAGAAAATTTAATAGAGAAAAATCGCTGAAACCTAAATATATTTTCCAGGAGATTAAAATTCTTTTGTGGACTCCCTTGCTCATAAGATAAATTCTAAAATCTTTAACTGGCTTCATGTTCCTGCTTGATTTAACCACTATTTAACTCTTTCTGACCTGGTTTCTTTTTTCTGTTTTTTAGATTTTCTATTTTCCTTGCTGTTGGCACATGACCTTTGTACATGCTGTTTCCTCTGTTTGCCCCCTTCCCAGATGTTTCAGTGTCTTTGCTTCCCACTCATTTCCACCTAGTTAATGCCTGCTCATCCTCTATATTTTGTCCTAGTCTAGTGTACTCTCCCCTAACCTGTAAACTCCACTAGGACAGACACTGTATTTGATTTGCTCACCATTTTATCTTTAGTACTTAACACATGCGTGGCTCATGGTGGATTATCAGCAAATACATATTTTTTGTATGAATGAGGTAATTCTACTAATGGATCTTTTTGCTTAGGATGTGACCAATTTAAACATTACTCTTTTTCTGTATCTCATGAATCAATATCCTGAAGATTGAAAGATCACTTATTCTTGGGCTTAGGAGAATTGAGAGAGAGTATTTAGAGGTTTCACCATTTTTTCGCTGTTGATAGTTTGCATCCATTTCTCTGTGAATATACTCTGATTTATGTACTCGTGCTGGATAGTTTCATCATTAAGACTACTTTTTGGTTTGGTTTGTTGTATCATCCATATTAAAGAAGAAACTTGGCACAACTTGTGCCAAATAAACTAGTTTAAAATGATAAATTGGGGGAATTTAAGAACATTTCACTCACAAATACCTTATTTTGCAGTTTAAAGGTAGTGTCAATATGTCAGTGGTTGAAAAGTGAAATCAATGGCTCAACACTCTGATTTTAAGAATTATGCAAAAAGATAAGAGAACTTGTGTTGATTGAATTTTTGTATCCCAGGCATTAGCTTTTTATTCCTCAAAACAACTCCGTGATGTAGAATTAGTACCATTTTACAAGCTTAGTGATTTGCTCAAAGTCTCAGAGCTAACATGGTGTTCAAATTTAACCTAATTCTGATGCTAAAAGCCACGAGTTCCACACTGCCACCTCCATAAATAATTCAAACTGTTAAAAAACATTTTGCCATCCTAAGGACCAAATGTTTGGTCCCAGCAATATATCAGCTAATAATGGCTAGCAATTAATCAGTTTATTTGACCATGACAGTTAAATGGTTTCTCTGAGCTAAAATTGTGATAAACTCTTCACAAATAGCACCCTAGTTAGACAGAGAAGGTAGAATTAAGGTTTTGTCTAATGTCAACTTAATTATGTAAAATGCCATTTTCCTACTATATAAAGCATATGAAAACAGAACAGTGGGAACTTAGCATAAAATGTAGGTAGTAAAAAGACTTTCATTAAATGTGCAAAATGCTCACTAGCATTTAATAGTTCAGTCATTGCTAAGAAAACTGAAAAAAATTGATTAGCTGAAAAGTAATTTTCTGGCTTAAGAGTTAAACTTAAGTATTACACTTAGTACGGTAAGCTGTTGATACAGAGATTGGGAGAGAGAGGTTGGTCCAGAAGATAAGTTTCAGCTTGATGCTGGCATTACAAATTGAGACATTTTATTCTCTAGCAGGTAGGAAACTGTATGAAGGAATGTCTGCTGTCATAATTTCTGGGTGTCACTGGGCTCTCTGATCATCATTCATTTGGTAAAGATGGTATGAACAGAGGAGAATCTCGGAGTTCAGGGAACAGGAGAGGACCGTGTAAGATGTGTTCTCCCTTTCTCAATTGTCATTATTCCTGTCATTTAGGAATTTCAAGGCTCCTTTGAGGAAACAATAAATAAGAGGTAGCCCAGGCATTAAAGAGAGGTGGTAGAAAGTCCTGCACAGGAAGAACTAGAGAGAAATTTGTAAAAGTGCAGTTTGAGGCCTTTTCAGTGGGATGAGGAATAGGTAGATTGAATTAACCTGGGTTATTAATTAAGGGAAAGCCTGGGAGACAAAGATAATGAGAAAAATAGCATATGAAGTGAGAAGAATCTCATGTGATTTTGTGCAGATTAGATGGTTGATTTAAAATAGAGATGCAGCATTCATAGATTAAAATATTTAATATTACTAGAAAACAAGGTCGTGACAGCAAGAATAAAACCTTCATATATACTTTAGAGACAATTTTTCGCTGAGTTTTAGCTTGTGCTAGAGCTGTGAATTGTGATATTTTATTTGTTAGCAGGTAGGAAACTATGTGAAAGAATCTTCTGATGTCACAGTTTCTGGGTGTTACTGGAACATTTGATCATCATTCCTTTGGCAGTTCCAGCCTTCCCTGGAAGGTCAGTAGAAGCAATTGATTTATTCACCTCTAAGGAATCAGACTGGGCCTATTTCGGTAAGTCTATATACCAAATTAGCTGAAACTTAATACTTACATACAATAGTTAAACTAAGCTATAGATTTTTACTGTGGTTTTACTAACTTGTCATTGAATGTGACATTTTTTCCCCTTAATAATTGATACACAGTCTATAAAAACTACTATAATATTCAAATTCCAAAGCTTTCATAACTTAGTTTTATTATTACCATCATAAATACTTATTAGGCATAGATTACTGCACTAGGCATAAGAAACAGTTATGAGATAGTTTTCACTTTTCCGGTCCTTCGCTGAAGACATGTGAATTTATACAAGATAGAGCTACTATGCTCAGATGGTAAAGAGTCTGCCTGTAATACAGGAGATGGATCTTCTGGAGAAGGGAATAGCAACCCACTCTAACACTACTATCTGGAGAACCCTATAAACGGGAGCCTGGGAGACTACAGTCCATGGGGTGGCAGTGTGTCGGAGACGACTGAGTGACTAACATTTTCACTTTTACTTTCCCAGGCACTGTTCTAGGTATTAAGGATTTAATCCATGGTGACAAAGACATAGAATGAGAGTGGGGTGGGGGGGGACAATAATTAAGGAAAAACGTTTACAGAATTTTAGAGCACTGGTTCTTAACAGGTGGAGATTTTTCTCCCCTTTTCTACCAAGAGACATTTGGCAATGTCTGAAGACATTTTTGACTGTCACAGGTTTGGGGCTAGGGTGCTATTGGTGTGTAAGTAAATGGAGGCCTTGGATGCTACAGAACTTCCCACAAGGCACAGGACAGCCTCTTCCCTCCTCAACAAAAAATTAAGTGATCCTAAATGTCAGTAGTGTTGCAGTTGAGAAATCCTGAATCAGAGTGATGATAACTGTTACAAAGTAGTAATGGAGTGCTAAGAAAACATATAATGGAGGGTTATAAAAGGCACCTCTGAGAAAGTGAAATTTAAATTCAGACTTAGTGAATGATTTGGCCCTAACAAGTAAAGAGTGGGAGCAGTGAGGTGGGGAAGAATTCCAAGCAGAGACAACAGTGGGCAGGCAGTAAGGAGCTTATTTTGTGTAGCTGTGTGTGTATCATACATATCTCATATATACATTGCATTATATTTGTATATGTATGTAATGATGCTCAGCAACTGCTGAGTAATAATAATTAACATCTATTGAGTGTGTACTATGTCTTAGGTGCTGCATTTTACATGTATTACTTTGTTTAATCCTCATTAGTACCCTGGAGGTGGATACCATTACTAAGCTCAGTTTATTTTTGAAAACATACTTGGATAAGTATCTTTCCTAAGATTACATAGTTGGGAAGTGCCAGAACTGGGATTTGAATCCAGGTCAATCCAAGTCTCCCTTGGCACTTTCTTAACTAATGCACTGTAAATGTGGAGGAACAGGGTTACCGAATGATCACCAGGGATGGAAGGAATAGAACAGTGTGATATCACAGTAGATACCACTTAGATGTGAAACGGCTGTGTATCAAAGGAAGAGAAGTGCTTAGATAGGCAGAGAGGCAGGGAGGTCAAGTCTGTTGTTGTCATAACCACTCAAAGTCATATGGTTATTTTTTCATATAACAGAAATGGACTTCAGTTATGTTAACCATAGGGCACAGTTTAATTTTATCATCCAGTGGCCATTTTAATTTTGCTCAAGACTTAAAATTGTATGTAAGGGAGAGTTATATACATAGAGTGTGTATGGTAGATCTTTAAAAATGTCATTTTTCAGAATGTTTTTATGTGCCTGTAGCAGAATTAATGTTAAGAATCCCGAAGAGCTTTTTGAAAACAGTTCACCTCTCATCTCCTTTATTTTAACTTTCTAACCTAGGTTTTCAGTGAATTATGCCTTTTCGGTTTGGGACTCAGCCAAGGAGGTTTCCAGTGGAAGGGGGAGATTCTTCAATTGGGCTGGAGCCTGGACTGAGCTCCAGTGCTGCCTGTAATGGGAAAGAGATGTCACCAACCAGGTAAAAAGTCTTCTTAACCCTAATAACTGAAGAGACATATAATGGCTATCATCAATATGAGCTTTAGTTAACATTCAATTAGTAAGAAAGCAGCCCTGGAATATTACTGTTATTAAATTGGTATTTTTTATAAAGCCTTTTTTTTTTTATGTCGACCATTTTTTAAAAAATCTTTATTGAATTTGTCACAATATTGCTTCTGTTTTATGTTTCCATTTTTGACTGCAGGGCATGTGGGATCTTAGGTCCCTGAGGAGGGATTGAGCCCACACCCCCTGCCTTGGAAGGTGAAGTGTTAACCACCAGACTGCCAGGGAAGTCCCATTAAATCAGTCTTAACACGGCCTAGGTTTTCTTAGCACAGAGTCTGTGTATTATACCTCTGTAAGTCTGAATGGTAGACCATTTTTTTGGGGTAAATATTTATCTTGATTTTTTTGTTTATAGTTTCAAGATTATATAACATTCCATCAAATAAGCAAACCTCAGTGTATTTTATGTGCAGGGCACACTGTTCTAGGCATACGGCTATAAAAGATGAAAAAACTCAGACCTCAGATTTAGTGTCGCTTTGGCTTTTACTTGACATTTGGCAGAAGTTAAGTGATATAGAGGTGAAGATTCTATGAAACAAAATCATTTTTGCAAAATTGAAGAAAACTATAATAGTTTTTCTGCTGTTTACCATAGCAAATAGTACATTGGTTTGATTTGTCATGGCTTGGAAATTTTCAGAACATGAATTTAAACTTAATAAGGAAGGTACTTTAAACATCAGAGTTGTTCAAGTATAAAACAAATGACCGTGAGAAATAGTTATCACTAGTCTTTAGAAATGTGTAAGGTTGGGTTATTGTTTGGTGGGGATGTTAGAAAGGAAATTCAAGCACTCAGTGTATTTTTTGACTAGATGTCATTTAAAGCTCTTTTAAACTTGAGATCCTATCGACATTTGAATAGTACATGGAGTCATATGTTCAGTTTTATATTTTTCCACAAATAGTCTAGTTTTTAAATCACTCAACTGGAGTGATTTTAAGATACGTATACATATGAATTGCCACAGTATTATCACTTAGGTTTACAACTATGCACCTCCCCCTCCACTTTTCTTGGCTATTAAGTAATCACTGCATACCTTTCAGGATGAACATATGGAGGGTTATCTTTATATTTATAAATATCCTTTGATATAAATATCCTTTGATTATGGCACACCATTTAGCAACAATTTCTTTGCAATGTAAGTCTAAAATGTCTGCTCCGTTAGTGCCACTGTGTTATAACTATTTTCTGACATTGATAGATTTCAAAATGACTTAGCTGAATATACATTCAGACTTTGGTGCTCTGAAAAAAAATTTCCTTTTCTATATCTAACTACATGTCATTTGTTGTTTTATTTAGGCAACTCCGAAGATGCCCTGGAAGTCATTGCCTGACCATAACCGATGTGCCCATCACTGTCTATGCAACAATGCGAAAGCCACCTGCACAAAGCAGCAAGGACATGCGTCCCAAATAGCACCATTAAGTCTTCTGTAGAGGTCTGCCAAGGTCAAGGGTAATGGGCCAGTATCATCTTATGATCTGGTAACAAATAAAAGCGGTGGCACCTTTGGATGATGACAGTAGTTGAAATATTTACTTTTAGTTGGGAAAGACAGAAATGTAGCCTGTAAAACGTGTGCAGTGATAAGTCATCAGTTATGTTTGACAGATAAGACAGAATAATATTTCACAGTTAGAAAGCACCTTCGAGATCATCTTGCTCACAGTGGATCATTAATATCAATAATTCATGGTGAAGCTTAAGTCACCTTGATTATCAGACAGGAAGGGCTCCTCCTCAGTGCTTAATGTGTTTTGGGTTGGTTTCCTTTGCTTATATTTGAATTGCTACTTAGCCAAACCCTTTCACTTGAATACTGTAAGCCAGTTTCTGTCTTTTGACAATGTTCTGCTCAGGAATGATTATACTGGGAGAGAAATGGAGCCCTGTGGGTTATGCATTTTGGAATAATACCCGAGACCAAAGGAGATTCTTAGTCCATGGTTAATCTGCAAAGCATATGCACTGCTATCATAAGGGAGCTCAGGTTTTTGGTTAACTTTATTATAATGAGGTCAAGGCTGTGATTCTAACCCCAAGGAATAATGATGTCTCCTCGTCACCCTCGACCTCAAGTCCCAGCCAGTCATCTTGAAATTGTCTGTAGTTAGTATTGAGAAACTTCAGATGGATCTTTTTATTTGATTAGACTTAAGGTTCAGTTTTGAGGTCTAGGCCAGTCTTTTCTGTTTTCTTTTTCTTCTTGTAATGGTTCCAAGAAACTCAGCTTGCTTTCTTTTCCTCTTGATGGTTGTCACCCTTCCTTCTATAAAATTTTCTTTTCTCCAGAAGACTGACTTTAGTGTCAGATAGTTTCCCCAGTTTCTTGTCTACTTTCCTACATTACATAAGGCTTATCCATAAGCCGTCTTAAATGAAAGGTTTATTAGCTATAGTTACATGGACATAAATGCATGTGTGCTACATGAGGTGAAAAGAAAAACTTTTCATCAGGGATTTATAAATGGAGAAATTCTGAGAGCTCACATAGTGGTGAGAGGTGTCTGAATTCCAACCAGCCAGATTGGAAAGACTTTGTGAACATGTGTGGCATTGAATAGAGACCTCAGAAAGGTCATATATCTTAGTAGGAGGTCTAAACTAGCACTAGACTAAAAACTAATATACGTGAACATTAACAAAGCTTAAAAATAAGACTTGAATCAAGGTGATTCATGAGTAACTTAATTATCTGCCAAAAAAAAATTTAAGACTCCTTAAAGGAAGAGAACAAAATCCATAAAGGAAATTGACCAAGGCTGAGGAGAGCATGATGGGAATGGAGAAAGGAGTCATGAAAAATTCCTCCGAGCTCATACAAGGCTGGGAGTAATTTGTGTTTCAACCATAGTGGAAAGATCATTTAATGATATATCAGTTAGATACTGCCTCAGTGCGGGTGGGTCTGGAATGGAGGATAGCTGTGGACTGAAGGCTGCTCTGAATCTGCCCTAACAAAGCTTAAACTGATTCCAAGTAACTAAACTGCATCCAAGGAGGGGAAATAACCTGCCATCCCATGATTTGGCAGATTATCAGGCTTTCACCTCTAAAACTCATCTACAACTCTACCCATACCATCCCACCCCTGGTAGAATCCTCTGGGAATGGTGTCCTCTGGTGCTATGAAGTTTATAAATTGAGTGACCTTATCCATGGTAGCCAACATTTTCATCTACTTTTCAAGACTTGAAAGGTTACTAAAGACTTGAGGGGACGCTTGTCTCTCTGACATGATATGCCATTTTTTCCTTGGTATTCTATGCTAAGTCGCTTCAGTCATGTTTGACTCTTTGCAACCCTTTGGACAGTAGCCCGTCAGGCTCCTCTGTCCACAGGATTCTCCAGTCAGGAATACTGGAGTGGATTGCCATGCCCTCCTCTGGGAATTGTCTCTGTAAATTCAGGCAAATCAGAGATCCCTAGGGCTCAGGGGAACCCAAGTGGAGGAGTTAGTATCACTTTTTCCTTTTTGAAGATTGCCAAGTACTTTATAAGTGATTGCTTTGGGAGGCAAGATGAGGGGGTAACTTTTATGGAAACTTTGCTTTCCTGAAATTTATTCAAAGAGTATGTATTGAGCACATACCTACATGTCAGGTACTGTTCTAGGTTTTTACAGCACATCAGTGGATAATAGACAAAATTCATGAAACTTGACATGCAGGACAGTACCGCTACTGTTGCCTTTCCTTACTGTGTGTGTGTGTGTGTGTGTGTGTGTGTGTGTGGTGTGTTGGGGGCATTGTGGTTTTACAGCTTATACTGAAATGATCTGAGCTAGCCCGGCTTCATGCCTCAGTGTGGTGAACTTGAGTTTTTACTGCTTTATGGTCTTAGTTGAAGTCTGTATTCACTGAATAAGGTAAGCAAAGACCCTACTTAACACCCTGTACTGCCATGTTATGTACAGGAAAATAGGGCCCAGGGAACAGAAATAGCTCAGTGTCTTCTGAGATGCCTGCTTACAAACTGTGAGTATAGAACTGGGGTGGTTCTTAACGGACAAAAGGTGTGTGTGTGTGGGCTAAGTTGCTTCAGTCATGTCTGGCTCTTTGCAACCCTATGGACTGTAGGTGGATGTATCTTGTATGTTTATAGAATGACAATTGTGTGTCTATAAATGTGTATGGTAAGGACTTAAACCCATACTTCTAGATGAGATCATTCGTGCTTCAGCTTTTATTGCTGTGTGCTTGATACTTTGTGCTTTGCAAGTCAGTTTCATGAGAAAATGTTCAGTTGTTGGAACTCATCTTTTCACATCACTCAATAATGGGATGTTGCTTCACTGTAAAGCTATTGGAGGGTGCCCTCTCCCAATCAGCTGTGGCCATGAGATAAGGACAGTAAGGTACAGGCCCGAATAGGGCTGCTCCTTCAAACTGGGGCTATGGGAGGCCTCATTTTGAAAGTGCTTTGAACAGGCATGGGTCATGAATGACAACCAGTCAAAATTACTCTGAACATCCATCCATGTTTCTCAAAATGAAGTTCCAATATACTATGATTAACTAAAAGAAAGGACAACTTCTCCCTAGATGGAACTTGAGAGAAGATGGGGTCCCATCTAAGAACTGAATCAAGCTTTTATAAATGGTAAACTCAAAAGTTTCTGAATGTCATTGTGTGGTTGTTAACCAGGTCAGCAGATAGGGGGTCAGTAGATTTCTTCTCTGCCGATCGTAAGTGTGAAATACTAACTGCAAAGAAGTGGCCTTGTAATTGTAGAGATGTTAAATAGAAGAATTTTTGTGCTTTCTGGTCTGCATACATGTGAGTCTGTGTACACACCAGCTGGAGCTACTGGAGGTCCAGCCAGTCTGCAGCTTGGCTGGTGGAGTTGACTTTGGGTCACTGCTGAGAATGAAGGGACAGAAGGGCCCTCTAGGATATCTCAGGAAAATTTTGGGAAAAGAAAATGGCAGGGTGTTTCAGAGCTGCTGCCTTCTGCTTGGATCTAGTGTAGGAAATACTGTGAGGGCTTAGTGTGTTTGAAGCATTGGTTCAACCTATACTAGTTAAGGCCCTACTGGATTCAGAGTCTTTAGCCCAGAAACCGCATTAGCTCAGAACCCCTTAGCTCTCAGAAGGTTTTGTTTGGTCTGCCCAGCGTTTTTGTCATTTTAATTGCTGTTGTTTTTAGTTACTAACTGAAAAATCAGGCCATTTCAAGCCCCTCATATTTCACATTTCCATCTTCTTTTGGAAACTCTGGCCCTTTAAGACTTGTGTTCTTTTATGGTGATAATTGGCCGAGGACCTGCTGCCCTTCTAGATGAGCCATGGCAAGTGCCCTTTTGATTTTCTGTCAGACCCAACCAACTTCACTCTTATGATATCTTCCTGGCTTGATAGGTGGTTGAGTTTGTGACTCCAGCTTTGGGGACCAGCTGAGGGTTGGCCCGATGGCAGACAGTCCCCTGGAGGCAAGAAGGAAGGGGACATTCATGCTGGCTCTGGAGGTAGGCAGCGGTCCTGTTTGCAATTCTGGCTCCTCAGTCTAGCTCAATGACAGCTGGCACGTTATTTAACAGTTCTACATCTCAGGTTTCTCATCTGCAAATGCTGCCTTGTAGGATGTGTGATGATCAAGTGAAACCTACTTCAATTTACCTTATTGTGAGGCTGGCAGTAAGTCCTCTATGAGTAGATATTTGCTATTTTCACTGATCATCATCATTATTATTAATGTATCAGAGACATGAGGGTAGTAGGGGAATGTAACTAATTACATATATATATATAAGAGATTATTTTATTTCCTTAGTAATTCCTCAAAACATTTTATACTTCCTCCCCATACCCCCAGTTACTCCTCTTACATACCTTCAGTCCTGTTGATATGAGGGCCTATTTTCTCATTTTGTCTGCAACGCTGATTTTCTTTCCATGTATAATTCTTTTATTTCAGTTTCTATATTTTAATATCCTATCAGCTAGTAAAGCCAATTTTTCCTTTTCAAGATTTTATTAATATATATACCTTAAAATGATTATAACATTTTATAAATAAAGACTTTGTGTTGCAGGTATGTGAGGAAAAAACTTTTAATAAAAGGACTTTTATACTTTTAAGTGGATGCATGATTTTGTGTTATTCTTTGCTATATAATGTCCTTCATGAGTCCTACAAAATGCACTGTAACAATATCCTACAAGAACCTCTCCTCACACAATTTTATTTTTCTTTTAAGGAAGTAAGGGGAAAAAAGTAAGCATTTATTCGATTGAGGCATTCTTTTTTTTTTCTTATCTGGAAACAAATTACCATTCTGATAATTTGTTAGAAATTTATTTATTAAACCTTGATAAGCCTAAAATATTCTTGCTATCCTGATAGACCACACTGGTAAAAGCAAATCTGCTCATCTAATTTTAGGCAGTAAATCTTTTCAGGATAAAGGAAGTATACTAAAGACAGTTTGGTTTAAGTTGAATGTTATCGCCCCTAAATGAAAGAGGAATCTGAGGATCTAGCCACACTTTAAAAATATGTGCCAGTGTTTATTTAGAATCCCTTCTATTTTATTAGAAACAGGAACAGGAATTTCACCAGCAGGAAGTTATAAAATACAGGTAAGTTTAATGCTCCTTTGACTGTTATCCATGGCAGACATTTTGGATCCAAGGTAAGAATCCAAGTAAGAAATAATAAACATCCAGTCCCTGATGACTCATTGAAGTCCTGCTCAACTAGATGAAAGCTTCTACAGAGAGGAAGGACCGCCACTCCTCCTGGCTGGCCTTGTATTTCTTTCAGTGCTCTAAAGAACTTTGTGCTTGGATAGCTCTGTTGTGTCAGGCTGCTGGACAGGAGTTGATGCTCACGGCGCCGCTGACCAGGGCTGCTTTACTGAAGCTCACCGGGCGCCCGTCAATCACAAAGTGACGGATGCAGCCTGTGAAGGGCCTGCCAGGGGCCACACGTGGTGTCAGTAGAGACTCTGGAAAAAGAAATGAACACCGAGTTTGCAATCAAGGCACCCCAAGCCCAAATACTACTTTGTGGCAAAAATATACATCATAACCACTTACATTATCAAGATGATTTACATGTCAAAGATGGAATATAGTAATTTTTTTTTTAGGAACATTATCTGCTTTTGAAGTAATATGCACATGTAGTAATTTTAAAGTTTTGAGTATAATTCAGCTGTGTATTTATCACTGAAATTTACCACTTAGAAGTAAAATCTCAGCAGTGAATTTTCAGGATTTGCTTATGCTTTTTAGAGTTAATTTCACCTGGGCCTCACTTATTTTGTACGACTTACTCAGAGGAAAGAAAATTCAGCTTTCAAACTCTTCTTGGAATTGGTTAATGTTTCTGTTTAATTCGTATCATTACCCTTCATCCTTAATCCTCCACATTTTTGCCAAGCTCATAAAATATAATGAGAAAATAATGAATTCAAATAAACTAAATTTTAATTTTCCTGAGCTCTCAGGGTTTAAGAACTATAAATAGGGTAAAGATAACTAGCCTAGTCTTTGTGTGGGTACAGGTGCCCTGGGGTATGCCAGAGGAACTTTCTTCCCTTATCTTAATAAGAGATCTGGAAGAAGCCTTGTGCTTATTAATTGTACAGACACAATTAAATGTGTTGAAATGATAGAAGCAATATAATTTAAAGCAATTTAGGGAGCTTAGGAATATCATGAAATTAAAATCCATTTAGTCAAAGTTTATTATTATGTACAAAACAGCTATGTGAACAGTGGCAGAGAAAAAGATGGAAAACACTCAGAAATCAGTAACTTGGGAAAGAACATAAAAAAGGACAGCAAGTTAAATACCATCAAGGGGCTGTAATAAGTTTTCTAAGCAGTGTAGATTATGCAGAAGCTTTGTTTATTGAAAATAAATCATGGAAATAGCACTTCATATTTAGAATGATAAGCATCAAGTTTTAGATTTGGAAGGGGCCTAAGAGATCAATTCCCCTTGTCTCTAGTGTGACTTTTTGAAATACTTTTGTCCTTCAAGACTGTACAGTGTACTTACATCATCAGAGTAAAGAGTGAACAGGAAAGAATATAAGGGGTAAAACATCTCTTTCTTCTGTTCATTTTAGATACTAGTTTTAGAACATGGATTTTGAATCTACCCAGGCTTACCACTGTTTGGTTCATGGGGGACAAATTCTAGAGGAAACAGTTCATATAGAAATTATGGTTTGCATAATTCACTATATAATTTATTACAGCGGTGGCAAAGTGTCCGAGAACCCTAAGTAATTGATTAATAAAATCAACACATGATTTTAAGAGCAAACATTCCTCAGGTTGAAAGCTTGACTATATACAGAATAATGCAAGATTTTCAGCAGAGGAATGAATAGTTGCTAACTCAAAAACTTAACTTCTAATTTTGATTTTTAAATGATCATACAATAAAGTTGAATTTTCTGATACAAAGTTCATGAATTTCAATGCATTAACTCTTTGTTGATAGAAATAGTGTGTTACCAGAGCTCTGCCTGGTATAAGAGAGCTAGTTGGGATTCTAAGATTTCAGTGCATACAGTGGTTTTATTTATGCCTAATTTCCTTTGGTTATTCTTTTTCATGCCCCAGTTTCTGATGTGATTTTTGTGGAGCTAATCTTGAACAGCTCAAAAATTATGTAATTAATGATGTTCAGCTTAAATTATACTTTTTTTTGTCCTAGACTTGCTGCATGGTCTGTAAATGAAATTAAAAGCTGCAGTGGTACAGTGGGCTGGTGGGTAGGCCTCACTGGCCTTGCTAGTTCCTATGTGCTGGCTCATTATTTCAAATTTGCTTTTCAGGATATGTCTCGGGCACAATTTGGCTTCAGGTATATCCTGCCCAGCCAGTCTGTGGAGCAAGTCTTGTAGTGAGAGATGACGGTAGTGTGTCATGCTGGAATGAGACTCAAAAATACAGAAATTGGAGAGAGAAATATGTCTGAATGATACAGTAAGCACTTTGGGTGCAAAGTAAAGAACAAATGCTGTAACTTCCGTGAGGGAGGGCCATGCTTGTTGGGTCTATCTCCTGGAGTGCTTAAGCACAGTGCTTAATAGACACTCAGTATCCCAGGTGGTGCAAGAGGTAAAGAACCTGCCTGCAATGCAGGAGACATAAGAGATGCAGGTTTGATCCCTGGGTCAGGAAGATCTTCTGGAGAAAGGAATGGTAACCCACTCCAGTATTCTTGTCTGGAGAATCCTCATGGACAGAGGACCCTGGTGGGCTACAGTCTATTGGGTCGCAAAGAGTTGGACACGACTGAAGTGACAGCATGTACACGTTTGCTGTGTGATGAAGTCATGTTCTCTGGAAGCAAGGAGTATGCTATTTAGCTTCAACAATATTCTGCAGTGAGTGCCATAAAAGTGATATTCAGGGTGGGGTGGGGTGGGGCATGTGTGTAAGAAGTGTGAGCTGAATCCTCAAGGTCAATAGGAGTTAAGTTGGTGGAGAAGTGGGAGAAGCAAGAAAGAACATTTTCTAGAAATTGAGGCCTTGTGCTCTTGTGTGAAGGCCTGGAGTAAAGTTCACTACTGAACATTCAGAGAACTGCAAGCCCCAGAAGGTAGGGGGAGGCCCTAGGGGCAAAGGGGCAAAGAGGGGAGAGACAGAATCAGGACCTTGCATGCTAGGCTGGCTTTGATCCTATAGGCCTCTGGGAACCTGCAATATTTTAAACTATGTTGTGATCTCCAGGAAGAAAGCAATGTGCAGAAATGGAAGGACTGACAGGATCCATCTTCCTCACTGTACCTGCATGAAGTGCAATGTGGTCTTTGCCAGTATTTCAGAACTGAAGCCTGGAGCAGGAGGAGAGGACTAAGGAATGGAGACAGGAGTGGATAACAGAAGTAAAGGAGAAAGATTGCTTTTGGAGGGTCTCCTATTTCATCAGTGAGTTGTTACTGTCAATACTGGCATTTAAAAAAATCCACATTACAAAGCAGAGGACTGCTAAGTTGGTACTTAGAGTACCTAAGACTGGATGCTTAGTGATTCTCACTCTCTTGGTTAAAGCATTATTTGCCTTTACATGGGTCAGTCTAAACGAGTATAGTTAGGATGCTAGGAAAAACTATGTTAGGTTTTTCCTTTAAACCAAATTCCAGTTGTAAAAGCTTGATTTTTCCTTCATGCTACCTTTGTCATTCAGTTTTCCCAAGTGAATGAAGTGTGTGAAGTAAACACTTTCAACAAAAGGTCATGGTCTCCGCTTTAGAGGCTTAAAGTAATTGTGGGGGGGTCCATAAGTGCCCCATCACCATCTGGGACTATCCACCATTCTTGGCAGATGACAGTTACTGATGATGTTTACAGAACTGCAGCTGGGAACCTCTCTTAGGGAATGTCACTATGTAGGAACAACAGAACTTATGGTCTGCAGCTGTTTTCACGTTTCACACCAGTCCTGGGCAGGAAGAACTGTGTATTCTTAGTGTGGAAGAGGAGTAATCGTCACTAAACTTTTAGTCTTCTAAGGTTCTCAGATCCTACAGCAGCAAGAGCAAATGAGTTTTCTGTGTGTAAGGAAGAAAGCAGAGTGTGTTTCGCTGTGTGTATGTGAGAGACGTGTGTATAGAGCAGAGAAACAATTAAGCAGACGCAGCAGTGGGAGAGTACTGCCTGCTGTTGAGCATGCTGCGTGTGGTCCTACCTGACATTTCGTTTTGATCTTTGGATGTGCTGTGTGCTTGGTAATCGTCAGGATACATTTTCCTATGGAAGGATGTGTGTGTGCTCAGTCGCTCAGTCATGTCCGACTCTTTGTGACCCCAGGGACTGTATCCTTCAGGCTCCTCTGTCCCTGGAATTTTCCAGGCAAGAATACTGGAGAAGGTTGCCAATTCCTACTCCAGGGGACCTTCCTGACCCAGGAATTGAACCCACATCTCTTCTATCTCCTGCATTGGCAGGCAAATTATTTACTACTGCACACCTGGAAAAGTCCCCTATGAAAGCATATTGTATATAAAATTCTTGGAGTTACTAGGTGAATTATAAAAATACATAGCTCAACTCTTAATACTGTAATAACACTTATGAGATTTTAAGTGTTCTTTTGGATTTGGAAACTCATCACTTTAAATAACTCTTACCTGGAACACCTCCAACAAACACAGGCTCCCTGTGATCAACTGGTTTTGGATTTAGGGGTCCAACCACGTGGTTCACTTCAGAGTCTACATCCAACTGAACCACATTTGAATCTCTAATAACTGAAATACAGGGAAAAGAGTGGTCGTAAGTGATATTGAGGTGATTTATTTTCACATGAAAGGGAATAATTTATTACAGCAATAGCTTTTATTTATTCCAGAATAAACCATATGCTTCCCTCTAATCACTGAAAACATCAATGTCTAACCAATCACTAAAATTTCCCTTTGAAAGGGAGAATATTTAGAATACTCTTTCTGATACTTTTTCTTTGCTTTATAAATAATTCATTATTTAAACAATTCCATAAGACTATTCTGGCAGCATTAATAGTTTCAAATCACATGTGGATTCAATATACACATTTTAGTACATTAACATTTGATTCTCTTTTCTTGACTACTTTTAGACTGTCAGTTATTACATATTCTGTCATATAAATTATATAGACTAAGTTCTTTCAAGTCAGCATGTCAGAGGTGGGTGTATAGGCTCACTTTATCAGGGTAATCCAGGACACGCAGCTTTCCTCACCTGTAATTCTGTGCCATCTGCCATCACAGAGACTCTGCTTGGGTGTCACTGAGGTGGAAAAGTCTCTGATGCCATTGTTGACTTTCACTATGACCTGCAAAAGACAGGGCACATTGTGGAATTTCATTTCATTTCTCCTCTTTGAGAGGAGAAATTGAGATAAGATGAGATTTCTTACATTTACCACAGGGAAGCAAAACTTTGAACATCCAGATATTAGCTTTGCAATTTGAACACAAGGGGTCACTCTTCAGTAGATTAGCGAAAATGTGTTCCTCAGAAAGAGAACAAAATAGACACCAGAGAAAAGAGGGGGCAGAGGAACAGTAAGATAGCAATGAATTCCTTTAAAGATGGAATTGCTGTACAAGGCAGGTAGAGGTACTGATGAAGAGCATGGGCTAGAGCCGACTGCCTGGGCTCATACTCAAGCGCGCCTACTTCCCTCACCCTGTGCCACGTTTTCTCATTTGCAAAATAAGAGTGATAACTGTAATCCTTACTTCACAGGGTTACTGGGATTAAATGAGTTAATCCATATAAAGCATTTAGTAACTGACACACAGTAAGCACCATATAAGGATTTGTTTTCATTGTTATATGGTTTCATAGAATATACTGGAACTCAAATGAAAATCAATTATGTTATATTAGGGACATTGATGAAAATATGCTTCATATTTATTTGAATACTCTCATGAATGTTCTTTAGTATTATTATTTAAGGATGAAAGTGGTGTTTAATTATAACAATTTTTTTTAATTTTTAGCAGCTGAAAAGAATATATGTATGGTATGCATACATATTATAGACAGATGAACGTTTGCTGCTTCCATTTGTTGTAAAAAATTCCTCTTCTGATTCTTTTATTAAAACCTTTTAATTATTGATTTTTTGGCTTTGTCACAATTTCATGGCTCTTTGCTCTAATCAAATCAATTCCCAACATATAAATCTGAATCCAAAAACTGCCTGCATTTAAATTTTATGTTATAGCTTCCCTGTTGTTTGTTTTTCCCCTCAGTTAGGAAAGATCGATGAAATATTCTGTTAAATAAAACTGCTTCAGATCTAGAATACAAGGTCAGAGAAGACAGACTTGTTAAAACTATTTTTAACACACTACCTGCCCATTTTTCATGTGAACATTTAGGTATTCCCCATTGACACTGTGGCCGTGAACAAGGGTTCCGGAACTGCTTCTGGGACGGACTTCAAATGCAATCTCAAACTTCAATCCAATATTGAAAGACTCATCTGTGGAGAGAAATACTATTAGTTCTCAAGAACAGCAACCTAAAATTTGTAACCAGGGCATGATTTTGTAATTGCATTTTTTGCATCTCTTTTGGAAAATCTGACGCATTTTCCAGCAGGTAAGTAGAAAGTGTCATTTTCCATGTCAAACACACTGGAGAGCTCTGAGCGGGTCTGAGATAAGGAGTATACCATCCCTGCTGTGGGGTGCGGGGTGGAAACAGCATGCTGAGAATACGTCAGGGCTATGGGAGCTTGGTGAGGAAAAACTGATTCCAACTAGCAGGACCATTTATTACTTCAAAAGTGAGAAGCAGGAAAGCGCTAACTAGGAGAACTGGTCTGAACCCAAGTGCAGGGCCTGGGATGTCTGGAGAGCACTGCAGCGGCCAGTGGGGCTGGACCGTGCCCTGCGAGTGAGGGTGAGGAAGGGCGAGTAGGGGAGGGCTCCGGGGCTCCAGCAGGGAAGACAGACTTTATACTGCGGACATCGAGCAAGGGAGCTGACTTCATCAGATCTGTATTTAAAATAGTTCTTAAAAAAGATCACTGGAGCCAGTGCTGTAGAACATTTGGGAGGAAAGAGAACAGCAAAAGCGGTTAGGAGCTGTTTTTGCAGTGATGCAAGAAAACGTATTCTTCTTAAGAATAGCTGTGTTCACTCCAAGAGACTCACTGCAAAGCTGGGCATCTTAATAATGTTCACTTCACGCATCTTCCTATAGGTCACTTTTTAAAGTTTTCCTGCTATTAATGTTTATTGAGAACATAAACTGTGCAGGTTGCTATGCTTTTCAGGCTGTCTATATCTTTCAGTTCTTTTCACTGAAATTCAAAGAAAGGCAGAGGAATGTGCCTGTCGCTGTTTTTGTAGGGATAAAGGAGGAGAAAGGAAAGTAAAATCGTGAACTAGACAAAGAGGAAATATTGCCTCCGGTTATTCTGTTGGACATGGGGAAGGTTTAAGAAGGGATAACTGGCTGCACTGTAAGGTCTTTATTCAGGGCATGTTGAAAGCAGGAACATTCTCCTGTCTTCTTTCTCAGCACCTGTTCTGGTACCCTCCTCACACCTAATGGTTGCTCTATAGAATGCTGCTGGAATGGACTGGATGGTGACTGTGTGTGTTTAGGATTTTATTTCCTTATTTTTAGAACTATTATGTTCCATCACTTGGCACAGGGACTGTCATACCAGAGGCACATAATAAAAACTTTGCTGAGTGAGAGTAAGAGCTGAGAATAAAAACCCAGAAAGAAAATTTTTAAGGATAGCTTTGTCTGCTGGAGTTGCTGGCGAGGGGAGGAAGTGGCACTTTCCTTAGCAGGAATAATGGGTGCTGCTTAGAAGGAGCAGAGAAAAACCCAGTGTGTGAGGTAGCCGAAAGCCCACACAGGTTAGACCACGGTGCGGCACAGAAAGTCTAACGGAGCCAAGACGGTCTGTCCCCACAGGGATGGCCGCTGTGGAAGCGCTGGCTGGGGAAAGCAGGCAGGGGTTGGCGTGGTCCCTGCGTCTGTTTGGACGGCAGCAGAGGAGAAAGGTGGTCCTTATGAAAAGTGGCCATTTTCAAGGGCTGAGTTTGATATTCTGGTTTTTAATGTTGGGCCCAATATCCCTGTTAGCCATCTCCAGGAAAGAAGTATTTCATGATTTATGTTTTAACATAAGTCATTGTTACCTAGGACCACGTAACCTCCTTCTGTTGAGAAGTATGTTCCTGTTTCCATTGGACCTTCGAAACAAGGAGTCACGCTAAATGTCTGAGAAGCAGAGGTGATGGAGGCCCCATTGAGCTGAAGATTGCTGAGGCAGCCACTGAAGCTGTAGACCGCGTTTATCTGAGAGGAGAAGACATTTCTTAAAATCCATTTTCTCAACACTCATAGACACACCAGTGAAGGGATTTGTGTCCTGAGAGGAACCCAGTAATTTCTCGCCCTATTGGTTTTAGCTATCTGAATGGATCAATCATTTTCTAGGCTGTTGCTTTTTAAGAGCTCTTTGAAGCTAGAATTCTGTATTAGATAGTAACAGCCTACCATAATTAAGGTATAAAAATTTCAACATTTTTTCACAACAAGGTAAATTGCAGCTGTGGTTTTCAAACTGAATTAGACATATTCTCATTTTTCTTCAAGAAAGACAGCTGTGCCCTAGATCACCTAATGCTGATGAGGGCTAGCAAAGAACTAAACTTTTATATCTACCATGGTTAAATAAACAGCGGAGAATTTGCTTTATTGGCTTGTGTTTGAGCATTTATCATACCACAGGATGTGAAACACGGGCCACTTTAGATAACTGATTTCACAGTTTTAGAAATCTTTCTTTTAAAGAAGCTGTCATGGAATTGGGGCTACTCGTCTAAAATCAAACTAAATATGAACATTTCCCCCCATTTTTGCTTTACACACACATATTCATGGATCTTTTGTTGTTGTTGTTTAGTCGCTAAGCTGTGTCTGACATTTTTGCGACCCTGTGGTCTGTAGCCTGCTAGACTCCTCTGTCCATGGGATTTTCCAGGCAAGAATACTGGAGTGGGTTGACATTTCCTTCTCCAGGGGATCTTTCTGACCCAGGGATCAAACCTGAATCTCCTGCATTGGCAGGCAGATTCTTTACCACTGAGCCACCAGCGAAGCCATTTAATGGATCTTAGAAGTGTATTCTTTGTGTTAAAGTCAAACCTGTATTTATATTAAAAATAAACTTAGTCCTTTGATGCATTCCTTTATTGCTAAATATTTTTGAAGATCCAATATTTTAAACATTTAAATTACAAAAGTAATGTTGTTTTCTTCTACCATATCCTCATGTCCCCCATATTTCCTTGTACAATTACAAATTGTGTGTGTGTGTGTGTGTGTGTGTGTAAGAAATGAAAATGAGATCATAGTTCACATAATGGCCTGAAAGGTTTTTTTTTTCACCCAACAATATATAATATAATGACTTCCTTTTTTTTGGGTAATTTTTTGGGGGCTGTGCCATGCAGCTTGCAGGATCTTCGTTCCCTGACCAGGGACTTAACCTAGGCCTGGGCAGTGAAAGCAGAGTCCTAACCACTGGAGCACCTGGGAATGCTCTTTTGGGTGTTCCTGAAGACTAAAAGCATGGGTACTTGCTGAACAAGCAAGCATCCCCTTGAGACATGACTTTGTATGACAGTTTATACCTTCATCTCCCCTCTACCTTAGCATCAAAAGATCACTCTGGGCTTTGTGACGTCACAGGGAGGACAACCATAAAACAGTACCCACTCATGTATCCCATCTCCAGCCAAAGTACAGTTTTACTTTTGCCAGTTTTCTAACCATAAAGTGAGGGCTAATTAAACAATCTTCCAGCTCTAAATGTCGATGGCTCTACCTGATCACACCGGGCTTACCTGGACATTTTTCACAGCCCTTCCAGGAGCCACACCTCCCAAATAAATAGGACCCCTGATTTTCCAGTCAGCTCCTGTAGGGGGAAGACTTTCTTCTAAGACTCGAAGTCCGTCAATTATCATTCGGCCGCTGCTCTTTTCCCGAATAAATATCACCTTGATGGAGAGAAGGACAACGGCGTGTCTTTAGTGCATCCAAAGCTTAGTGGAAAGGCTGCGTTGCTTCTCCTCTCAGCTGCGCTATCATTTGCAGTGCTGCAGAAGTTCTTTAAAGAGCAGTCCTTTCACTGAAGGTCAGGAATTTGTCTCTTCTTTTAAAGCCTGATTTAAAGTTACAGGCTTAATCTCTGAATACAGCTTATGATTAGCAGAGTTCTCTGTCCCAGCTGGCAGCCCACATGCTCTCGCTCCTAAATTTAATTATAATTAATTGTAATGCAGCTGACATTGCTTTTCTCACTATACACACACTGAATTGCTTTGATGTTTAGGTTATTCTACCTGTTGTATCCTTTCTTCCTAACAGATTTACTCTATTTTGTACCTTCCATAGCTTAGTCTATGAGACACTCAGCAATCATAGAAAATTTAGAATATTATAGGCAATGGAAAAAAACCCAGTCAAATGAAAAATCCTTAGAAACCAAACTTCAGCTTATACTGGCCACCAATCTTTTGTTTAAAATAACTGCACTAAAAATATTTGATCTGTCAAAAAAATTATACTCAGATTATATTTCTTTTAAAATAGTAAGCTTCAAGATTTTTATAATAAGTTAATGAAAGTTTCTGAAACTGAACTCTGAACATATAGCAACAGAATTTGTAAATGGATGTTTCTAGAGAAACCACTAGTGGGGTATTAGAATGGTGGACATTTGCTGATAATAATATTCTCTGCCTTCAACTTACATCATGCCACAATCCATCATTGTATTTCTCCTGGCTTCTAATCTTCAGTTTCTTGTGGCCAACATTAAACATGAAAACCAAGCGGCCATGGGCTAAGAACAGGGTCATGAAGTCATTCTCTTCTTGATCTGAGACATAGAAAATCATCCCATGGGAGGAACGTGTTTTCAGACGAATGGAAAACTGGGATCTGGTAAATGAGAAGGAAAAGCGTACCACTTGTCAAAGAAGACTGTGATCTCTAACTTTCCAAGACAATACAGCGTAAGGAAGAATAAAGCCATCTGATCTAATCCCAAGCAACGTTACTTCTAATTACACCTTATTGTTATTAGTGAATATTGGGTAAGCACTGCTAATTCAAAACTGTAAATCCTTCTCCATTTCCTCATACAACAGGGATAAATTACACATTTATGAAAGTGTTGTTTCAGTAAATGCTGGAGAAAATGTGGAGAAAAGGGAACCCTCTGGCACTGCTGGTGGGAATGTAAATTGATACAGCCACTATAGAGAACAGTGTGGCGATTTCTTAAAAAACTAGGAATAAAACTACCATATGCATGCATGCTAAGTCACTTCAGTAGTGTCTGACTCTTTGCGACCCTATGGACTATACCCCACGAGGCTCCTCTGTCTGTGGGATTCTCCAGGCAAGAATACTGGTGTGCACTGACATGCCCTCCTCCAGGGGATCTTCCTGACCTGGGGATCAAACCCACACCTCTTCCGTCTCCTGCACTGGCAGGTGGGTTCTTTATCACTAGCGCCACCTCAGAGGCCCAAAACTACCATATGACCCAGCAATTCCACTGCTGGGCATATGCCCTGAGAAAATCATAACTGAAAAAGACACCAGTACCCCAATGTTTATCGCAGCACTATTTACAATAGCCAGGACATGGAAGCAACCTAGATGTCCACTGACAGGTGAATAAAGAAGTTGTGGTACTTATATACAATTGAGTATTCCTCAGGCATAAAAAGAAAAGAGTTTGAGTCAGTTCTAGTGAGGTGGATGAACCTAGAGCCTGTTACTACAGAATGAAGTAAGTCAGAGAAAAAACAGGTTTCATAAAATCACACATACATATGGAATACTAGAAAAATGGTTTTGATGAACCTATTTGCAGGGCAGGAATAGAGATGCAGACACAGAGAACAGACTTGTGGACACAGTGAGGGAAGGAGAGGGTGGGACCAACTGGGAGAGTACCATGGAAACGTATACCTTATCATATGTTAAACAGATAGCTAGTGGGAAGCTACCATATAACACAGGGAGCTCAAACCAGAGATACCTAGAGGATTGCGATGGGGTGGGGGTGGGAGGGAGGTTCAAGGAGGGGACATATATATAATTATGGCTGATTCACACTGTCGTATGGCAGAAACTGACACAACATTGTAAAGCAATTATCCTTCAATTAAAATTTTTTTAAAAAAAGTGTTGCTTCAGTAAAGGATAATATCATGTCTTGCTTTAAAAAAATGACTGCACTTAATGTAGTAAAAATCTTTATGCTAAGGAAGCTTTATGTAGACAAAATAATATACAGCAATTAATATGCATATAAAGATTTGCATAGAAACAATATGATTTATGTACTATCTAAAATACAGATTCAGTTTTCTCCCCATAAAAATTAATCAATGGATAGCACATGCTAAAAACAGCTACCAGAATGTGTAGAACTCATATAAACTTTCTAGAAATTCAGCTTTAGGCCACAGATAAGATACATTTATTAAGCTAATTTCCAGTTTGATTAACTCTGTATTTTTCTTGAAGAATACAAAATACTGATTCTGCCTATTAGGAAAATAGGAAATTAGGAGTTTCTTATTGAATCCACTGATGGTATGAATGTTTGAAAGAGCTATATAAGAGTATCTGGGTGCTACATACTTTAAAAGAAATCTTAAATAATCCTAAATAACTTGGAGAGCTGTGAAACAACAGGAAGAGGTGATGAACTTTAGAGATAGCTTGAGGGTCAACAGAGACACAGTGCATTTATATTTTTAGTGTCTTTCCTTATTAACCTTCCAGCAGTTCAGATGCATTCCCACTTACAGTCTGAAATCAATTTGTGTCAGAAAGGGAAGGTGACAGTAAGGTTAGATGATGAGTCATTTAAAATTTCCCCCATCTTCCTTTCTTTGATTGTCTTTTCTTTTTCATTAAGTACAGCAAACTCCTAGGACAATGCTGTTATATGCACCTTACTTTTGGGAAGAAAGTCACAGAGAATGTTATTTATTGGGCAGTATGAATTATGTGCTATTTAGTATTTGTTTTGATGAAAAAAAGAACAAGATTAAAGCAGCACAGAAAAATTATAGGGAAACGAAGAACATATGGTAAGTAAGGATGAAGCCCAGCCATGGCATCAAGTTTTTAAACGGAAGTGTGTTACTTTACTTTTCACCAAAATCTCCTTTTAGGTGTTCAAACTCTTGACGGCTGTTGGCCGTCCCTCCGTACTGATAGGCGTGCTCTATTGCCCTAGGGCTGTTGGAAAGCTGGCAGTGTGAGTCTCTCGGAACATTCCTCTCCAGGAATTTCAGGCCAACAGGATCCCACGAAGGAGCATCTTTACTTTTCTCTCCCTGTAAGAGTAGGAAATGACTCATTTAAGGGATAAAACTGACATACTAGTAGCAAAAATTCACTTTTAATTTTTTATCATTAACAATGATCATTAAATAATTAAAGTGTATATTCTTTGTACATATTCCACTCGTAAAATATCAGACCTCTCCATTCCTCTACTACCATAGCAAATGCCAGCAGCAGCTGCAGCAGTAACAACAGACGACAACAGAGTATGTTAACAAACCCCAAATTCCCATTCACAGTCTGAAAACAATTTGTATACTGAACCTATAGAGACAAGTGCTCTGAGATTTAAATTAAATGCACATTTTAATCAATGGTGGAAAATGAAAAAATTGGCAATAAATACCCCTGAGAGACTCAATAAATAAAATCCTCATATCATATGTAACAATACCACTTGAATACACATTATTATTTATATATCCTGCATAAAAAGTTAAATACTTAGTAACATGTTCAAAATATTTTTTTAAAGAATGTTTTGGGTGATAAGATATGTAGCAAATTTAGGTGACAGGATATAGAACGATTTTAAAAAATTACTTTGTGCTCTTAAAATTGCACTATTGATTTTAAAATTTACAGTTCTGAAACTACAGACTAATATTTAATGGTTATTTAGTCAATTTCTGAAGCAAAAGTAAATGCAAGTAAATATGAACATTCAGTCATTTACTCATTTATTCAAGCAAATGTTTATTGAGTACCTAATAGGTAGGAGTGAAGAAGAAAAAGAAAATCAATGTTTCTGTGTGCCTTCAGTGGGTAGTGTGTGGTGGGGAACAGAAAGGTGAGTGAGACATGGTTCCTGTTTTTTAAGGACTGAAAATTGATTTGGTTTTTAAACAACAAATTGGAAGACAGGTTGGAGCTGGATAGGAAGGACCTTAGATGACTTGGTAAAGGATGGGGTTTTGTATTTTAGGTGATGAGAAGCACCACAGGTCTGAAAAGCAGGGAGTGGCCTGATCTGATCCACTTGGGAAGAAATCTTGCAATAAAGTAAGGACGGAGAGAGAGGAAATGTTTGGAGCTAGGGAGAGCTGGAGAACACAGCGAGTCAGGTTGACACACAGGATCAGAGGGGAGAGGACAATTTCTGGTTCAGGATTGCAGAATGAATGCACATAGCTTTCCCCCTCCCTAATTCCCATCGAAATGTCAGAAGAACTATACACATAAAAATAAATCCACCGTAGTCCTGGAAGTATAGGGGGGTTTCTACTAGTCAAACAAAGCAGTGTGGAATTTCCATAGAGCAATACTGTAATACAGACTGGAACAGACTGACTATGTATATATATGTTTTGGTTGTGCTGGGTCTTCATTGCTGTGCACGGGCTTTCTCTAATTGTGGCAAGTGGAGGGCATGTAGAATCTTCCTAGACCGGGGATTGAACCCGCATCCCCTGTATTAGCAGGTGGATTCTTAACCACTAGACCATGAGGGAAGCCCAAAACTCTTAATCTCATATGGGAAAAAGATAAGACCCCCAAAAAAGTCTGTGTTCCGGGCAAATCCAAGAAATTAAGGAAATGCACATCAAACCCACAGTGAGATGTCACCTCACACTTGTCAGAATGGCTATCATCAAAAAGAAAACGAATTGGTGAGATGTGGAGAATAAGGTATCCTCTTACACTGTTGGGGGGAATGCAGACTGGTGCAGCCACTGTGGAAAATAGTATGAAGGTATCTCAAAAAACTAAAAATATAACAGAACTACCATATGACCCAGCAATTCCACTCCTGGGTATATACCCAAAAATAACACAAAAACTCTAATTTGAAGAGACACATATACCCAATGTTCACAGCAGCATTGTTTACAACTGCCAAGATACGGTACCAAACTGAAAGACCATAAAAAGATGAATAAAGAAGAGACATACATTATACACATACACACACGATGGACACTACTCAGTCACAGAAAGAACAGAATTTTGCCATTTGCAGCAACACAGATGGACTTGCAGAGCATTATGTTAAGTGAATAAGTCAGAGAAAGACAAATACTGTGGGGTATCATTTATACGTGGAATCTAAAAAAGACAACAAACTAGTGAATATAACAAAAAGAAGCAGACTGAGAGAGAGAACAAACTAGTGGTCACCAGTGGGGAGGGGCAATACAAGGGTGGAGAGTAAGAGGTACAAACTACTGGTATAAAATAAGCTACAGGGATATATTGTACAACATGGGGATTATGGCCAAAATTTTATATTAACTATAAACGGAGTACAACCTTTAAAAATCGTGAATCACTATATATTGTATACCCGTAACTTATGTAACATTATACAACTATATTTCAATTAAAAAAACACATAAAATAAAATAGGGGTTAAGGCTGGCCTCACTGATCAGATGAGAGTTGGGCAATCCTTGAGGAGAAGCTGTCAATGCAGATATTTGGGGGAAGCATGGTCTAGGTAAGAGGAAAGCTCAAGGGAGGATCTTGAGGCAGGAGTGTACCTGGCTTGTTCTAGAAACAGCCGTAGATCAATAGGAGGAGAAGAGCGAGTGAGAACAAGGGCCTCTTGTGACATTGTAGGAACCTCAGTGAGTTCAGTGGGAGGGCCATTTTGAACACAGAAGTAACATGATGAGGCATGTTTAAAAGGATCTGGTTGTGTGCTGAAAATATACTATTGGGGAACAGGTGAAACAGGGCGGTCTGCTGGGAGGCTGTTACAGTAATTCAGATGAGAGACGACAATGGCTTGGACCAGGATGGGAGCATTGGCACTTGACGGCATTGCTTACTTTGGGCCAGGATGGAGTAGGGAGGGTCAGACTGAAAGAATGAGAAGGAATTGGACTTTCATTTGTAATGAAGGCAAATAATGTACATGCTAGGTGTAAAATGAATGAGAGAACAGTCATCAGTGACCGCAATTTAAGACTTAAGATTTTGAATGCAAAGTCACTCTAGGTGATGGCACAGATCAACTGTGGATGTGAGTGGTTAAAAGGAAGGTCAAGGAAGGAAGGAAAAACAAGGTAAGATCAGAAACCAATGATTTCTAGGATTGTGACAGAAACTAGAGGCTATTATGCAACAATAAATATACTAGAGAATGATCACAGTAAATAGTATATATTTTTGTATAAAATACAGAGCAATTTTAACCACTGTAATGAAAAGCAGTTGGAAGTAAGAGCAAAAGCTTACTCAAACTGTTTCTTTGGAAATAAGAACTGATACAACAAATCTGGTAAATTTCAATATCAGATACTACAGAAATCATATCTTTCATACAAACACAGTTGCAAATGAGTAAATTCAATAAAGCACCAGTGACTAGAATTGTATGTGTGGAGTACAAGGGCAATCTAGAAGCTGGCGCAGCATTATCTTTTACCTTTTTATTCTGATTTGTTTTAGGCTTTGAGGAATTTCTTCCTTTTTTGTGAAGGAGAAACAATGGTGAAGACTCAATGGGACACTCATAAAGAGAAGTGTGGACCTTTTCAGAATACCGCTGGAAATCTTCGACCTCTACATCTCTATCCAACCTGTGTTTGTAACAGAGGAAAGAAAAATCTTAAGAATGTTGTTCAGGATTACATGATGAAGCTATGGAAGTCAAAGAACTTTAGCAATTAATGTGTGTGTGTGTGTGTGTGTGTGTATATGTGATGGGTCTTTATCCATCAACCACTATCTTAATTAGAACCCTTTAAATGATCATTCAACCAATTAACCAACAACTCTATGCCTGGCACCAGCACACTGACAGAGGAACATGCCTTCCCTCACCATGTCCTGGATGATGAGGACCTCATCGGTGTTATTTAATCTGTATTAAATTCCTCCCTTGCATGTTTCTGAGCTCAGGGGGTTCTCATCGTCTTTGTTAAGGATAAAACAACATGGCACTCTACCAAATGGGAGAAGATACTTTCAAACAATATATCTGATAAGGGGTTAATATAAAAAATACACAAAGAACTCACACAATTCAACATAAAAACCAAACAACTTGATTGAAAAAGGGGGCACAGGACCTAAACAGACATTTCTCCAAAGAAGACATAAAGACAGAAAATTGACATGTGAAAAGATGCTTAACATCACTAATCATTAGGGAAATGCCAATAAAAACCACAAAGAGATACCACTCACCTGTCATGATGCCTATCATAAAAAAGACAAGATACAATAAGTGTTAGTGCGGATGTGGAGAAAAGGGAACCCTCACGTTTTGTTGGTAGGAATGTAACTTAGTGCAGCCACTATGGAAAATAGGCTTCTCAAAACATCAAAAAAAAAAAAAAAACAAAAAACTACTATGATCCAGAAATTCCCCATTGGAAAAAAAAAAAAAAAAAGACTGTCCTGTCCATACACCCTATGGCCAAGAAACCAGAACATAAGCAACAGAAGCAAAATTGTAACAAATTCAATAAAGACTTAAAAAAAAAAAAAACAAAAAACTACCATATGATCCAGCAATTCCATTGGTGGGTATTTACCAGAAGAAAACAAAAAGACTGATTTGAAAAGATACATGCACCCCTAGTTTCACTGCAGCATTATTTACAACAGCCACAACATGGAAGCAACTTAAGTGTTGACTGATAGATGAATGGATAAAGATGGGGTATGTATATATGTATGAAATATTATTTAGCCATGAAAAATGAAATCTTGCCATGTGTGACATGGATGGATCTAGAGGGTATTATGTTAAATGAAATAAGTCAGATGGAGAAAGACAAGACTATATGATTTCACTTAAAAGTGGAATCTAAAAAACAAAACAAACAACAAAACAGAGTCACAGATACAGAGAGCAAATGGGTGGATGCAGAAAGGGAGGTGTGAGTCCAAAATTAGTGAAAAGGATTAAGAAGTAAAAACCTCCACTTATAAATAAACCATGGGCATGTAATAAACAACATAAGGAATATAGTTGATAATATTATAATAACAGTATGGAGACAGATGGTTAATAGACTTATCTTGGTGAGTACTTCATATATGCAAATGTCTCCTGAGAAACCTGTATGTGGGTCAAGAAGCAACAGTTAGAACTGGACATGGAACAATGGACTGGTTCCAAATTGGGGAAGGAGTACATCAAGGCTGTATAATGTCACCCTGCTTATTTAACTTATATGCAAAGTACATCATAAGAAATGCCAGGCTAGATGAATCGCAAACTGGAATCAAGATTGCTGGGACAAATAGAAACAACCTCAGATATGCAGATGATACCACTCTAATGGCAGAAAGTAAAGAGTAACTAGAGAACTTCTTGATGAGGACAAAAGAGAAGAGTGAAAAAGCTGGCTTAAAACTCAAGAGCCAAAAAACTAAGATCATGGCATCCAGTCCCATCACTTCATGGCAAATAAATGGCGAAAAAGTGAAAGCAGTGACAGATTTTATTTTCTTGGGCTCCAAAATCACTGCATATGGTGACTGCAGCCATGAAATTAAAAGACGCTTGCTCCTTGGAAGAAAAGCTATGACAAACCTAGAGAGCATATTAAAAAGCAGAGACATCACTTTGCTGACAAAGGTCTGTATAGTCAAAGCTATGGTTTTTCCAGTAGTCATGTATGGATGTGACAGTTGAACACATAAAGAAGGCTGAGCACTGAAGAAGTGATGCTTTTGAATTGTGGAGCTGGAGAAGACTCTTGAGAGTCCCTTTGACCACAGGGAGATCCAATCAGCCCATCCTAAAGGAAATCAACCCTGAATATTCATTGGAAGGACTGATGCTGCAGCTGAAGCTCCAATACTTTGGCCACCTGATGTGAAGAGCCGACTCATTAGAAAAGACCCTGATGCTGGGGAAGATTGAAGGCAGGAGGAGAAGCGGGTAGCAGAGGATGAGATGGTTAGATAGAAACACCAACTCAAAGGACATGAGTATGAACAAACCAAAGGAGATAATAGAGGACAGAGGAGCCTGGTATGCTGTAGTCCATGGGGCTGAAAACAGTCAGACCTGACTTAGAGACTGAACAACAATCAGATGTCACGTGCACCCCAATGTTCATCGCAGCACTGTTTATAATAGCCAGGACATGGAAGCAACCTAGATGCCCATCAGCAGACAAATGGATGAGGAAGCTGTGGTACATATACACCATGGAATATTACTCAGCCATTAAAAAGAATTCATTTGAATCAGTTCTAATGAGATGGATGAAACTGGAGCCCATTATACAGAGTGAAGTAAGCCAGAAAGATAAAGACCATTACAGTATACTAACACATATATATGGACTTTAGAAAGATGGTAACGATAACGCTATATGCAAAACAGAAAAAGAGACTCAGATGTATAGAACAGACTTGTGGACTCTGTGGGAGAAGGCGAGGGTGGGATGTTTCAAGAGAACAGCATCAAAACATGTATATTATCTAGGGTGAAACAGATCACCAGCCCAGGTTGGGTGCATGAGACAAGTGCTCGGGCCTGGTGCACTGGGAAGACCCAGAGGGATCGGGTGGAGAGGGAGGTGGGAGGGGGGACCGGGATGGGGAATACATGTAAATCCATGGCTAATTCATTTCAATGTATGACAAAAACCACTGCAATGATGTAAAGTAATTAGCCTCCAACTAATAAAAAAAAAAATCAGATGTCAAATCACTATGTAGTATACCTGAAACTAACATAATATTGTACATCAACCAAATTTCAACAAGAGAAAATTAATGAGAAAACAGTCATGCATTAAATTAATATATAAATTAATTTATATAAATTAATATATAATTAATTAAATTAAATATAATTAATTAAATATAATTAATATTTATATATAAATTAATATATTTTATATATAAAATATAAACCTGTGAGGATGATTTGGGTATGTTGCTCTGTATTGTACCACTGACAAAGTACAGAAATAACCACATTTAATATTCACAGTTTGCTGTATGCTATGTGCTTTATGTACATTATCTCAATTAATCCTCATAACAAGTTTACCAAGTGGGCCCTATTATTATCTGCATTTTGCAGCTGAAGAAACAAAGGCACACTTAGCCGATGCTGTACAAAAATTAAAAGGCAAAAACCTTACACACAAACCTGTGTGTGTCAGTTTTTCAAGCACATGCAAGCATTTAATGACTACCCTCTTATGCTCCCAATATTTCATAATTCTTAGTTTTAATAAGGTAAATGTTTTAATTATCAACTTGAACGTCTTTACTGATCATGCAGATTTATGAATACTAAAAATACTGTACCTGGTGAAGTAGGCATTACTTATACATCCGGTCAAATTAGCATACTGGGGAGTGATGGGTGAGCCGCCAAAGTAGAATTTCTTTTCACCTGCTTGGGTCTGCTCCACTTTCCCTCTGGCAGGGTTCTTACTCCCAAGTCTGCTCTTATCTACTATCAACTCATATCTGCAAGGGAAAAAGCTTTTTTAAGCACTACACAGCTAACGTATTGCTTGAGTTCTGTTCTAGGTTGTATGTTTTCTCATGGAATTGAGAAATGGAACATTTGGTTAATGACAAGATAACAAGTTGCCAGACTCTGTGAGGCTCAGGATAAAACGGATGAATATTTCTATATGCAGAAAAGGCTCTCCAAATAAACGACTGGAATTTAAACCCATAGAAGCAGGTTCAAATGACTAGTCATCAGAAACATTTTTTTTTTTTGGTGTGGAAAAATCAGAACATAAATCATGGTGATCATTTAATCATATCTGTGGGAAGCTATTTTCATTCTAAAGCACATTGACAGTGATTGGAAATGGCATGTTGCAAAGACCTATTAACATTTTCTTTTAATGGGAGGGCTCCCCAGGAATGGACACAGAATAGGAGCAGTCTGCAACAGAAAATACGTTGCTTTTACAGAAAGAATTTTCCTTTTATGAAAGAGAAATACAGTATTACACACTTTAAAGATAAAGTTAAAAGACTTTTTAAAGTGAAGTTAAATGTGTCTGACTCTTTGTGACCCCATGGACTGTACACCAGGCTCCTCTGTCCATGGAATTCTCCAGGCAAGAATACTGGAGTGGGTTGCCATTTCCTTCTCCAAAGACATTTTAAAATGTGACCATAAATGTAACTTTCTCAATTGTTTAATTAAAACCTAATGAAACCTGTTGCTTGTTAAGTTTTTCTATGTATAAAGCACTGCGCTCCATTTAGTTTAAGTGGTATGTACTGGTACTTCCCTCAAGGAAATTATAGCTTATGGTTTCACTGGAAAAATTTTTATATACCTGTTAATTAATTTTATAGTGACTTATTTGGCATGTTTTAAAATTAATAGCAATTTTTTTAAAAAGTAAGTTGTTCCTTCTACCATTTTTTTAAACACTAGAAAGGTAATAAGAGATAGTCTATTATTAGTAGTGGTCACTGGACGAATTCATGTCCTACAGGTGAAGCCACCTGGTGGAAAGAACATAAAGTGAGGAGCTATACCTTGCTGGGGAGACGGAGGTAATGATGAAGTGGGACAGCCCATCATTGTACTGCTTATCTGCAGACTGCACCTTGATTCCCTTCACATCCATGATCACGGTGCCATTATTCAATGAGATGGAGAACACGTCTGACTGAAATGCAAGCACAGGTGTTTTAACAACGGAAGCCAGGGATCCAAAAGGTGGACATGTTTTCAACATTTACTTATGGGACTGCTTAAAGGAACACACAACACATGAGAGGTTTGCTTGAAAAATAATTTCTATGAACAGCAAATACTGTTTTGCCTGGATTGTTATGTTACTTGTAAACTTAGACACATTTCAGTGGAAAGCAGAATTTCCTTTATCTGAACTGAAAATTTCAGGTGATGTTGTCACACTAAGGAGCTGCTATCCCAGTGTCAGTCACTTTCTTTACTCAAGCATTGCTCTTCTGTCATTAGCCTCACTTGTGAAAAACCAGTATTTTAATTTCCTTGGGGATGTAGTGAGATGACTAGACAAGAGTTATTTTGCTATTGTGGCTTTTAAAAATGTTTCACTTTCCAGCTGTGGTACATATACACAATGGAATATCACTCAGCTATTAAAAAGAATGCATTTGAATCCGTTCTAATGAGGTGGATGAACCTGGAGCCTATTATACAGAGCAAAGTATGTCAGAAAGAAAAACACCAATACAGTATATTAACACATATATGTGGAATTTAGAAAGATGGTAACGATGACCCTATATGCAAGACAGCAAAAGAGACACAGATGTAAAGAACAGATTTTTGGACTCTGTGGGAGAAGGCGAGGGTGGGATGATTTGAGAGAATGGCATTGAAACATGGATATTATCACATGTGAGACAGATCATCAGTCCAGGTTTGATGCATGAGACAGGGTGCTCAGAGCTGGTGCACTGGGATGATCCTGAGGGATGGGATGGGGAGGGAAGTGGGAGGGTTTCAGGATGGGGAATACATGTACACCCATGGCTGATTCATGTCAATGTATGGCAAAACCACTACAGTACTGTAAAGTAATTAGCCTCCAGTTTAAAAAAAAAGAATAAAAAAAAAAGAAAAAAATGTTTCACTTTCCATCTACAGAGGCATAAAAATTAAAAAATAGCAGAAGTTAACATCTATTTTTCTGAATTTCTTTATTGTTTGGCAATATTCCTTAAAATATTGGCAAAATGATAATCTTCCTTTTCTTCCCCGATATGGGCCTCAATCTCTACAGTTAGATCTCAACATAAATAAGGTCACCAAACTTTTATAAATGTTATTTTATTGTTGACATAGTATATTTTTGTTCAGTTCAGTTCAGTTACTCAGTTGTGTCCGACTCTTTGCAACCCCAAGGACTGCTACCCATGGACTGTAGCTAAAGTATAGCAAATTCAAAAACTATTTCATAAATTGAGTCACATGTATGTTAGTAGTGTATATATACACTGAGGTTCTTAACATATTTTGTGCTATGCCTTTTTTGGTAGTTTGGTGACACATATGGGCTCCTTCATAAAATATTTTAAAATCACTTATACAAAAGAAACCAATTATATTGAAATACAGTTTCAAAATACCAAAATGATAAATATGTGATATACATGTACTTCTACATTAAGGCACTAAACAATCAAATCTAGTAGCAGATCTAGTAACTACTTTAATTTAGAAGTAGCAATAAACAAAAATGGTATTTTGAGATATATATGACAACTATAACATGAAATGAAAAATACCTTTAATTTCTACTAAAGACAAAATCATAGGTATTGCTAATATTACTGTAGTTTGTTGCTGACATTCACAATTGAAGAAAATGCTAAATTTTAGTTAGAGAAAATAAAGATTTAATTTTTTCTCACCTAGTTCACGGACCCACTGAATTCTCTCATGAACTCCTCAAGGAGGTTTATGAAGCCCAGGTTAAAAACTCCCATATGATATATTTACAATATTTTACAAACTGTTTGAAATAAGACATTCCATGTGTGTACAGGAGTCAAAATTAATCTGAATTGAAAATTACTTTTAATGTGCTTAGAAGGATTTTTAATAGGCAAAACAATTACCACAAAGAAGTTTCCACCACAAAAAACAAATACTTACCCCTGATGCATAATAGAACAGTAATCCATTTGGCTGTAACGTTCGGAAATTAAAACCTCCTTCAAAGCCATCAAAAAAAGATATTTTCTGACTTGAAGCAATGTAACTCTGTCCATTGAAATATGCTCTTCGAGATATCTGTGTGCCAAAGAAAGTATAGAGTTTGTGATAATTATCAAATGCCTAAAATGTCCATTTCCTACATACCAAAGGCCTTATCTGCTAGCTCCTATATTAATAGTTATGTTTTAATTTCTGGCTTATGCTAGAATTCAGACCTGTTAGCCTTCCTTCTGTATGCTACTAACAGATAGGGTTTCAGCTTGCCTACTTCCTCCATTGTGAGTGAGTGAATATGCTCATGTAGACTCTCTGGGCTTTGGAGCCCCAGCCATTGAAGGGTGAAGCAACTGGACAAGTTCAGAGGATTCCCATAAGCCTTTTTAGCTTAATGATTCTTCTGTCTGCTGGTGGCAGAAAGGAACCCAAGGTGTACACAGGATCACATAGAAAAAAGTTTTTTCAGCTTTTAAGAGAGGTAAATTTCTTGTCTATTTATTAAAAACCTTTCAATTGTGCACTTACGAGAGAGTCTTCTGGGCATCCATAGCCAACTCCCAGGGTTTCTGTCTGTTCTAATAAATTGAAATCTTTCTTTTGGAACTGGAAGCCCTTCATGCATCCTCTGAAGTTGATATCTAGGGGAAGGTGTGCTCTTAAGGTCCTGGAAAAGAAAATCAATCTTTACTGATACAGCTGTGATGATAATGGTGGTGGAGGTGATGATGATGTCACCCTACATATGCAGGATGTAAAATTTGATTTTATTTATAGTTATTTTTAATAGCTTTACAGTTATTCCCATTTTCATGCTTTCTTTCATAAGCATACAGTAATTTTTAACCTTTGCATACAGAACAGCTTTATTCTGCATGGGGCCAATTTGTTTACTTCTTTATAGTTTTCAAGATCTTTTAACTTAAATCAGCTCATTTTATCTTTATAACAATTCAGTGAGTTAGATGGTGATGCTATTCTTTCCCTTTTACAGCTGATTAATAGGTTGAACAATAATGAACTGACATATGTATAGGTCAAAAACTGTGAACTCTTGGCAGTTTCACATGGTTTATCTATAAAATGAAACTAAGAAATATTAAGTCTTTTTTTTCCTATGTCACAAGTAGAAAGTTAGGATTTGAACCCAGGTCTTCAGTTGTCCACTAATCCTACTTGAGTCATGAACCCACTTACTTGTCTTATTTGCAACGCAATAATCAACCAAGGATAGGGAAGTTTTCAATGAATGTTCAGACTTTGGAGCAATAGGAAAGTGAGAAATCCTTTATCTTTAAGATCAAAGATGGCATTTTGCTCAAAACAGTACCCATCACTATGTCTAATAGATAGAAAGTGCCCAAGAACATAGTATTGGATACTGAATGAATATGAAGTTAATTCTGAGTAAGTTACAAAGACTTCAATGTATTTTAGATGAACACTGACCAAACTAAGGGGTAACAGTCCAACTGTATTCTGCTCTCACAAGATCATGTCTGAATGACATGCTAATTGATAGATTAAGGTGCACATATAGCAACCACAATGGTTAAAGATCCGAAGTGGCATGGCTGAAGGAATTGAGGATATCTAGTTTGGAAAAGAAGCTTAAAGTTGGAGGTCTTATCCCAGAAAAATTAGAATTTCTGGAGAATGACTGTGGGTAGTGACATTTATAAACATTCTCTAGGTCATTCTAATGAGAACCAGGGTTGAGAGTGACTGGACTGGAATGTCCTAATGCTGTCTCTCAGTTTAGGATCTCTCATGCTGTGAATTGATTGTAATAAGAGATAGCTGAATTTTTGAAAAATCAGAATAATATTTCATTATACTTAATTTGGGTTTCCCAGGCAGTGCTAGTGGTAAAGAACCCGCCTGCCAAAGCAGGAGACATAGGTTTGATCCCTGAATCGGGAAGATCCCCTCGAGGAGGGCAGGACAACTCACTCCAGTATTCATGCCTGGAAAATCCCATGGACAGAGCAACCTGGTGAGCTACTGTCCATAGGGTTGCAGAGTTCATACAACTGAAGAGACTTAGCACGCACACATACTTAATTCATGAGGCTTCCCTGGTGACTCAACAGTAAAGAATCTGCCTGCAAATGCAGGAGACATAAGTTCGATTTCTGGGTGGAGAAGATCCCCTCGTGGAGGAAATGGCAACTCACTCCAGTATTCTTGCCTGGGAAATCTGATGGACAGAAAAGCTTGGCAGGCTACCGTCCATGGAGTCACAAAAGAGTCAGACACAACTCATTGACTAAAGAACAACAACATATTTAATTCACATCTCCTGGGGCAGGGTTAAAATTTTGGTTTACTCTCAGATACTATTTGAGAGTTCAAATAACTCTAAACTAATACTAGAACAAAAGTAAACGGACACAACACTTCTTCGCTTTCACACATGCTCCACCTCTCCTTTGTGGATGAGAAATACTGCATGAGGCTATGTTCTAAGAGTAATAAATACAGACTTTTGTAGATCATGTTTACCTGATGCTAATTAAGGGGGTCACAGGGACTGGCTGCACGGGGCACACAGGTATATGACTGTGTGTGTACTCCTCTACATGTGCACAGAAGTATTAGGTGGGAAGGTCAAACATTTACTACACTGCTCCTGCATGCTGAGTCCTCAGCCCAGTGCGTTGGGAACAAACAGCTTAACAAGAACAAAAAAGCTTACCTTGACTGTAAGATTTCTGGGGGAGCTCCTCCAATGTATATGTCTGTAAAAGGTATTTTCATCTTTTCATTATCCATGCTCTTAACATGTCGTCTGTCAACTACCAAAATCATTTTCTTATCATTGTGGTAAATGATTGAGATCTGGGAGAAATAATACACAATAAGTCCTGATCATTGCTTAACAATCAGCTTTTTGAAGACTGCTATGTATTTTAGTTATTTAATAATAATTTAATTATTATTCATAATTATTTAATTATGTTGTAACAGCTGGGCCTCCATGATCTTACACTTATTTGTTTACAAAATGGGCAATAGCTCTTCCTTCGTTACTCACAGACATGAAAACTCTTAGTCATATTACCATAAGTTCCCATTTGCTGGAGAAGGATTCCATATGGATTCACAGCTAGCCCAAGAAAAATTCTGTTATGAGATCAACTTTTTAATTAATATTTTGCTCCTTTGAGGGGTTTCAGGAAAAAAGTGCAAACAGGTGCCTCTGGACCCTGGTCTGCAGGTTGCCAGATGTCATTGTTTGGTGACATAATAAGCTTTAATGAATGTGGGAAAATTCTAGTCAGAGAAATAGTTAACATATTCTTCTATTGTAAACCACCCTCATGAAGGCTATGGACTTTGAACTGAAAAGAGAAATATAGCCTCTACTCTGCATTTTAGTTCAACTTAGACAATACTATGACTTTTATATATTTTATTAAAGTATAGGTTTAAAGTAGTAGTTAGTAAAAACAGATGAAATATTAGTATACTGCACATCTGTGTCAAGACAGATGAGCATTCTTTGTGGGTTCTCATTTTATAAGAAAATTTGTGTTACTATTTTCTAAGTTTCGGAGAAAGGTTTAAAAAGGAAATTCTTCACTTATTTAAGTGAAGAATGGGACTCAAGGAAAAAGCAAAAACAAAATAGCTGTGTATCTACATTATCATTTTCAACAAATGTACAGAAGTGCCATCATAATCAATATATTGAATACCAACAGGAATCTTTTGATCAATGAAGCAATTAAAATGTATCTTCACTGACTCTTTTATTGGAAACTCCAATATGACAAAAATGTCCACTCTTTTGAAGCAAATGTTATCCTGGAGTTGAGTATATGAGGGCCCTTCATTGGTTTTTATATGTGAAAGTGTTCAGTTAATTACTTTCTCACCTATCTCATTTGACCATGTGATTAGATCAATAGATCCAAATACAAATAAAACAAAGCATTAAAACTGCAATGATCAGTACCTCATGGTATTTTGCATCATTAATTTGAGCTTTCTTTAATGTGTCTTCAAGATGCACAGGGCCATTGCTAAACCCAAAGTCATAGAACACATGTAGGTAACCACTGCGCATTTCCAGGCTGAAAAACATAGTCTGTGGAGAAGAAAAAAAGTTGTAGACATGAGAGTCTGCTATTATGAAAGAGCAGGTTTAGCTGAATTTGAGAAATAACACTATATTCTTTACTATTGAAACTGAAGACTACAGAAGTCTCATGAAATTCTTATTATGAAATAAAAATCACAATTACATCCAGATCAGCAGTTACATCTCATATACCAAAGTTTTAATATTCACACACAATTTAAAACAATTATCTTCTAATGTTTTTACTTGTGAATTAATGAAATTTTAAATTTACCTTATTGATTTTTAACAATCTTGAAAACAGAGTACTATAGGCCATATGTAATCAACGGCCCTATTTTAAGGCAAGGTTTGAAAGTTGTAACAGGCCAACAGATGTGACTACATTTCATTTTAAAAGCAAAATTGGTACCACTTAAAAATAGTTCCAAGGTATGCTGAAAAGAATCTTGGAAAATTATCAGTAAATATGGATAAAAGGAAAAGAAGGCCCACTTCTGTAACACTGGGTTTACATAAATAAACATGGAATTATTATGTACTTAGACCACATGATATTCAACAACCAAAGTAATTCTATAACACTCAAGTAATTTACTGGTCAGGCTTGCTTGTTTTAGAAGATAGTTCACAGACACAAGAATTCAGTGGATATGAAGAATAAAGTATTATGGTTGTTGTTCAGTCACTAAGTTGTGTCCGACTTTTTGCAACCCCATGGACTGCATGTAGCACACCAGGCTCCCCAGCCTTAACTCCCTCCTGGAGTTTGTTCAGATTTATGTCCACTGAGTTGGTGATGGTAAAGTCCATATTTCACTGAAAGTGATGTCTTGGACAGAGTTTATATACTCCTAAGAATGTGGGACACAATCCACTGGGGGATGGAAAGAAAGCATTTTAACTTCTATTTATACTCATTTTGAAACTCTAAAATAGAGAAGCCAACTTTCAATATTTAATACATATTTAATATTTAATACATACCCTGGGCCTTCATTTTGTCCTTTTGACTGGGTTTTCACAGGATTCAGATTTACACTTTGAGAATGAAGTTCCACACTTCAAGGTGGGCCACGACCCTTGGCCCACTCTGCACTGATTTCTTTGTGTTTAGCCTATTGCAGTTATCGCAGTTTATGGGTGCTTGGTGGGTTTATGAATAAGCCACTTAATAATAGAATATTTATAATGATTTTCTATTGAGATATTGTGATGTGAAAATATTCTGAGACACATAGATATTTTCAGATTACTTCCTACAAATTACTAAAAATGTGGTCAAATTTAAAGAGCATTACACATTTGCTTTATAAAATGAATTATTCTAAACTTATTGACCTTTATTTGTGATAACAAATGTCTTTTAGTAGTATGAAACCCATTAGCTACTGAAAAAATATACTTTAGCTGTTGTTTCAAGGTAGGGGCATTATAACAATGAAGGAGAAACTATTTTGGTGGGGAAGAAAGTTCTACTCTGGAGAGACTTTTTTAAAAAAAAATCTGAAAAATTTTCTATTGTTATGTAAATTTGCTGATGAAAACAATGTAAGTTTTCATGTTTTTATGTACTACCATAAAAACTCTCATATCTACACTACTAAAACTTTTTTGGAAATTTTTTTTTTTAAAGTTTAAAAGTTTTTCAAATGAAGATTTTTAATGGTCTTGAATTCTTTTGTTAAAGTTTACAAAATGATACACTATCTGATTAGCTTCCAAGAACTGACATCAGGGAAAATGAAAATGTGCCAGCCATTTTCAAAGACAACTTCTGCCAATTAGTGAATGAAATAATAATGATATCATGATTTACTAAGCATAGCCAATGATATACTTCCTACATTTTTATTTATATGAGATATCTTGTCTAGTTATGATAGCCAATAACACTTAGTACTGAAATAAACTGAACTCATGATAAGACTTCAGTATCACCAAGAATTTAATGTGACTTAAAATACTTAAAACATATTTAATTACATTGTTCTCACTAACACTGCCATTAATAATTTTTGTGTCACTAGCAAAATAAAAATAATTTCTTAAACTTCTTTGTATTCTTGCCTAGAGAATCTCATGAACAGAGGAGCCTGGAGGGCTACAATCCATGGGGTCCCCAGAGTTGGACAGGACTTAGCGACTAAACCACTGCCACCATTTTAAACTTGCATTTATTTCAACATTTTATATTTATACAAATTATATTTCTCCTAGTTTTGAATATTATATATAGTACCTGTATATCATTAATAAAGAAATGCATATATATATATACACACACACATATGTTAAGCATGCAAACTCTTTTTTAACTGGTTAGGGCATATGATTTAAAAAGTAAGTGTTAAATTTCTGTAGACATATGCAAAGAGTTGGACACGACTGAGCGACTGAACTGATGCTGATTTAGATCTTGGTGCTGATTTTGATCTTGGTGCTGATTTTCATCAAAGTTTTCTTAGTTTATTGAATGTATTATATTTAATATACATCTAAAAATATAGTGCAGGGAAATGCCATTTCACGGCTGCTTTTACTTACTGCTGACATCAGGTCCCTGCAGGAAAAGAAAACCAATTTTGCTGTATAAACTAAACGTTCAGTTTTATGGCATGCCACACTCAACTTGGGAAGGTGCCTAGAAACATGCATGGTGGAAAGTAAAGGCAACAAGGGAGAAGATGTAGGACTTTTTACTCACTCCATTGACCATGAGGAGCACGAGGCCATTGTCAGCTGGTGTTCTAACTTCGATGTCAAAGCGAGTCACCTGGCCAAACTTCCCTCTCCTTGTGATATCCCTCACTATGGCATAACTAGAGCCATCGAAGAAATAGCTGGCAGCCCGACTCTGTGTAAAGGCCAGTTTGTCTCTGAAATAAAAATGCAAGGATCACATAAACATGACAGTATCTGTTAAGCTTTCAAGTGAGGTTCTTTTCAATCCATTCTCATGACATTTTCCACTGGTCTTACAGCATTTAAATGAAGTCCTGATGTCTGCATGTGAGACATAAAGAAGCATTTAAAAAAAAACTGTCTGTGATGGATTTTTTTTCTTCGTACCCTGTGTGCTACGATAACAGAAGGTTCTAGTGAGACCTTAGTCTCTGTTATCCAAAACCAAAGCTGCAATTCAGGAGTTTAACTTTTTAATAATTGTGCATGCTCATTATGATAGAGAAGAATTGAAAAGTTGTTTACATGCATGACTATTAAGCAGTTTCAAAATTTGTTTTCCCAAAAAAAAAAAAAATTTGTTTTCCCCAAGAAAAGACTGAAAACCTGAATACTGACCCACACTTGTCCTATCTGCAGCTCTTGCATAGCCATCAAATTTTTAGTGCTCTTAGCATGCTCTTACCTGGCACAGGGCACTGATTTGGAGGGGTCCATATTATAGATGTGCTTAAAATTGTACAAGCTGATCACATCATTATTCAAAGTGGCCAATTCCAGGCAGCCAACAAAGCCAGGCAGGTTTAAGCTAGCAGGGAGCTGTGAAACAAAGTGAAGTTAGTTCTCCCATGACTACATTTCATCCAGTCCATACAGATCAGGCTGGGAGACAAAGGTCAAGGGGACTGTCCCATTGACAGAAATATCATTCTACACCCGAGTTTATGTCTATTCTATGCCAAATCATTCAGATTAAGAATGATTGTTCAGTTGTTCACATCTTAGCAGAGAGGGTGTGGGTTTACTGAGCATATACTATGTGCCAGTCACTTGCCTGACGATGGATTCATGACCAAAGTCAATCCTCACACTAACTCCATGAGGTAGGTATTCCTGTCCTCACATAAAATGAGATAAAGTAATTCTCAGAAAAATTCAATAATATGCCTCTAACTAGTGAGTACCTAGTTACTGAAATTGTGCACCTGAAATCGTAGATCAACTCCTTATCTTCTTCGGTCCTTCCTGAATCTGCCCTTCATCAGGTCTCATCTGTCTCCCTAAATCCTACCCCCTCCCACATCCCAGGTATTTAATTTCCTGCTTGTGTATCAGCTGAAATAACTACGTTTTTGAAACTGTCATCTGTGAACCTGAAGACTAGCTATAAACCTACAAGGTATAGGCATTATTGCAGTAGGTGGGGTAATATTAATTATAAATGCACGTATCAGGATGAAACACATTTGATATTCAAGTTTTCGCTATGGCATTAAATTATTTGACACTGAAAATATGTGCAGCAGAGATCAGATTTACACAGCATATTTACAGACCCTGATTCAGAATTCTACTACCCACTGACCTAAACTCTATTTTTAAGGTATCAAGGTTTCCAATCAACCCAGAGTCACTGTAGGTGTTATGGACTTCTAAAAACAATCATTGTAGATTTGCAATTAAGTTGAAATGTGGCTGGATAGCTCACCTTGAAATTTGATGGCACGCCCCCAACATAAAACACAGTGTCTTCGGGATCCAGATCCAACAAGGAGTCATCTCCAGCAAATTCTCCCTTTTTAATAAACTTTTCCTCTGCGGTGCTACTTAGACTTGGGACTGTTAAAAACACCTTTCCGTGTTTTCCTACCCTGTTCAGATAAAGAATTTTTACACCTTAGTAGCCAGATAATTTGTATAAAACACTTTTTTTTTTAAAATGTCAAAATGTGAAAACCCCTTCATCACAGACTTGGTGACTTGATTTTGTCATTTTCATAAGCATTTATAGAATGTCAACAATCATGGGAAGGGGAAAAACCACATTGCACCTTGGAACTGGATTTGTGGATTGGCCAGATTAAAAAAAAAAACAACTAATAATCAGATTTCTATTTAGAAGTGATGACTATTTTTTTAACTTTTTGCTTCCTACCAAGGCACTTGTGAAGAAATATGTAAATAATGGAAGAAGGAGAAGCAACATCCACAGAAACACTGTGTGTATGTATCTGTGTGTGCGTGAGAGCATTCAATAGACTTCTTATGAAATGTGCAGATCAGCCTTGCGTCATGGATTCACTTTACCTTTCAATCTTGACAATGCTGAAGTAAGCAGGCCAGGTACTGACAGGCTTGGAGTCCAGGGGAATCTCTACATCCTTAGTTCCCAAATTATAAACGTACACCAGGTTGTCATTTTTGATTGCAAGACCCATGTACTCTTTTTTGCCCTGGAATGTTAAGAAGTCTCGTAAATAAAATTCATATGAATGAATATGAATGAATATCAACTTTTGTTCTCATTTCTTTAAAGGACAATTAGCAAACTAAATGTTTGGCTGTGTATAAGGCACTCTGGCTTGAATTATTACCAAAGCTCCTGTTAGACTGGGTAGTGCCTCCTCCTTTCCAGCCTCCCTATGGCTGCATCAGTGTGAGGCCCCTGCCCACTACCCACCCCCGCCCACCCCTCTGTGCCTGTCCAAGTATACCCTGGACAGGAAGCCAAGCAACTTCAGGCTTGTGGACATTTGATGGCTGCCCGGAGGGTGCTAACCTTGTTTCATTAATCTGGGAATATAATGCCGCTTGCCAATACCGACTGCTTTATATCTTCAAGCAGGGTTCAGCATTAAATATAGTTAAGTCTCTGTACTCTGGATGTCTTTGAGATGCAGCATTCAGACTCCTGAGTTTGCAGTGTGAGGGTGATATGAGGAAACCACAGAAATATCCCCCACAGAGGAAGAACCACCTGTCCCACACAAAGAAGGAATTGCTACTTTAGTCTTGGCCTTCTGATCTACACCTTCTGAGGTGCTAGAATGGGAATTTTGTTTGTTTGCACAGGTAGTTTTGTTTTGAGACAAGAGAAAAACACTTATCTTTCCTTTTAATGTAATTCCATCTTTTAAAACCACTTGCTCTTACGTTTTTGCTTCCGAGGTACAGGATGAACTGATCTGCAGTCCCAGCCAGTTCTGGCTGCTTCACAGGAGGAGGCTTCATGTACAGGCTCAGAGATGTAAAGGTCTTTAAGTCATCCACGCTGGCTCTGGGGTGCACTTCGACTGCTGACTGGCCATCAAACATCATGGAGACTTGGATCTGAAGTTAGAAAATTATTTCATTAAAATGCAGAAGTGCAGAAATGGGCATGGTGCTTCCCCATGGTCCTCAATGGCTTCCCTCATCTCTGAGCTTTGCTCAAAGACCTCCAAGGCTTTGTTTACTTATATCCTCACCTTGTTGGAGAAAGGATTTAAAGAACATAACACAGCTTAAATTTAAAGCTCAGTGAAAGAAAGCAAAACAAAAAGGCAACAAAGTAGGTCTAAGAATGAGGGTAAATATGCATTCCACAATGAGCTAGGTATTTGGTTAAAGTGAACTAAACGGCTTGAAAGGATACTTTGTTATCCAATTCACAAGGCCCATAAATTTAACAACTAATTGGTCAGGAGAATAATAACTAATCTTGGGTTCTAATACAGCTAGGACCTTCTCCCTAGGGTCTTCAAAAGAGAAGCACTGGTGAGGCTGTGGGCAGTATTCTAGATCATGTTTAGGCAGTTGGGAGGGGTCTAGACCCAGCTTCGAAGTCTTATACGGGGTCTTGAAACCTGGCTCTACCACTTATTAGCTATGGAACCATGAGTAAATCACTTAATCTGCAGTTTCCTAATTGTTAAATGAGGACAAAAGATTTGTTAAGAGGATGAAACAAGGTAACTATAAAGTGTTTTCCAGTGTCTGGCTCTATCATAATAACTGTAATGATCACTTCATTAAGATATTCCTTGTAATGATCCTTAGAAAGGCATCACAATGAAGCACAATTCAGAAAATGCATTTCTAAGAGACCCAATATAACATGCTGACCTGGTCTGATTCAAGGTGATTTTCAGAATATTCAGAAGTGGATGGACTGTGTATATTCACGCCATTATGCAAATACTTATGAATTAGATATATTACATCAATTGACTAACATTTAGTTAATATTGATAGCCAGTGAGTTCAAGATTATATTTTCAAGTGCCTAAAGAGCAGCTGTTCTATGACAGTTGAGAAGAATACAATACATCTTAGTAAATAATCAAGTAGTATATGGGATTAGTCTGTAAAAATTGAGAGTTTGAAAAAGATATCTATCTGTATTAGAAAGCATCTCCCTTTGGGGAGCTGTGTGGGTTCACAAAGGCATTGCCAGGACTTTCTTCAGAAAATGGTTTTAGGTGATTAAGGCTCCTAAATTCCACTCCATAGAAATACAAGTATGAGAAGGTATTCACAGAAACCTAGCTTTGGATATGCCATTTACTGACAATAAGTCTTCTTTGAAATGTTCTCCAAGGTATCTAAAAGGTGATTTGTGGTGTAGGGCTAATTACCATATATCATTTATAAGTTGGGTATATTTAGCAATAATAATTTCCTTCATTACAAAACAGTTGATTTCCAATTCTTAATTCTGTCAGTAATTAGGGCCAATAGTCTGTTCAGGTTGATTCGTAATTGAGAAAATAAAACCATATAATTTGTTTGTTAAAAAAATCATGCTGGTCTATAAATGAATAAAAAACAAATTAGAAAAGGGGCCAAGAACAAGTCCTGTTGAGTCACAGTGACAATGTTAATTGTTGTGTTGGGATATTTCCTATCAATGCTAGCACAAGTTACGGTGTTTGTTGCTTCTGTATAGCATGTCAGAATTGGGACTTTGTTGAAATTGTTCAGTTTAGCTGCTATGTGTTAAGCCTGTGGAGAGGTCAGTAAAAGTTTCGTATCATCTATGCTGTGCCAGAGAATTCTTTGAAGAGGCAAATGAGCAAGAATATTCCATTTAGTAATTACATAAAGATAGCTGTTAGGATAATGAATAGTAATAATAAAATTGAGTCTTTAATCGGGGTTGGCCTTCTTTGATTCCTTTTGCTCTATGAGCTATGTTGACTAGGCTAAATGTATACCTCTGAATCTTGGCTACACATTAGAATCATTGAGGAGCTTCACAAAAAAGCACAGGTTTTGTGCCCTCATTTAGAGAGCCTGATTATTGCTTTATGGTTGGGACCAGGAATTAGTTTGGTTTTCAAATCTCCTTGCTGAGTGTAACGAACAGATGGAGCTGAGAACTATCAAGCTGGATAATACAGTAGAAAGTTCCCAGCTCTGGAAGCTGCCCAAGGATCTAAGCTCAGCCCCCTGCTGTCCTTATCACCAAGTGACTGGTAATGACTCTTTTCACTGGTTACCTTGCTGGCAACACTTCTGGTCTGAGCGATGAGCTCTCGGATCCTTTGGATGCTGGCGGAAACATTGCTTGCAGGCCGCTTCTGTTCTACTGTGCGAAGCTGATCCAGGAGCTGAGGCACAACCTCTGTCAGGTTTCCAACTGTGGTTAATAAAAAGGAATCATTTGAGTAGACACTTCAGTAGTTAAGTCTACTTCAGCAATCAGGTGAAGAGACAACAAACGCATGGTTACTTCTGGTAGAACTATAAGAAGCTATATTTAATTCTAAAAAATTAATAGTTTAGTCCAAAGCATAATCAGTTCCTATCCTGTGATGCTTACAATACATATTGATCTATAAACTGTATGCAGAGCAAGCTGACATACAATGTACATTTCTAAAGGGCAGGACCCATGACAAATACACAGATGTTTCACTAAAGAGCACAAGTTCTACTCACATTTCTGATATAACAGGTCAAAAGAAATGCTGGGCAAGGCGGGGTGGGTGGGAAGGTTTTTTCCTAAGATGCCTGTTCACACATCACAATGCCACTGCAGTGGTCCCAGCAGAAGCAGAGCTGGATGGAAGAAATAAGGGAGCGCGCCCGGAAAAGTGGCAGTTGTGCGAAGGCTGGGGGTTGGGGAGTCATGGTCTATGATCCTAGACAAAGGTGAGCAGACCATACTGATTTTTAAAGTTACTTTCTTTTTGTATGTCAGGGGGGAAGGGGAGGAGGGGATATATAATTTACACAGAGAAAAGAGCACAAATTACGAGGATACAACTTGATGAAAAAAGTCCAAAACAGAGAATAGCACAGCTTTCTTAAAAGTTTCATGGACTGAAGCAGTGGTTCTCAATGTGTGGTCCCCAGACCAGCAATATGGGGATGGGGTCCAGGTGGTTCTGATGCACACTCATGTTTGAGAACCACTGGAGTAGAAAACAAATACCCTTGGGCAAACTCCTGGCTAAGGGCAGGGCATGGTCACCGAGCATGAGCAGCTGAGCAAAAGCAACCCTATTCCTGGAGCCAAATTAAACTCAGATTCAGGAGAACAGGGCTTCCCGAGAGGCTCAACCGGAGAAGGCAACGGCGCCCACTGCAGGACTCTCGCCTGGAAAATCCCATGGACGGAGGAGCCTGGTAGGCTGTGGTCCATGGGGTCATGAAGAGTCAGACACGACTGAGCAACTTCACTTTCACTTTTCACTTTCATGCATTGGAGAAGGAAATGGCAACCCACTCCAGTGTTCTTGCCTGGAGAATCCCAGGGACGGGGGAGCCTGNCCCAGGGATGGGGGAGCCTGGTGGGCTGCCGTCTGTGGGGTCGCTCAGAGTCGGACACGACTGAAGCGACTCAGCAGCAGCAGCAGAGGCTCAGCTGGTAAAGAATCGCCTGTAATGCGGGAAACCTGGGTTTGATCCCTGGGTTGGGAAGATCCCCTGGAGAAGGAAACGGATACCCACACCAGGAGAATTCCATGGACTGTACAGTTCATGGGGTCATAAAGAGTCGGACACGACTGAGCTACTTTCACTTTCATGCTTCAGGAGAATATTTCAGTGAGAACCGAGGAAACACCTCTTTTCTGTACTTAGGAAACAAACTGCTTCTCCAACAAAAGGAAAGATATTAGGTAAACAATTAGCTACTATCAGTTTAGTGTGTTTATTAATACAGAGGTAAATATATGTTATTTGTATCACTAACCACAAGAGCCATACTATAAAATGACTATTGTTATATAGTATAATAGTATTTGACATTAAAGGCAGTAGAGTATATTTAAAGTATTACATTAAATGTTGGTTATGAAAATGTGTACAAAACAGGGTTTCTCTCCCCTCAGTTCTCTCAGAGAAATGGAGCCACTTTAGAGTCTTTATGAACTCTCATATTACAATATGCTTTTTTATTTACTTGTTTTGTATGGCAACCCACTCCAGTATTCTTGCTTGGACAGAGGAGCCTGGTGGACTATAGTCCATGGGGTCACAAAGAGTCAGACAAGACTGAGCGACTAAGCACACAAGCTAACCTCTACAACATTCTAATCTAATCTAAAACTCAAACGAAAAAAAAAATTTGCTTCTTAACGAAAGACATGCAGGGTTTAAGGACCAGTTCCACAATTGGATGCAAGTTGCGAAGTTGCTAGGTGATACCTGCATCTCTGGCAGAGTCCACGGCAGTATTGTAAGCAGAAGAGTCAAAACTTTGAAGATTCTGTGACCAGTTGGTTAGATTGGTAGCCATCGGGGCGGTTGCCTCCTGGACTTCCATTGTGGTCTTGTTAGCTTCCGCGGTGATCAGCTGGGACTGACCCAGGCGCTGCTGAGCATCACCTTCACACAGAGCACAAGGACACTTATTTTGCAAAGAAGTAGGGCCTTTGATGGGATCATGAATATTCATTTAATCACTGGGATGAACCAGACCTCAGATTCAGGCTTTGCAGTCAAACTGAGACCTTTACACATATGTTAATCATGGTGTTAAGTTAGGTGCATAAGAATACTGTAAACAGTATTGACAAGTGAGATTGAAAGACTCTAAAGTCTCAATAAAATCATGTAGTTCATTTAAAACATTTCCAAATTAGAGGTAGTTTTTAATATTACTTCAGGTTAGAGACCTGGTGAGAAAACTATACAAAATGTGCATGAGATACTAACTCATAAAATGTCTGCCTGAAATTCACTGTAAATATCACTTTCATCTCTGTAGGACACTTTCTGCCATAAAAATGATGCTCTAGTATAGACATAAATTGGTAAGGAAAGGTATTTTTGAATTAGAAAAGTAAGTTTCAAAAGACATCTACAGTGCAATTTTTAAGTCATATATTTACAATAAAAACAAGTTTACAACAAAATGTTTGTTTCCTAGATAATGAGATTATAACAGATTTCTCGTTTTTTCTCTTTTGTTATCTATATTTTCTAATTTTTCTACAATGGGCATGCTTTATTTCCGCAATAAAAACAATTAAAAATCTCTTAGGTGAGGTTTAGTTTCATTTTTTTTTTTAATCAGAGAAACATTTAACTCAACCTCTCATGCTCTGGACTCTTGACGGTTGTGGCTTTGAATCCTGGGTCATCATCTTTGCGTTGCTGTACCTTTCAGAGCAATCTCCCTAAACTTGACAAGCCTTGGGGTTCACATCAGCCTAAAAGCAATACTTTCCCACATGAGATAATGTTTGTAAAATGCAGCCCAGTGCTTAGCATGTAGTAGCTCTGACGCTGCCAAGGAGACCCATCTGGCCAGGGCTTCAGTGTCCTTGGTACTGCTGCCGGATCTGCTCCGTGCAGTGAAACACCACATCCAGCAGTAATGTGCTAACTTTCACTATGCCGGGAAAGGCCCATCTGCTTCCCGTCACATCTTTCTGAGATACCCCCAGAGTTTCAGATTAGGCAACATGAGTGCTCTTGTATCCCTCTCCAGCTAGGTGGTCTCTCTGCTTGCACTATAAGAAAGACAAGCCATGAAACAGACAGCAGCTGTACTGCTGGGGCCAGAGAAACCCAATAACCAAATTAGGGCTTATTTGTTAATGAAAAAGGATGTTCACAAGAAAGTAGGTTACCCAACAGTATACACATCCTGATCTCATTCACACACACACACACGCACACGACTGAAGGAAAATGCTCTTAAATTTAATTGTCATCCTTAGGTGATGTAACTACAGCTTTTATTATCTTCCAGGACGTGTGTGTGTGTGTGTGTGTGTGTGTGTGAGACAAACGAAGTTTCTTTTGTCATCAGAAAGCAATATTATTTATAAAAAGATTAATAAGCAGGGAATCACTCTTTCCTCAGAGGTTTACCTTAATATTAGTGAACAAATCGATGAGCTTAAGTTTTGTTTGAGATCCTCACCTCTCTCTGCGGCTTGCAGTCTTTTAATGGCATCATTTAATCTGTTTTTGAGAGCACTCTTCCTTGCTAGGGCTCCACCCACGCGTCTGCTGGTGTCCACCACTGCCTCATCACTGCCTGTGGAGAAGAAACCAAAAGAAGGACAAGCAGGGCAAAGAAGCCGGGGGGCGGGGCGGGGTGTGTGTGGTCAAATCTGTTTCAACGAAATAATTCTGGTTTGTACCATGGAAACGAAGTGAAGTGAAAGTTGTTCAGTCATGTCCAACTCTTTGCGACTCCATGCGCTAATATAGTCCATGGAATTCTCCAGGCTAGGATACTGGAGTGGGTTGCCTATCCCTTCTCCAGCGGATCTTCCTGGCCCAGGAATCAAACTGGGGCCTCCTGCATTGCAGGGGGATTCTTTATCAACTGAGCTATCAGAGAAGCCCCTTGTACAATGCAGTCATCTGCAATATCCTGAATATGATAGAAACATAGAATGCCAATTCTGGAAAGTGGCACTTCAGTTAAGACGTAAAGGACTGCAGAAAACCTGTAACACTGCTTGGGAGTGATACAGGATGCCATAAAGTAACTCATAAAGGGTATAGAGATAATGGCTAAATTTTTGATTGAAAAATATAGTACTGCTGTGGCTAATAACACCTAGTAGCACAACTGATTAAGAGCGGACTTGTTAGATAAGAATAGTTCTTTTTTTCTTACTTGTTTTAATAAAATTTTAATTGATACACAACATGAATCTAGAAAATGGTACACAATTACAAGTGCATGGCTCGATGAATTTTCCCAAACTGAAAGCCAAATATAACAAGTACCCAGGGCAACAAAAGAGCATTATTAGCCCCGTAAGGCTTCCTGGGACCTTCGTGCTAACCTGAAGGCAGTCCTACCTCTGCTCCTTAGCTGTGCCTATCTTTAAGGTTTATTCAAAAGAAATGATAGAATGTTATAATTTTTTATATCTTTTGTATCACTGTCTTAATTTCTGTACAGTTAAAAGTCTTGGGTAGTTTAAATCTTCCAACTTTTTTTTTTATTCTTTAAGACTGTGCTGGCTATTCTTGCCTACCCTATTCACGCCCATTTCCAGAGAAATTCTAGAAACATCCCATATGTGTATATATAGTCCTGGTACTTTAATTGCAATTATATTGAGTCTACAGATATATTCTGGCAGAACTCTTATTTTTACAAATTCAAATCTTCCACTTAATGTAAGTTATTATATAAAAATCTATACTTATATATATACAAATAATACATTACACTCATAAATAAACAACTGCACTCCTTTCACATGCTAGTAAAGTAATGCTCAAAATCCTTCAAGCTAGGCTTCAACAGTACGGGAACCAAGAACTTCTACATGTACAAGCCAGATTTAGAAAAAGCAGAAGAACCAGAGATCAAATTGCCAACATCCACTGGATCATAGAAAAAGAAAGAGAGTTCCAGAAAAACATCTACTTCTGCTTCATTGACTATGCTAAAGCCTTTGACTGTGTGGATCTCAACAAACTGTGGAAAATTCTTCAAGAGATGGGAATCCCATACCACCTTACCTGCCACCTAACCTGTATGCAGGCCAAGAAGCAACAGTCAGAACCAGACAAGAAACAATGGACTGGTTCAAAATTGGAAAAGGAGTGTGTCAAGGCTGTATATTGTTACCCTGCTTATTTAACTTATATGCAGAGTACATCTTGAGAAATGCTGGACTGGATGAAGCACAAGCTGGAATCAAGATTGCCAGGAGAAATATCGATAACCTCAGATATGCAGATGACACCACCCTTATGGCAGAAAATGAAGAAGAACTAGAGAGCCACTTGATGAAGGCAAAAGAGGAGAGTGAAAAAGCTGGCTTAAAACTCAACATTCAGAAAACCAAGATCACGGCATCTGGTCCCATCGCTTCATGGCAAATAGATGGGGAAACAATGGAAACAGTGACAGACTGTTTTCTTGGGCTTCAAAATCACTGTGGATGGTGACTGCAGCCATGAAATTAAAAGATATTTGCTCCTTGGAAGAAAAGCTATGACAAACCTAGACAGCGTATTAAAAAAGAGAGACATTACTTTGCTATGATTGTTCCAGTAGTCATTATGGATGTGAGAGTTGGACCATAAAGGATTTTCACATCTTTGTTCCTGAGAGAATTTGGCTTATATTTTTCCTTGTTTATAATGTCCTTAGGATTTGATGTCTAAGTTTTGTTGACTTCATGGAAAAACAGAGTATTTCCCATTTTTCTATTTTCTGGAAGAATTTATATACTAACAGTTATTTCTTCAAGTGTTTTGGAGAATTCACTAGTGGAGCCATCTGAGCCTTGAGATTTTCTTATGGGAGGGCTTAATTACTGATTAGATTTATTATACATATGCACATACATACAGTTCTCCAGATTACATACATCAGATTTTCCATTCATTCTAGTACCTGTTTTGATTATAAGTCTTTTCCTTAAAAAATTATTCTTGAAAATGTGCTTGTAGCATAGACCCTAATTGTGGCTATTTTGGCACAAATCTAAACAAGTCACAATGTAAAATCTCGTCACCTGAACTGAAGGATCAACTTCCCAAGAATTGTTTTGTGCTTTGTTTACTTCCAAAGCATCAAGAAATATATGTTTCTTGACAGATAAGTAATTTCTTCACTTCCCATTCTTCTTTTCCTTCTCTCTAATGGGCTTACAGATAAATACTCTCCAACGGTATACTGTCTCTTTTCAATTATACAGTATTGGTGTGCTGGGTTTTATTGTACAGTTATCTTTTTTCCCATACATGTGTACAATGGGTGTACATAGGTGATGCTTAGTTGATTCTGTCAATGTACTTGTACCAAGTGCAACATAACTAAAGTACAAGCGCTTCTTTCTTGTTTCCTCTGGTTAGTGTCAATAATTCCCCAGAATTCAAGGAGGGTCTTAAACATCTTTTGTTTTGCACGTTTTATCCTTTCAGTTTCAACTTTTTAGTACTGTGATACAAGCAGTCTATTCACTCTTTCTTTTGGGTCTTGTTACTGCAAAAAACATTGGCTGATATACTGAGGCTGAATATATTTAAGTATATTTGGAGTCTGATAAAAATAGAAGAAAGAAAATCTATTTGGGGATGGATGTTCAAAAGAAGAAATGCTTCATAAAAAGTCTGTCCTATTTGGAACTCACTGTCTTACATAAACATTTTCCATTTTACAAATGAATTCAGTAGAAGATTTTTAAAAATAGTAGCTTCCTGGAGGGTTTATTACAGATTGCTAACTATTTGACATAGATAATGAAGAAAAGGAAACCTGGTAAATAAGGATTACTGATCATTGAAACTCATTTGGAAATGAATTAACAGTAATCTGGAATTACAACATAACTCAAGAGATGAATATGATTCTATTTGAAAATGTGAATCTATATTACAAACACTCATATTTTCTAAAGGGAAGCAAGTTCTGAGCCACACAGTCCTAAGTCCCCATAGGTGTCTCTTTTGCAAATAAACATATGAAGGGATTTAACCAAACAAGATCATGAAATAGGTGACCAGATCTGCAAAATATTCAGAGACAAAACAAGAAAGACTAATCTGCACATAAAATATGCAACTTTGAAGAGACAGCATTATTAGAAAAACTGCTTTCTCGAGGTTCAACAACTCAATAATGACAAGACTGAGAAAATACGTTGCAAATTATCAAGGAGAATGAAATACTTTGTCACTGCATCACAAAGACCCACATATTCTGGTCTTCACAAACAAAACAATCCACAGATATGACAACATTTACCCAAAAATATTTTACTATTGATATTCTAATTCTAATAACTGCTAATATTCTAATTCTTTTCTAAAGAGCATGTGTAAGACTAGACTTGTATAATAAATTAATTAGAATGAAGAAACAGAATTTTTAATGCCTTTGTTTACCCAGGAAAGATAATAGTTCTTTTATGTAATTAAACAGTTAAACAGTCTGCATATAAAAACAAATGCATTTATTTTCTCTGGAAAAAAAAGAGAAAATGAACATTTAGACTTGGGATTAATTACTCTGATAAAATCACATGAAATCTTCAGTTTCAAACTTGGTCTTTGTTTTTAGGTGGCAGAAGTTAGCTGGATAATGGATTTCCGACCTCATTAGTCAAGGCTCAAATATCCTTAGGAATGAGCTCATTACCCCAGAGATGAGTAAGTTTTAGTAAAAATTTTCAGTTTGATTGTTCTTAAGAGTAACTAACAAGATTCAAAGCTAACTAAAATCACTTCACTTTTGTTTTTCCTCCCTCTCCCAACCTTAGACGTGCTTGATCAGCAGCTGCAGGCCTCGGCCTTTGGAAGTGCTCCTTTCCATGTGGTCATTAGGGCTGTCCCAAATGCAGCACCTGGGCAGAATACAAACTACAAAAAAGCGCAAAGTACGGGAGGGCTCTGACGCACCCTGTCCTCCCGACTCAGTGCGGGCCCATCTCTTCACGGTAAGGTCTGAATATTTATTTTTATTTCTTCATTTGGCGGCACCAGGTCTTTGTTGCAGCATTCAGGAGCTTTTAGTTGTGGCATGTGGGATCTAGTTCCCAGACCAAGGATCAAACCCGCCTCCCTTCCGCCAGCACTGGGGGCATAGTCTTAGCCACTGGACCTCCAGAGAGGACACCCTTCCTGGTAAAGTTTTAAAGGGCCTCTGAATTCTTCAAGAAAGGTTACATGATGTATATGATATAATTTTAGGGTGAAGTGTATTTTATGGTAATAACTCCCTAAAAATTGGTATTTATATCAAGTTTCTACTAATTAGCCTTTTTGATTAGCAAGAATATCCACTCTATGTTGGATAACTATATATTTCCATGTAATTTTACTAAATGGAAATTTTTTAAAATCACATTTTAAAATATCTAGTAGCTGCTTTTTTTATACTTTGACTATGAGCAGGAACTATTAAGGCAATATTCAAATGAAACAGAATTTCTTCTTTCTGTTTCTAGAATTTTGAAACCTCTGTTTACATGCAGAAACACTGTGTGAAAGGAGGGAAGCAGCTACAAATCAGAAGGCAGACAGGAAAATGAAGATATTTACTAGAATCTGCCCTTGCTTGCAGCTCTCTGGCTTGATTGAGGAGGTTCTCGCTCTCATCTTTATGGTAAATGATCTGCGTATCAATCCCACTCACAGCCTACAAAGGAATCAGAGAGAGAAAGTAAGAATGACAGCAAAAGAAATCAAATTTTTATCATTCTAGGATTTAAATGCTTTACACTTCATCTGCTAAACACCAAACAAAATTCATACGGCTTCATTTTCATAGTTCGAAATTAAGGTCAAATGTAAACTGAGAAAATAATATCCTTGATTTTTACAAGATAAATGGTTTCTGAAGAAAATTCAGTGAACTCAGAACAGTGCCTGGCCAAGGCCCCACCAAAGTGCTTGTCATGAAGAAGCTGTTGAATAAACAATGTTTTTGAGTTGAGGAAATCTGAATATATGCATAAAGTATCTTCTCTAGTGGCGTGCTGCAGTCCATGGCGTCACAAAGAGTTGGACACGACTGAGCAACTGAACAACAAACTTCTATATCAGCAGGAACTAGTCTTCGATATTTTTTATTCAGGGACTTTGGTTTAAAAAAGCTTATGTTAAAGGAACAGGCATTCACTGACTGGAATATGACACATCTTGAAGAACCTGTACTACTGAAGCATTCATAACATAAATAAAATGGTCTTTTCTCAGTTCTGCTGCTCTTTCTCCCATTTGTATTACATTGGAAGCTCAAGAGATGACATTAGGAAACAAAGTCATAAGCCAGGAAAAGGCAACATATTGATATAAAAATGAATGTTAAAATAAGGGAATACTCACATCATAAATTCGATCAGTGATGTTCAAAGCCTGTTCTGCTGTTTCATTGGCTTCACTAACATAATTGGCAATATTTTCATAGACATTTGAAGCATCCAAAGCCTTCTGTACCAATCCATTCATATCTGAACTGTGCAAATTCCTGTTAATGAACAAACCTGGCATTATTGCCCCTTTTTACCTCCTTGGGAAATAGGGCCATTTTTAGAGTCTGATTAGAATACTTCCAGGACTAGAGGCACGTCCTTTTTGTTTTTTTAAAGTCACCTGGCTGGGCAGTGTTCACACACGCGCCCCCTCCACACCCCTCCACTGCCCCCCTCCCACCTCGTGGCCTTTCCTAGGGGCGCATCGTCTTCCCATTCCTCTGCTTTTAGTTCTTTCAAGACTTCACCTTGTTTTGGCTTCTCGGCAATTGCCTGCCTGGCAAAAGCCTCAAGGAAAAGAAATGCTGATTTTAAAACAGCATCTGCACCTCTTCAAGCAAGAGCTTGTTTATGTGGTGGCGTCAGGCAGAGGAATGAACCCACATTCATCCCCACCTACTGCTTACCCGAATCAGCACTGTTATTCCCTTCCTGTCAAAGAAAGTAAGGCTCTCAGAGAGGGTGCATAACCTCAGCATGGTGTTATTAATAAATATTAGCTGGTTTTACTCTATTTATTCAATCTTATTTCTTTCTTTTATATAACAGATCACGTATTTCTTGAAGAAGGGTTATAATATGTATTGAGCATCCCATGCAGATACTGGGTCAGCCCCATTCCATATACTATATCAATACATCTTACCACACCTGTGAAGTTGACATCGTTATTCCTTTCCCATAAAAGTTGCTGAGGCTCTGAGGAAGGGTGCACAGCGTGCCCAGGGCAAACATGGTTAAGGTCTGTCTCACTCCTGAGGCCCAGTTGCGCCCTTTAGGTGCACAGCCCTACCTCACAGTCAGCCTGATCCTTACACCACTTTCTCTGCCTTTGTCTCCTCTGTCTCCTGTAAGGTTCCTCTAATATTTACTGATACCCATCATGCACTGGGGGGCTTCCCTGGTAGCTCAGCTGGTAAACAATCTGCCTACAATGCAGGAGACCCTGGTTCAATTCCTGGGTCAGGAAGTTCCCTTGCAGAAGGGATAGGCTACCCACTCCAGTATTCCTGGGCTTCCTGGTGACTCAGATGGTAAAGAATCTACCTGCAAAGAGGGAGACCTGGGCTCGATTCTTGGGTTGGGAAGATTTCCTGGAGGAGGACACGGCAACCCACTGCAGTATTCTTGCTTGGAGAATCCTCATGGACAGAGAAGCATGGAGGGCTACAGTCCATGGGGTCACAAAGAGTCAGACAGGACGGAGCGACTAGGCACAGCACAGCACATCATGCACTAGACACCCCCATGCAGAGGCTGATAACAAGATGTGCCTCAAAGGGTTGAAGTGAGGTCCAACAGGGATAAAACATGTTTAGTGCTTGGTACCATGTCAGGCATCTAGCAAATCTTAGGGCTTATTATTACACTTAAACTATTTCCTAAATGAAAATTTCAAGCTGTATGTGTATCCACATAGTCATTCATATTACGACAAACTCTTCTTCCTCTATACTAAGAACTCCACCATCATTTCTGCAGCCCATCCTAAACCCTCTGTCTTAATTTTATTCAGTCTTAAACCCACCAGTTCCATCCTTTCCCCCCCAACTCTGGATACTGATGATTAGTATCACTTTATTCATCAGTAACTTCTCAGAAGAGTCACTGTGATGTGACCTACACGACACTACAGATCCTACACTGGCTCCTCTCTTCATACTACCTGGACCTACTGAACTCAGCTAATTGTTTCTCAGCCTCCTTCATCCAGTTTCAGTCTCTGCTCATCGGCTTAGGCTCAGAAAGACTTCCTCTGTATTTTCTTGGCAACTCCCTTCTCTTTTGTCCAAGTTCACCATCATTCTGGCTCCTCTACAATAGGGCTGATATCTATTAGGCACACTAAGGGACCACAAAGATGCTTTCATGTTAAATTTTTTTTTTTAAATCAGAAGAAAAATGAGGATAACAGTAATTCTACCTTAGCCTTTATATCAAGGTAGTTATGACATATAATTAATTTTTTTTTACAGCCCATGAAAATTATAATGCAGCTCTACTCTGCAGAGGTAATTCTGATCCAAATGTTGCTACTTATATCTCCCTATAACTCCCTGTTCAGAAATGGAAAAGAGTAAAATCTGAGAAGGTTTTAAAAGAAATGGATAAAAGGTATAAAATGTTACCAATAATTTAAATACATAAAAATTCTGCTGGTTAGAGTTGGTGAGCAGATATACCTAAGAGCTTGAAACAAAAAGCCTGTTTGTTTTCATTACTAGGCACAAAACGGGTACTAAATCGATATATAAAATAAAAATATGCTTTTGAAATGGAAGCTTCTTGATGAATTATATGTATTTCTATTTGAGACAATATGCAAATCTACTGGGTATACCAGATAGATGTCGAAGACTATTCACATTTTGAAGAGAAGACATCTATAAATCTGGATGTTTTCCTGAATATATGTAGAAATATGCTAAACATAAAAAGGAGACTTAAGGTGATTGATATTTCTGATTATGTTTCATGTACAGCTTGGGGTTACTTCCTTAGAAGTTCTAGCTAGAACTCTAGTTTGCTGCAGGGTGACATTTAGAGAAGGTTTGTGTTGGTATCCCATTCAATGAGCTGTTAGTTGCTCAGTGGTGTCTGACTCTTTGTAACCCCATGAACTGTAGCCTGCCAGGCTTCTCTGTCCAAGGGATTTCCCAGGCAAGAATACTGGATTGGGTTGCCAGTCCCTTCTTCAGGGGTTCTTCCTAACCCAGGGATGGAATCCAGGTCTCCTGCATTGCTGGCAGATTCTTTACCATTTGAGCCACCAGGAAACTCCCAGAGAGCTGTAGTTACTAAATGACAAAAGAATGATGAAGACAGCCATAAAATTAATCTCAAAAACAATAACCTAACAATACAGTTATTACCAAAGCTAGCATTTTCTCCAAGTTCCATTTGACTGGCTTGATAAAAAGCCCATTTCCTGGGAACATGACACTCAGCTGTATACAACACCATCTCACACACCAAGATTTTACCCATGGTCTATCCATCCCCACAACAACCCTGCCTTCTCTTCTTGGGAGACTTGGGAGGATATTTGAAAATTTTGGCAATCAGAAAAAAAAGGTGACTTAGTTTTGAACAGAAGTGAATACTGGTTCTTATTTAATTCATGACCTTTAACAATCCTTGTTTCTAATTGCCAGATTTGCAATTTTTCTTTTCAATGATCTCATTATTTACCTATTTTTTTTAGGCTCATGAGTTAAAGTCCAATCTTTCAGTACATTTCAATTAACGTTAAATGAGTGCTTATGACTCTTTTCTAGGTACTGTGAGGAAAACCATCAACCAATGTTCTCTTAACAGGTGTTAAAATAGTTCCTGCTGGGCACTGTGGAGTAGCTAGAGGATTTGACATAAGTCCCTTATATTGTCGACTTCCTACCAGCTTTACTTAAGACACCTGGATATGAAAAGCTTATGCTGTTTCTCAAATGACTGCAGAATTAGACCTTGCAGAAGGATCTGATTACCTGACAAAATTTTGTGCAGCAGTTATAGCCCTAAATAAAATGTGTTAGGTTATCCTATTAATTGTGGAACAGAGCTACCCCGCCTACAATTTCAGTAAACAACTGGTTCTCAAACCAGCCAACCAATAAACAAACAAACACGCAAACCCAACCCTAAAAACAAACTACTAACACTGTATCCCAGCAACCCTGTCATGTGAAAGTGAACAAAAATAAGTTATTCAGCCTGGAGATGTCTGCATTCTTAAAACCAAGGTATTACCTGCTCAACTCATCAGCCTCTTGCTGAAGGTTCCGTGCATGGTCAACAGCTTCCTGAACTAAATCATGACTGAGGTTGCTCAGGTTGGATAGTTTTCTTTGAAGCTCGTTTTTGGCTCCATCTATTTCGGCATAAATCCCTGATGCATTCTAAAGAAAACAGTAAGAAAAATTGAATTTAGGGGGACTTAAAATATTTTTTGTAGGGAGCACCAAAGAATCTCTATTCCTCCTTACTGTGAAGTTCAGTAAGCTTCAGGCCAGATCCAGAAGAGTCTAAAAGGCTATGCATGCGTGTTTAGTCGATTTAATTGTGTCCGACTCATTGTGACCCTATGGACGGTAGTCCACAGGGCTCCTCTGTCCATGGGATTCTCCAGGCAAGAATACTGGAGTGGGTTGCCATGCCCTCCTCCAGGGGATCTTCCAAACCCAGGGATCAAACCTGCACTGCCTGCACTGCAGGTGGATTCTTTATGGCTGAACCACCAGGGAAGTCTAAAAGACTATACACATAGATATTTACCTATTTGCATCTTCAACTCCTCTACTGATTCAGACATGCTCTGCCATCTCTTGTCTAAAAAGAAACTAAACTAAATAGAAACGCTCCACTGTCCTCACTTCTCCCTAATTTTAATCCTTTCATAGCAAAATAGAACCCCTCTGCAAATAAAGTGTCTATACACGCTATCTCTATTTCATCATTTTAAAATTAACACCTTTGACTTATTCCAGTCTGGTTTTTACCTCACTGTTCCACCAACACAGAAATTTACTTGATGGTTTCTGAGCTACTAAGTCTCATGGTTATCACTCAGTTCTCATCTTATTTGACCACTCACCTGCATTTCCTATGCTGACTACTCTCACTGACACTCACCTTGCGATGTGACCTCTCTTAATTTTCAGTTCAACTGTGGACCTATGGTCTTGGCTAAAGGTCACACATAGGATGCTGCTACAAACCTATTACTTGCAGGCTTGGCTGGGCCCTCAACACTGAAAAGAAATTTGCTCTCCTGGTCATTCAACACAGTGATTCTAAACACTGTCACTGTTCCAAAGCCAACACGAATTCCTCCCCTCCTCTCTACCTCTACGTCTGATTCTCAGCAGGTCACTTTTATTTAGAAGACATAAGCCATCTGTTAGTGGGGAGCACTTTTTTCGAGCTCACGACGTGGCGTTCCATTTCTATGAAGGGAGCTCAGTTACTGACCTTTGCACCTTTTCCTTACTCTGCTCTGAGAGGAGAAGTGGTTTATTTAATTGGTAAACTTAGGGGTGTAACTATATAGACTCTGCTCAACTCAGACAGCTGCCTCTGGGGAGCAAGCTGCCAGCAGAAAGCGGAGTTTTTCTGTGCTCCTCCATACAGTGCAAGCTGCCCTGGGCACCCCCATAAACCCTGCAGTGTTGGCAGTTTCAGTGGGCAGACCTGCTAATTCTGGAACTGAGCATCAGCCAACCCATTTGGCTAAGAGATCTTTTAAAAAGCCACACCTCAATTTAGCTGAAATAAAGGTGATATTCTTGATCTTCAAATTTACTATTTTTCAACTTTTTAAGAACTTAGGTCCTGAAGGTAGGTAGCATTTACTGATAGCTCTCCTCAGAGATTCCAACACTGACAACCAGTAATTTCTCCAAATGGGTTGAGTACAGTAGACAGTGGGGGGCTGGAAGGTGGAAATGGCAACTATATATAACTCTTGAGATGTTTTGTTGTGAAGCAGAGTAATGGCGCAGAGATCAGAGGGGATGTGAGAGTTTTTTAGTTTTTTTTTAAAAGATATCAGATACTAGAGTATGTTTCTATGTTGGCAGGAATGATTCAGTAGAGTAAGAACTGGGCAAAACAGAAGAGAGAGGGCACAAGTTGATGGACTGAAACTCAGCAACCCTACTGTTGAGCAGAGGAAGCGTGGGATTCAGAACACAGGTGGGGGGCCTGAACTCTGACAGGAGAAGGGACATTTCACTAATTAGACAGAAAGGAAGGGAGAAGCAGGATACACAGGCAAGCAGACTGGTAGATTTGGGGAGCGAAAATGAAGGGAGTTATCTTTTCATCGTTCCTAATTTTCAGTGAAGCATGAAGCAAGTTCACCAGCCAGACTGATAGACAGGAGGTGGGTTTCCCACCAGTCATACTGGCTTCTCTGGTGTGGCCACGATGCTGAGGGTACTTGGGTTTACTGGGTTGTGGGATTAGAATTCTCAGGTAAGTATAATAGAGAAAGAAGTACGTATGGAAGTAAAGGGTGTTTGCAAAAAATGATTATACTGATAATTTTAACTGCTCGTGCTGCAGTCCACAGGGTTGCAAAGAATCGGACACAACTGAGCGTCTGAACAGAAGGAAGGAAGACTAAGAAAGGAGCAGGGAGAATGAGATGGAGGAGGTTCTGGAGTGGCTAGAGAGTTCCTGGACTGCACACTCTACAGTAAGGGCAATGAGAGACGGTGCTTAGGGTGCTCAGTTGCATCGACTCTTTGCAAACCCATGAACTGCAGCCTGCCAGACTCCCCTGTCCATGGAATTTTCCAGGCAAGAATAGTGGAACGGGTTGCCATTTCCTTCTCCAAGCTTAGGGAGGGAGGTGCTTGATACTGGGATTTGGGAGAGGCACTCTTATTGATGACAAGATCTGGGTCTGGTCATACGAGGGATTACAGAGGTGGATGGGGAGGAAAAGCTTGTTGGACAGGAGAAGTTGAAGGAATTGGAGGTCTGAGAGCGGGCAGACTCATTCATCTGGGTTTTGATGTCACTGAGGAACCAGATGGGAGTAGGGATAGAAAGGAAGCTAAAACTGTCAAAGAATAGGATGGTGATCAGATGACTTTAAGATAATATCCTTTTAAAGGTAATAAAAATGAGCCAAGAGTACTTCAGTGATAGTTTGGTTCACTGCATTTATTGGAAAATTTCTACTTTAAAAAGTGTGACTTTCATTGATTTTGAATCCCAGCTTTATTGAACATACAACTTATGTGTAAAGAGTGAGTAAGATGCATCTACATTTGCACTTTCAACAGAACTTTCTGACTGGCTGTGCTGCCCAAAATGGCAGCCACCAACCACATGTAGTGCTACTGAGCATATGATACATGGCTAACGTGACTGAGGACTTTTTAAAAAATGTATTTACTTTTGGCTTCCTTGCTACAGGAGGGATTAAATCTCTAGTTGCAAGGCGAGCACTTCCCACTGTGGCGGCTTCTTCGGTTGCAGGGCACGGGCTCTGGGGTGAGCAGGCTGGCAGCAGCAGTTGCAGCATGAAGGCTCGGAGCAATTGTGGCACTTGGGCTGAGCTGCTCTGCGGCACGTGGAATCTTCCCGGATTAGGGATTGAACCTCTGTCCTCTGCATTAGCAGGTGGATTCTTAATCACTGGACCACCAGGGAAGCCCTAAATTTTATTTCGTTTTAAGTAATTTAAAATTTAAGTAGCCATATGTGGCTACTGGCAACTGAACAATGAAAGAGACGGAAAAATGTAGTCACCTGATCTTAGTTTAACAATGCCACCTAACTTGATAGAATGGAGTCGATTACTCCTCTGTGACGCTGTGCTAATGTTCTAACCTACTATGAATACTAACCTGAACAAGTCACATGTGTCCTTACCTTTATTATGCTATCAAGTTCTGAAAGGGTCAGCCATAGCATCATCAGTGAGTCGGAAGACGTCCTCAGAGACGCGTTCACCCCTTCCGTCTGTTCCCTTACTCTCTCATGCTGTTTCTGCAGGAGGAAAAGCAAGGGAGAGAGAAAGAGAAGGTCACTTTAGATAAGGAAGGCATTAGGGAGAGTGCTGTCAGCCTGCTGTCACTGCACTCAGACAGATCCTATCTCAGACCCACAACTGAACTGCTGTGCCATGCTGGGGAATTCCACTTAGCCCAGGCTCAGCCTTCTCATTTATAAAATGGAGAAAGCGCCTCAGGAGCTTCGAAGAACTTAGTTATGATTATTACTGACAGTGCCACCACATCAAAGAGAACTGACCCTCCAAAGAGGGCCCCTGATTCTTTCTCCATAAATGTGAAGTGGGGCCGAGGCTACGGGACTGAACACAGGCTCCGTATTTGCATTCACTGAAAAGTGACCTAATTCCAGAAAGCATTTATCATGTGCTAACTTTGGGTCAGGCACAAATAGCGCATCTGGACAGGAATAAAGTATATACAAAAGAATCTTAAAGTCCTTTCAGAAATTTAAAGTGACCCTAATATCAAAGCATAAAATTCTGATCTCACTTCTTCCGACTCTTTATGTTAGATGCTCAGGTGTTTTGAAGAGGTAAATTGCCCAAGTGTGGATATATTTTGTCCCTCTTTAAAAAAAATTTTTTAAAAATTTATTTATTTATTTTTGGCTGTGCTGGGTCTTCGTTGCTGCATGGCCTTTTCTCTACTTGCAGCAAGTGGGGTCAACTCTCGGGCTGTGGTGCACAGGCTCCTCACTGCGGGGTCTTCTCCTGTGGAGTGCGCGGGCTTCAGTAGTGGCGCATGGGCTCACAGTTGCAGCTCTTGGGCCCTGGAGCACAGGCTCAGCAGTCGCAGCACACAGGCTCAGCTGCTCTGCAGCACGTGGGATCTTCCCGGACCAGGGACAGAACCCACGTCTCGTGCACTGGCAGATTCTTTACCCCTGAGCTACCAGGGGAGCTCTTTCTTCCTTTTTTTCCCTCAAAAAATTTTAAATTGAAGTATAGTTGATTTACAATACTGTGCTCCCTCTGCTGGACAGCAAAGTGACTCAGTTATATATATATTGCTTTTTTATATTCTTTTTCCATTATGTTTTATCACAGGATATTGAATATAGTTCCCTGTGCTATACATGAGAACTTGTTGTCTATCCATTCTAAACCTAATAGTCTGTATCTACCAACCCCAAACTCCCAGTTCATTCCTCTCCCTTGCCACATCCCTCCTTGGCAGCCAGAAGTCTGTTTCCCTGTCTACAAGTCTGTTTCTGTTTTGGAGATAGGTTCATTTGTGCCATATTTAGATTCCACATATAAGTGATATCATATGGTAGTTGTCTTTCTCTTTCTGACTTACTTCACTTGGTAAGATAATCTCTAGTTGCATTCATGTTGCTGCAAATGGCATTATTTAGTTCTTTTTTATGGCTGAGTAGTATTCCATTGCAGAAAGAAACAGCAACCTACTCCAGTAATTTTGCTTGGAAAATTCCATGGATAGAGGAGCGTGGTAGGATATAGTCCATGGTGTCGCAGAGTCACATACTACTGAGCACACATACACAGTATTCCACTGTATGTATATACCACATCTTCTTTATCCATTCATCTGTCAATGGACATTTAGGTTTTTTCCATGTTTTCACTATTGTGAATAGTGTTGCTATGAATACTGGGGTGCATGAATCTTTTTGAATTGTGATTTTCTCCAGGTATATGCCAAGGAGTGGGACTGCTGAGTCATACGGTAGTTCCATTGCTAGTTTTTTGAGGCATCTTCATACTGCTTTCCACAGTGGCTGTACTAGTTTATATTTCCACCAACACTGTGGGAGGGTTTCCCTTTTCTCCACACCCTATCCAGCATTTGTTATCTGTAAACTTTTTAATAATGGCCATTCTGACCAGTGTTAACTGATAGCTCATGGCAGTTTTATTTGCATTTCTCTAATAATTAGTGGTGTTGAGTATCTTTTTCATGTGCCTCTTGGCCTTTTGTATTTCTTCTTTGGAGAAATTTCCATTTTTCCATTGGGTTGTTCCAAGTGTGGACATATTTTCTGATGAACACTTTCATTTATACTTGTCACTCTGGAGTTTCACAGTCGGGGATGTTGTGATTCTGAAGAAACATTGTGGCACTTCCGAAATGGAAAGGAACACAGAATGAAACTTTAGGAGGGGAAAAAGTAAAAGCCTCATTTTGTAATCTGAGTAAAAAATGAGCTGGAGTTACTTAAGAAATGGTAATTGAAATTGGAATTGAAATTTTTGTTATGTTACGATATCACAGAAATCATTACAAAAGCCTACACTTGAATGACATATCTTAAAACTTTTTAAGTTCATCCTAACGTCCTGTCTCACTCCCTGGACTCTTTTCTAATTTAGTGGAAAAGAAGAATGAAACCCATTTTCTCCACATACCTTGCTACAGGGGAAGACATAGGTCTAGCGACGGAAGAGCATCTCATTTGAACATCCTCTTAAAGTATGAACTTTAAAACAAAATCAATTTCCCTTCAAAATCCATCAACTTTAATACAGTATGACTATCTGGGGTTAACCATTCTTGTCTTCACAAGGACAGGTAGTTATACAGCTCGGCGCAAAAGCAATATTTTAAAGTACGTAAGGAAGAAGGGCGAAAAAGATTGGTATTACCTAGATCTCTCAGAGCAGTTTTTCCATTACAGAATCTGAGATAGGACCCCTTCTGGAAGCTCGTCTATCTGAGCTGCCTTATGGGAACATAGCTAACACCCTGAAGTAACAACCAAGCTTCAAAACCATGTGCAAACAGCACTGCCTGATAAACTCATCGGTAGTAGTTGGAAACAATATGCTTCAAGTAAACGGGTTTCTGTCACGCGCCAAATATAGAATTAGACAGAAATGAATAAAATTAGCTTTGAAACAAAGATATTCTCACAGAGAGATGGACAATTTGAACAGAAGAAAATTTAGAAACTAATAATTAGTGAAAAATGACATAATTAGCATTTTTCAGCATGCTTCAGTATCCATTTCACATATGCACAAAATAAAAGTCTCTTCATACTTAAAAAAAAGAGAGAAAGTCTTGGGAAGGTGGAACTTTGGTTTATCAGAGACTCTAAACAGACAGAATCTCATATTCATCTGATAAAGATTTTTATTATTCTGTTATCCTTTCGCATTGGGAGTAGGAAGACAAAATAAATAATGTAATCACTAGTTGTATGGCTATTATTTGCACACATCAAAATGATTAAACTTTGTGGTTATTTTTGGTTTTGTATAAGGATTGAAATTTTGGTGTTTTTGTTTTTTTAAAGCCATACTATAGTTCTTACAGTGAAATGTGATACTAAAACACTTATGGTGAGTGGGGGAGACATCTACGAGCAGATGATCACAATACAGACACAAGAATGGAGGGGAGCGGAGGAGGCTATTTTAGTTGAGAAATAACAAAGGCCCACACTGAAGAAGTTGTAGAGGAATGGAAAAGGAGGAAGATAGTTAAAAATATTCCAAAGGTAAAATGGGCCAGACCCTGTGGCTGACAAGATGTGAGGGTGGGAAAAATTCAAGGATAAGGATGAGTCCCAATAACTTTCTTAAATTCTGCTTAAAGAATTTATTTTGTGTTACACTCATAATTTTGTTGTGCCAGATAATCATGTTTCTGTTTTTAAACAAAAATGCTACCCTGACCATTATTATTCTAAGAAAGATTGGCTAAGAGATTGCTCCAATGGTGCAAAATGGTGTTAATAAGTATAATTCACTTTTATTTAGGAAATTTGATGACAACTTACTGAAAGGTAGCAATGACTGAAAATCAGGATGGAGAACCTAATTTAAGTTGGGTTAGCTGATAACATAACAGAAGTAATGAATTTGCTCATAGCTGCTTCCTGTTTCTGACACTGCTTTTAGAGGCACATGTCTTCCTATCAGAAAATGACCATTCATAGCGATGGTGTGAGTGCATGTGTCACTCAGGGTAGAAGTGTGAGCACCACCAGTTCTAAATCTGGAGGTGTGGGCATGCACAAATCCTGGCCCCATAAGGTGTCTTCTTTGGCAAGCTCCGGCCAAGCCTGGGAAATTTTTTCACCTCTTTGTAATTGTAAGACCTTAGCTTGAATTAGACTCCCTATCTCTGCAGCTGCTGACCAGTCAGGCTGTGAGATTTGCTAATCAGGCCCTTCCAAAATCACACATATCCTTACAAGAAACATGGTTCTGCGTTGCTTTGGGATTTTTCGTACTCTCTGTATAAAAGAAGTTATACACAAGAATCATGCCTTGTTTGCTCAGTTGCAAGAGAAATACATCCAACACAGGCAGACAGAAGCACGGAGAACAACTGTGTTCTTCTTAGTCAATACACAAGCTAAACAACTGCGACAGTTTCAACTTGATTTTAGTTGTACACACTTATATTAGCAAATGACAGTGGCAAAAAATGTGCAGATAATTTCAAAAATAAAGATTTAAAGGTACCAATATTTTTCAAACTGTTTACCAACTGTCTCTTCTTCATGTTGTGTTAATACATGCCCCAAGTGCATTTGCATTTAGTGTCCACCGTACCTCGTGGTCCCGCTGCCTGGCTGCCGTGGCCCTGTTCATGTCCTCAGCATCCCTGACATGGTTAAGGGCCTGGTCAAGTGATTCCTGGAGGTCTGACAACTTGGCGTTATAGTCGTCCAGCTGCTCCAGGACCACAGGAAACAGAGAGCGGGTGTCATTGTACTGCCTCTGCAAACTCTCAGCCTGGCTCAGCACTGGGAAGAAAGGCACACAGAAACTCAATCTGGGCTCCTCCCTTCTCCTCCCACCCCAGCCCACAGAAGCAAAGATGCAAATTTGGCGGGTGATGTCTTTAGCAACAGAGATTGAAGCTGTTGGTCACAAAAATGGCCCCATTATTTGAAGCTTTAAATACTATTTTGTAGGATTTGGACCATCCTAGACCACCATCAGCTAAAATGGGAGTTGATTAGTTTTCCTGTCAAGATGATGCTTTATGTGGAAATGATGTCATTCAACTAGGTTTATTATTACCCAGATTATTAATAGTTTTACCATACAAATGAAACTTGGATATATTACAGTTTTACTATTAGAGATATCTCCAATTATTTTGTCTATTATTGGCAAATGTACAACCACTCATCTTCTGTATTCTCTCCAGGCAGCTACTTTAGTTGGCTCCTTTATTTAGGTCAAACTTAATCATTATTCTGGAATCATTATTCCAGAATCTTTATTCTGGAAGATTAAATGGCAATGAAATATTCTTAAACTTTGCTTGTGTCTTAATTTTCTAATCAAAGTTACATGCATTGCTTCTGTACCTTGATTCTATTTTTTCTCCAGGGACTAACAGTCTGTCTTACTGAGGTTTTGAATTTACTTTCATCATGAGCAGAAGATACAAGTTCATGGCTGAGTAGAGAAAGTGGCTGAAAAAATGCCTTTACTCAGTGAAAGGCTGCTAAGTGGGAGATGTATTTGGTTCCCTTTCCCCAGAGCAGTCTTGTTAAATCCCCAAAGAGGCAAAGCATCTGGCTGTGACATGAGAGCTCCAGCCTTCCTGACAGCTGACTTCATCTGGACTCAGAAACTGGCCTGAGATTCTGGCTTATTTCTTACTGTTTCTAAGACCTTGTAAGTCTGGTATCACAATATACCTTTATGCCAAAAATACTCCTCTATTAAAATATTCATAATAAGTTTTAACAGAAGTTGATAGTGACAATTGTAGGAAAATGATCTAATGTAGGTGTTCTTAACACTTTCTGTATCATGGGCCCCTTTACAACCTGGCAAAGCCTTCAGATCCCTTCTTATATGTTTTTAAATGTACAAGATAAAATATGTAGAACTAAAAAGATGTATAAAAATTGGTAATATAATAATACATGTGCTTCCTTATCAGCGTGTTAACTAATAAGATTTAGAGGTGAAACCAATAACTACTAAAATTCTTGAATTATTGATGAATTTTACATTGTGAAATAACAGTGACAACTAAAATATGATACACAAACCTTAGCCTCTTTTGTTGACTGTGTAGATTTAAATGGACACAATTTTTTGTAACTCTTCCTATTAAGAGTGGTGTCTTTTTCCTCACTCTTGAATCTGGGCTGGTTTTGACCAACAGAGGGCTTCCCTCATACCTCAGTTGGTAAAGAATCCACCTGCAATGCAGGAAAGCCCAGTTCAATTCCTGGGTTGGGAAGATCCCCTGGAGAAGGGAAAGGCTACCCACTCCAGTATTCTGGCCTGGAGAAGTCCATGGACTGTATGATCCGTGGACTTGCAAAGAGTTGGACATGACTGATCGACTTTCACTTTCACTTTGACCAATGGAATGAATATGACATTGCTGAGTTCCAAGGCCAGGGCTTGAGAGACCTTGTACTTTCCATTCCTGCCCTACCGGAAGGCTTCTGCCATATGAACAAGCTCAGTGAGCTTCCCAGAGAATAAAACCCCACATGGAGGGAGATGCCCAGTCATCCCAGCTAAGACCCCAGACATGTGAGTGAACTCCACCACATGGAGCAGAGATGACCTGTCTAGGTTGAGTCCAACCCAAATTGCCAACCTATGAAATCATGAACAAATAAATGCTTATTGTTTTCATGTTTGGGGTAGACTGTGAGATAGTAATTGATAACTGATATAGTGACCAAGTCATAAATTCACTAATACTACTATGGCTTGTAATTTACATTAATCATTAAAGGAAAGGTTAAATTTCCAGTGAGGTTTCAAAGTCATTAAAAGTCACTCACGGACGTCAGAACATGAATGTTGCTGGGCTTCCTTACATTTTTACTGCCTTCTCAATAAGACTTCTCTTATTGAAGTTCTGGGAATTGCTTCCCTTAGCTTTCCTTCCCCCGTTTTTTTCACCAGCTGCTACATTCCTATTTTTTCTCCTCAGGAGTAAAATCTTATAGATTCCTTGTAGAACCTCAGCAGTTTCTCAAAAGCTGAAGGTTGGCTCTGGGTTTAAAATTCCTGGTCTATATATATAGAGTCAAGTTGTCCTGAAGAACTCCCTGAGGCCACTTTAAATGCTCAGTGATTGAATATTGGGAATTGGTTGCTTTGACCAAACTCTGCCCTGTGACTGGGCGTCCTCTCCTGGCCCCACAAGGGAAGCAGATGTGTGCTGGCCTCTAGAAGTTGGATATACCTACATTCATGGGCTTCGTCTGCCTCCTCGTCCACAAGTTCCCGCTGGGCGAGGAACGGCTGACGGCGTCGGATCTCCTCCAGCATCTTCTGTGCCAACACCAGCTTCTCAGAGACTTCCTCAGAGCTAAGTTCCTGCTCTTCCCCATAATACAGCATCTTGCTGCTGATCTCTGAAAGGAAGGGCACGGTGAGAGAAGGCAGGAGGGAGAGGTGATGGGGAGCCTGACAGTGACGTCACTGAAAACAGGAACCGTGAGGGCAACGGGCAGGGCTGATCCTAAAACGGAGACAGAGATCCTATGAAAAGACAGTGTGGTGATGGTCATGCTGTGAATACTGGTGTCAGCCCTGGAGTTCACCATACACTCCAGGGAGAGATTAAACCAAAGGAAGTCACTCTTTGCTTTTCATTTGGTGACTTCAGAACAGGAGTGGAATTAATACAAAGTTTGCTCTGATTTCAGTTGAGTCTGATTTTACCGTGATTCAAAAATGTTAATATGTAAGAAACACAAATTTAGTGTCTTTGATCAATCTTTTATATAATAAAATACATAATTTTGAGAAATGCTCTGATGTATCACCTGTCACACATAGGAGGCACTGGAGATATTCATTGTAATTTAGCCAAGGATTTTACCTAAGCTCTAAGCCAAAATGAGTGTATACTGATGGCTGTTCAAGTGAGTCTTTCAGATTGTTGTACAGACTAGATATAATACAGAGGTTTCTCATAGCAGGATGTGAGCTTTTGCTCATTAATATATAAATTTTTTTGCAACTGCTGTTTGCCTTCTGTGGTATGACTGCCTGGCAAGACTGTTCTGTTCTGACTCTGGGTCATTCTCAGCCTACATCCATAAGTAGCATTCATTTCAGAACCAGAGGGTCTGCTAATGCTTAGAGGCATTAGATGGGTTGTCTGAATACTGCTGACCAGGCCTCTGGCTCCCTCTTCCTACTATCTATGATCAGATGAAAGTTATGTAATTGTCACCTTGTCCTACGGCAGCTCCAGGAGGAAGCATTTTATCTTCCTGGCATAAATGAAATTGTCTGTCTGTGGTTTACTATGATCTATGTGGTTGGCCAGACAAGATGGGTAAACAACACTGGTCTCACATAAATCATACCAGGATAAGGGCTTGTATTTTATGTGGATAATAGCTTGAAGGTCACCAGTAGTTACTTTAGAGATGGCTGGGAATAAGGAGTGGCACACCATTGGTGCTGGGCAGCATCCCTGAATTCTGAAGCAAGGAGATAAATGGGGGAGAGGCTTTCAGTGCTGTAAATATCACTGATAGGAGTTTTAGAGAAACTAAGGTATGCTTAAACAAAACTCAAGCAGGAATTAAATACTCATTTCTCAAGTAAAGTCTAAAATATTAACCCTTGAAATAAACTAAACATATATTTTTTCCTTAGATCTAGCATTGGCAATGCTGAATTTCTTGGCGTTTTGATGCAGATATTATATTTACAATCTGGCTTATTTTATTTTAGCCATGTCTGGTCTAGATCAGAAAAAGGAAATACAGAGAATAACATTTATGCTTTTGGTCTTTGAAGGCTGTTCATACATTATTTTAAAAAGGTAGAAACTGATGGAAATTACTGTTTTTTCTATTTACATTTCTTTTGTTTTTTTTCCTTCTTATCCTATGTCCTAAGGGTCAAATAAGAAGGCTTAGATTCCTTCCAAATGAAATACCCTAGAATCAAAATTTGAGTTAGACAGCAAAGGTGAACTGTTTTTTTTTTCTTCCTGAATGGCTAAGATCTAGGATGCTGGCTTTATCTGCTGCCGAGAGGGACATTTATTTCTTAATTAGATGAGATCAGCTAATCTAGGTTTAATCTTATTTTGAACAAGTCAATTTTAACTATAAAATATTATAGGGAAAGAACATTTTATTGGTAGATGCAAAAGCATGAAATAGTGAGGATGGGACCAGGGGATGTTTGAAATGCATACCATTTGTTTTTATTATGTATTATGGGCACCGAAGGAAATACAGCAAATGATTAATCTTGGCTCAATACATCCCTTGTCCTGACTATGCTCCCTCTGCCTCAGGATAAAGATATGAATCTTCCACTGTGGGACCCTTCACTGTCACTGTGCCCTTGAGATGTACTTGTAGTTGTCATCCAGCTCTTAATATATAGGATAATAAAAACTATGGAAACCCACAAACACTGTATCTTAGCAGACTGTAACCCAAGTAAATTCTCTTTATCTTAGAACCAAAGCAATAGCCTGTTTTCTGTTGGTAAACTGAAGGTTTGCTTTCAGCATGCTATTAAGATAGTCTTCAAAGTGCAGTCTGCATTTATGAGAAGCTGGAATATAAGCAAGTAAACCGTCAAGAAGAAAGGTAAAATCTGTCAATTTTATGTTTTAAGGCAAAGAACTCTCCCACACCCCCTGTTGGTTTTTCTTCTGGACTGGGGACCAGAGCATGCACCTGCCTGGTTCTAAGGACAGGATCAGAGAGACGGCGCAGGATGACCTGGATTATTTGGACAGTTCACTGCCACTCTAAAGGCAGAATTTCCACTGCGAATAACTGAGAAAAATGTGACTCCTACTCAACTCTTGCATTTTAGAGACAACATAGCATGTAATTTTCTCTACTGGAAAGGTATATTGGCATTTCACTTCTGTGAAATGCATGATGACCAGCTTTAGAATTACAGATGCTATTTCTATTCCTAAGCCATCAGTCACAGTTCAATCCAAACCACCCATCTTTCATAAGTAATCTACCCTTTGAAATTTTACTGTATCTCAAGATGCCAGACTAGGGAATTATCCATGTCTGCTGATCAGTTTGACATTGTGCTGACTGAAATGCTTAAGGGTTCAAAGGGAAACATGTTGAGAAAGCAGGCAGATCTCAAAATGTTCCATGCATCCAGTGGCTTCTGGGAGGTCCAGCCACTGCTGCAACTAAATTACCACAGAGATTGAAAGAATTATGCTCACTAGGCTAACGCTATTTTCAGTGCTGCTTCCAAATTCCCATCAACACTGAAGGCACTTGTGTACAAATAATTACTTAAGCAGCTTTGGCTCAGAGTGAATGAAGTTCTTCTCTGAGAAGCTGATTTCATTCTTTCAACTCTGTTTCAGAACTCACACATAGGGTCTGTCAAGATGAAATCCCAACTCAAATGTGGCTCCTGAGGAAAGGATGTGTGGGTGTGCACGTGTACATGCGTATTTCTCTCTGTGTGTATAAAGACAGAAGATAAAGTAAAGTGAAAGTGTAGTCACTTGATTGCGTCCAACTCTTTGTGACCCCACGGACTATAGCGCGCCAGGCACCTCTGTCCATGGAATTCTCTAGGCAAGCATACTGGAATTCTCTAGGCAAGAATACTGGAGTGGAAGGCCATTTCCTTCTCCAAGGGATTTTCCTGACTCAGCGATCGAACTTGGGTCTCACACATTGCAGCAGATTCTTGACTGTCTGAGCCACAAGGGAAGCACATCTTGAAAAATGGTTCAAGGCCAGGACACCAGCCTGGATGCACAGCATGGGGATGCATACTTACTCTGGCATCAGGAAGACGGATTCATGGGTTATATTTAAGAGGTGGGACATTTCCTCAGTCTGACATTTGATCAAGCGCCCACTTGCCTTGCCCAGTGTCTTTTTGGTTCAGCTCTGTGACAAACAAGCTGTACCTGACTGGACTGCCAGGTGACCTGCTACACAGAATGCTGGCTGGTAGGCCCCCAGAACAGGAGAGTGGCTGTTGCAAATCTCTCTCCTTTCACCTCTTGTTCCAGCAGGAGGATTAGGCCATGATTTTACCTGGAATGTTTTTATGCAACCCACTCCAGTAGTCTCGTCTGGGAAATCCCAGGGACAGAGGAGCCCAGCACTACAGGCCATGGGGTCACAAAGAGTTGGATGCAACTGAGTGACTAAACAACGACCACAAGCATAACCCAAGCCACTGGCCCTTCAAGGAGAATGTAGAAATGGCATCCCAGCAAACACATGCCCCAGGAGCTTTTCATTGGCATTGTGTCCAAAATCCCTCCAAACAAAGCTCCCTGTGCTGCAGACTGCAGCTCCTTCACTGAAATGCATGCTCTCTGAATGGACACAGCAATCTGAGTCACGTGTTCTTTCCCCACAATTTCATCTCCCTCCTGCCCTGTTCTAATGCTTTCTGGAAACAAAAGCTTTGTGGTCACTTTAAAATTAGATGATGCAGAAAATAAGATGAATCTTATTCTTGATGTCATCCCTTCCTGCTTTTAAAAAACAGGGACACAGACCTATAAAACATTAAAAAAAATTTTAAGAAGTTGATTTTTGGTCCAGTTTAAATTTAGTTATATTTACAAAGTACAACAAGCATATTTTTGACTTTGACTTCATCCTTCAAGGGAAAAGGTTTATTATTATTACTGTGTTCATTTATTTCTTGATATGGAAACTCTGAATTCACTGAAGTAATGAAAGACAGCTAGAGGATAACTCAAAGACAAGCTCTTTTGACCAACACCAGAGGGCGCTTAGATATACATATTTTAAAAAAGACAGCGGCAAAGAGGAACATCTTTCTTTAAACTGCAAAATTACTGGATATAATATATAGTGATTCCTTATTTGAAAGTTCTACAGTTTTCGTTAACTTTGATTATGGGAGGAAAATAATGACATGGGCACATGGTAAAACAGCTGCATCCTGGTCTAAGGAAAACTGTATTAAAAAGTTAGTTCACAACTGTAAGCTGGTTGATCTTTAGCATTACAAATGGATTAATCATTTACTCACGTCAACAGTGAATTCTGACACACATTTGATGTAAAAGGTGGCAAGAATTTCATTTACTATACAGGGCATAAAGTATAGTATACCTAGAATACTATTCTATTTAGTGAGGATGATAATCATTATCTAGGATGATAATCATTTATTTCAACATGACACTTTTGAGAGTGGAAGGGGATCTTTTAATAATAACTCTAAGAGAAGCATTAAAGAGAGGCAGTACTGGACAAAATGGCAGTAGAAATACTGGTGTGCCACTTCACAATTTGTACGGTAATGTCTACTTGTGTGGGTTTAACTATCTTCTAAACATTGAAATACTTTTCCAGCCTTGATCTCTTCTCTTGAGCTACAGACGCAAATCTCTGGCATCCACTGGTACTTCACCTGAAGAGATACAGAGAATCCATTCTGAATTATCAGTCTTGGCCATCTATCTTAACAAGTCTAATAGCTTACATCTTTGCAACTCTTCATATTCAACTGGTTGGTCACTGGATCACTTTTATTTCACTTGCCATTCTGGCCTCTCTTCTTGTTCCCCACCACTAGTTTTAGTTTATCCTGGTTCACTGCAATTTTCTTTCCAATGAATACAAGGTAGCAACTGACTGCTCTTGTTTGGATTACTGTGACAATCTACTAACTGGTGTCCCTGTCTTCAGTCTTAAACTCACCAATTTATCATCCCCACTGCAGAGGAAGGTTTCTGAAACTTCACACCTAATCAGCTCATAGTTGTAGGTAAATGCTCCAATATCTTCCCAAGTCCATAGGATGAGCATGGTGGGCAAGGTTCTTCACAATTTAGCCTCTGAGAACCTCTTCAGCATTGTCTTCTGCTCCTTGCTTTATAGTTAATCTTTTGCAATGCCAAGGCTTAAGTTCTACAGTCTTGTGGTCAACTGTAATTGAAACATATTTTGACTTTTTGTCCTGTCTTTTTATCAGGATTGGAGATGAGGCTTTTGATGTACGGAAGTGACCTACTTTCCTTCCAACCCTAAAGGTCTTCATACATGCTGAAGGAGTAAGGATGAGATGGAGGAGATGGAGAACTGTAGGGAACAGTGTGGCACCCTCCTGACCCAGCTCTTGGGAGACTGGGCTCTAGATCCAGATGGCAAAGGGCAGCAGTGAGATTGGGACAGGGTCACTATCTTCACTTCTGCTTGTAGCCTAGTCCACTCTGGCTCTGAGCATGGTGCCTTTGGGAACATGGGAGAATGGAATCTTGACAGAGACTTTGGTATTTCATTACAGACATGATCAGCAAAATCGAGGCAAAATCGAGGCTTTTTTGAGCAGCAGCTCTTTGGGAACACAAATGCATGGGCATCCTTTAGGAGTTTCCCAAACGTTGCTGTTTTTCAGTCACTCAGTCATGTCTGACTCTTTTCAACCCCATGGACTGCACCACGCCAGGCTTCCTTGTCCTTCATCATCTCCTAAAGCTTGCTCAAACTCATATCCATCGAGTCGGTGATGCCATCCAACTATCTCATCCTCTGTAGTCCCTTTCTTCTCCCGCCTTGAATACTTCCCAGCATCAGGGTCTTTTCTAATGAGTCAGTTTTTCGCATCCGGTGGCCAAAGGATTGGCACTTCAGCTTCAGGATCAGTCCTTCCAATGAAAATTCAGGACTGATTTCTTTTAGGATTGCCTGGTTTGATCTCCTTGCTGTCCAAAGGACTCTCAAGAGTCTTCTCCAACACCATAGTTCAAAAGCATCAATTCTTCAGTGCTCAGCCTTCTTTATGGTCCAACTCTCACATCCATACATGACTACTGGAAAAATCATAGCTTTGACTATATGGACTATATGGTCCATATGCTGACAGAGGACTATATGGTCCTCTGTCAGCAAAGTGATGTCTCTGCTCTTTAATACACTGTCTAGGTTGGTCATAGCTTTTCTTCTAAGGAGCAAGTGTCTTTTAACTTCATGGCTGTAGTCACCATCTGCCGTGATTTTGGATTTTTACTAGTCTATAAAAGACACAGTGCCAGATTCTTGATAAGCAAGTTGCTTTTACGGAAGATCATCAGTGTACAAAAAGATGTGGTAGACAACTGAAATATGACGTCTTAAAGTGTGAATGTTTTAACTATTCTAAACCTATATATTTTGGTTTTCTATAAAATAAAGTGTACTCTAAGAATGTTTCTTAGCAGTTGGTGATGAAAGCTCAGCCTCTCTGTACAGTGATGCCGAATCAAATCTCAGAGACAGAGTTTTGGGTGAAGCAGAAAAGCTAGCTTTATTGCTTTGCCAGGTAAAGAGGCACAGTGGGCTCATGCCCGCCAAACTAAGTGTCCCAATTTGGGGAAAATAGTGATGAGTTTTATAGTAATTGTTCAAAGAGGGCATGATCAGCTTGTGGACATTCTTCTGATGGGTTGGTAGTGAGCTAACTAGGAGTCGGCATCATCCACCTTCAAGTCCAACAGGTCTGGGGTTTACATGCTTTGGGTCAGCATACCATCACTGATCCGTAACTTCTGCCTCCTGGAAGGGGTTTCAGTATCTACAAAAAGAAGAAATTGCTGTGTATATCCATTGATGGGTTTCCCTTGTGGCTCAGCTGGTAAACAATCAACCTGCAATGTGAGGGACCTGGGTTGATCCCTGGGAGATCCCCTGGAGAAGGGAAATGCTACCCACTCCAGTATTCTGGCCTGGAGAATTCCATGGACTGTATAGTCCCTGGGGTTTCGAAGAGTCGGACACCACAGTGACTTTCATTCACTCACTCACTCACTCACTCACTCACTCATATCCATTGATGGGAAAGCAGGAACTTGTCCCAAGGCTACTCTTGACNGGATGGGGAATACATGTAAATCCATGGCTGATTCATGTCAATGTATGACAAAAACCACTACAATGTTGTAAAGTAATTAGCCTCCAACTAATAAAAATAAATGGAAAAAAAAAAGAAAATGAGAATTGTTTCTGAAAAGAATAACAGTTTATGTCAAATATTAGTATCTGAAAGCAGAAATTCCAGGGTACTCTGGGCAGAACTGGTGGAACATAATCAGGGGAAAAAAATGTGTTAAAGATTTTAGTATATTAAACATGGTGCCTTGGAGCTTAGTTGCATTTTCTTTTTTTTTTTCATTAGAACAGAGGATGGATATTTTTCCATTAGACCCTTTGGGAATGACTTTGCTTGTGTTTTAATGTTTTTGTTAATTTGTGAGAGCTTTTACAAGCCACATTTACCTCAACATTTTTCTTAGTCTCATTGACTTTTTTTGTTTATTTAGTTGTTTTACTGAGTATTTGCAGTTTTACCTTGTCAAATCTATTCTTTCATTTTACTATAATTCTTCACACTATGTTTAATTGTATTTTTATTTCCTTTCAAGATTTACTAATTATCTAGTTCAAACGTTTTCTTGAAAATTTTAGATTTAAACTAAAGTCTTTAATCTGTTTGAAGTTTATTTTATTAATGGTATATGGTAAAAAATAAGGGTCTGAAGTGTTCTTTTCCCCCTGCCAAACTGCAAAATTGCTTTCTCAACACAATTTCTCCTCTTTCCTTTTATTATTTAATGCAGCCTGTAGCAAACATTTAAAGTTTATACTCTATGTAATAAAGTTTACTTCTGGACACTCTATAGCTCTTAGCCATAAAATGTTAAGGCAAACAGCTGAATGAATATCCAAATGAAATACATATCAATGATATTTACCAGCAGCAAACACAACGAAAGTTCCCCATAAACATGGTTTTTCAAAGAAACCAATCAAAATGCAAAGATATAGTAGAGACCAAGTGTGTTAACTTTATCCTTAGGTCTTGCCTTTATTTATTTTAAGGCACCTGGGTCCCTGCATTTTTTCTGGGCTGTGTTAAGCCTCAAACATTTGTGACTAGCCAGTCTCACACTAGCTAAATCCCTCCTTGAAGTTAGTCTCAGAAACCGAATACATACCCTTTCAGCTAATTCCTCCACATCAGACTGAAGGCTTTTCATTGTGTTTTCAGCATTGTTGATTTGTATCTTTCTTAGGACATACTGGTTTTCTCTTTCTGACAATTTTGTCTGTGGATTAAAATGAAACAACAAAACACGTATTTTTCCATAGTCAGTAGATGTGCACACCAGGTTTATAAAAATACACAGAAAACCCTTTCATTGTAAGAGGACTACAGTAGAGAGTCAGCCTTTATTCTCAAAATAGTGGGGTCTACAGGCTACTGCAAGCTGGTATGAAATCTGAGGTCTGCCTGAGGGGACTGAGGGCTCTGGGGACAGAAATTCTGTGAGCTCCCCTCAGCAGGCTGGAGACTCTGGTGTGGGCTGTGCTGGTTCTGGGAAAAGGGTACCTTTTGCAAATTTGCAAACAGGCTCAATATAGACGGGCAGTGGCTTTGTGTGTCTGAGCTTTAAAACTTCAGTTCTGGCAGGTCTTCGAGGAAATGCTAACCCACCTTGATCAATGAAAACGGAGTTCTAGAAATTCAGTTTCCTCTTTCTAGTGTAAGGAAAACAATTATTTTTATTGCAGACCATTTGCCCGTTTCATTCCCATTTTTGAGGAGTTTGCACCAGGTGTAGCTTCCCTTCAATTACTTTGGAGTAAGTTCTCTAACCTGGGCACTGACTTCCTGTCAGCTATAATATTATAAAACTGATATAATAGCTATTTCTACCTTGAAGCTGTCCTTTTGGGGAAAGAGGATTCAAGCAGTATCAAGAGGACCGAGTCTGGGTGACTGCTCTGAGAATTACTGCCTTCATGTGTCCAAACAGATGAGTTTGGACAAAAACAATTCCTAAACTGGGAATAGACTGCTTACTTAGACTTCATCCAGCTTTACAACTTCGTGATTTTTGCTTTGTTATACACTTTGTTGTTTGGGGCAATTGCTGTGGATATTATTTGTACCTCCTAAAAGCAGAGAATTGAGTACTTTCTATGTTAGATACTATTCTGACTGCTCTCTATATAACAACTCACTGAATTCTCTCAACAACCCATGAGATAGGTATAATAATTATCCTCAATTTCAGATGAGGGAAATGAAAACTAAAGAGGTTAAACAATTTACTCAAGGTCACAAAGCTAGTAAATGTCAGAGCTGGGATTTGAATCTAAGCATTCTGGTGTCAAAATTTATGCTCTTAACCACTACGCTAATTTGACTAACAAAATAAAAAAGTATGCTAGTATTAGTTCTATTAACCTTTTAGCTGATTATCATTGTTTTAAAAAGTATCTGTTGGTTGTGATAGAAGCCTATAATTAAGAGAGGGGAAAAACACCTCTTAAAGCTTAGAGATATAAGCACTGTTACAGTTTTTGACTACTGTCTGCCTTTAACTTGCTTATCAGATTTAACCACTAGATCAAGGAAGAGAAACAGAGCATATGAGCATGCTTCTGTGTTTGAGTGTGTGTGTCAGTTTGGAAAACTGAGAAAAAATGTGTGTCAGTGAGATGGAATGGTAAGGGCAGGAGAAAGAGGGAGGAAAGAAGGAAAACATACACAATAGTGTATGTATTAGTTTTCAAAGAAACCCACGAAAACATAGCAAACTGAAGCTAAGGTAATAGTATGTTTGTTACGTTGACTTAAGTAACCAATGTATAGCTTAAGAAAATAAGAGGGTTTCTCCTCTATAATGTATAGAGGAGAAATGTATAGCTTTATACATAGATACTAGTTTTTCAGTCATTTCATTTTCCATTAACCTTTTTCACAGATGACAGCTCTTGGTTTAGGATGGAGCGCATTAGTATAATCAACTCTTCATAATTTCTGAGGTCTGGCAATATGTAATATAACTACTGGACTCAGATAACAAAAGGGTAGGAAGTACTAGGAGTGACCCTGTGAAACCAGAGTGAAAATACACAGAAAGTACACCATTCCTGCATACTTTGAGGAGGTAGATGGTGGAGTTGATTTCGTTCACGTGCCTATGAGCTGCGGCACCAGATGATACACTCAACAGGCCAGATTTGCTTTCTTCAATTGAGAGCGCTGCTAACCGAAGGTCATCAGTCAGATCCCAGATGCATTTATCGCAGCCTGGTGGTACAACGGGCATGTCATTTCCTCAAAATCAAAGGTCAGCTGTGAAGCATGCTGCTCTAAGTTGGTCATTATATGCCCTTCCTTGGTTAATACTATTTGTATTTTTGTTTCCTGAGGAGCTATTCTGGACCACGGAACTAGACCTTATACTCAGAGAGTCTCAGATGACCAAAGTGTACGCTGGGCACTATCCCTGCTTAAAACATAAAAGACAAACACGCAACTGAAAAGCAGGTTACCATGAACACTAGTGGCTGAACTGAGGAGGAAAGGAAGTCCAAAGGGCAAGGCATCTGAGAGACGGTGGGTGGCTGAAGAGAACCTTCTCCCCACTTTTCTCTGGTCAGGGGAAAGCCATCTGTGAGGACGCCCTCCATGTCAGGCTGTGGGTTTCCACTTGGCACCGGCCAGTGAAGCTGGAACTCACCTGCCACTTCTCTCACAGCAGCTTTCCTGACTGACTGTTCAGGTTCCAGGGCTTTCTCCTCACCTCATGGATGGCCCGTTGCTTCCCCATGGCCTGACCTCCTGTCTGAACAGGTCGGCAGGACCTCACTGTTTGCTAATATTACTCTCTAACAGCTGATGACCCTGCACGTGTGGTGAGGAGGGTGGCGGTTTCTTGCTGCTTCCTGCATTTCACATTCGAGTTCCTCTGACCACCGTCGTCACCCCCACGACCCAATGCCCTCCTGGGACACAGTCACTAAGGACACCCTTTGAAAATTTTCTGTTTCCAACCTCTTTTCCACCAGATGTATTCTTGTCTAGGGAACTGATAAATGGAGACTAAAGGGTTAATGGTTGTTAATATGTTAATTTGTTACTTGAAGTTAAATGCAGTCTTCCTCATATGCTCTAAGGAATGACTCCCCAGCCAGTACATCAGGCTGGTGGAGGAGACACATAGAGGCCAAGCAGGCACCTGATGTCCTTAAAGCGACTGTGCACAGGGGATCACCTATGCTTGTCAGTATGCAAACTTTGCCCAGCCTGTGCCTTCCATCCTATGTCACCTTCTGATATGGGATTCATCGTGATATTAATCTCTTGTGCCCAGAGGGACTGAGAGGCCAAGATGTTTTTGTTTGGGGGAAGGGATATCTAATATTAAAGTAGTCTTTAAAACACTCTACTTAAAGCCAAATATTAGTTACTTTCCTTTTTTTTTTTAATTTCNGACAGACAGGAAAGAGAGAAGGCAGCTCCTTTTCATAAGGACTGAATATTATATTACTGGTGCCACTTCAGATTTGGAGTGATCTGGGGAAAAGCCACTTAAATCTCTTGGTACATGAATTTACCGAATGTTGTAAAGCACTGTCTATGGATTACATTATCTGAGGACCTGAAGAGATAATATAGAAAAAGGACCTAAAATGAACTCAGTCATTGGGAACTGTATTTCCAACTTTACCTACTAAGTAAGACCTTGAACTTAAAGACTTAACAAAAATAATTTTTCTAAAATAGAGCTGTTTAAATGCAACCTGCTATTTGCCAATTGGAATTAAGTGGACTGAATGTCTTTAGCTTGGGGTCCATTTGATTGAGGCACAGACAGGGTTACAGCCAATGGTGGGACTCAGGACAGTTTCTAGAGAGGGTGGGATTGCATAGCTCTTCTTAATCCTACACCTGCAGCGCATTAGAGAAAGTGGGGTTAGTCAATCATGTACTGTTATTTTTACTTATGGTTGGGCAGTCCGTGCCTGTAGGGGGCTCAAAACCTTCTTCCAAGCACTCTCCGGTTATGCTGTCACATGGGCCTCCCCCACAATTGCACGCTGTGGGAAACAAAAACAAGAGATTAGGGGTTCATTTTCTTAATGCCTAAAATATCACAGTGTTTTGTGGTTTGCAGAAATGCTTGCTATCAGTATATAATTCTTCAGTGGGGATTAATTTATATTCTTTCTTGAGATCATGAGGAATACATGATTTAGTGATTACTCCTGTTACCCAATTAAGCCCCAGCTTGGTGAGACTTTCAAAGGTGACCCTGGGCCAAAAGTAGATAAATCTCCATGTTCTAGGATTCCCTTCCCAACTTTTTGAGATTCTGACACGACTCTGCAACTGCTTCAGTCCAAAGAGATCCGGGTCAGTTTCACAAGGTACAAAATGATCACAGAGTCCATCATTCAGCTGGAATCCAAGTCATCCTTTTATCGCAGTCAGACTCTCCAGTTTAATCCAAGTCTAGGTTTGATTACTGCCAGGTGTGAGGGAGGAGCCACCCACTAGGAGTGAGGCGACCCAAGGGCGATTCTTGGCTCCTACAGGGCTTGACCCTTGGCAAGACTGACTCCAAACCTCTCAATGATGGCTACCAGTGGGATAGCTGGGAACAATGTTGTGAAAAGAATTAGGACCATTATTTACATGAATTTAGAAGACTTGAGAGCCCATTATTAATCTTTGATGATTTTTAAGAATGCTTTTTGGGGAAAAAACAAAAACAAAACCTCAATCTCACCAGACTGTTCATTTTCCAGTGCATTTTGGAGTGGAGATTAATTTCTAATATTTATAAAGGATTTCTTCAGTTATGTAGGCTAGCAGTAAGCTGGACTAGAATTGTGAATTTCCTCCCACCTCTTAACTGTCTTTACAGAATAATCATAAAAAATTGGCTTTAAGGATAACATATATTACATTTTGGCTGTTAAATGTTCCATAAAATACAGATTTATGAAACAATTCAGCAAGGTCATGCATTATTGCTTCCAACATTAGCTTCTTTTCTAAGAGTGATCTGCATCCATGTCATTTAAACATGAGTTTAGTCAATATTTTGAGAATCAGGATGCCAATGTTTAAGTCTTTGGCTTTGCCAACCCTCTTTCGGACGCCCACTTCCTGTCTCTAGTCTGACTGGACACAGTGCTCCTTTTCTCCCTCTGTTATTCTCGGGGTTATGCTTCTGTGCACACAGCTTTCCTGGAGGCATGGTTACTTTTCTGTGACTTTGGCAGATCATATTTGTTTTCTTCTCAATTTCAAACTCTTCACTTAAAAATCTCTTTAAGTGGAAACCTGTTTCAGTGAGAGCATCTCCAATTGAAGCAAGCCACAAGAGCACAATACCTCTTCCTCAGTCTTCTTCATCTCAAAGGCACATAAAAGGAGGAATACTCGTCTCAGCCTCCCTTTAATCCTGCAGGAAGGCAATTTAACTTTACTTCTGAAGAGCTTCACTCTCTGAGGTAAATGGATTGGAGAAATCCCAAATAAAATTGGTACTTTTCAGTCTAACTGAAGTCTAACCAGGAAGATACTATCCCTGAAATATTTTCTCTGATAATTTGAAGTAATAAGGGGATGAAACTACTCCTGGATTTGCTATTTCACTGAAATGCTAATTTTTACCAAATATAACTATAAAGAAAGACATAGTTTGCAGAATAAGAAAATTGATGTGAACCATGCAAGCTTTCATTCAGTCCTCTGGTCAATGATAGCTTATCTGCGGAATTCTGATTTACTTCTTTGGTCAAAACTGGAAGGACATGAAGATGCTAAGACAAAAAGTCACAGGTGTTAAGTGTCTCATGGTCCATTCTACCCACGAGCTAAGTTACATTAGTCGTGATAAAAATATCTAGCCCTAGGAATATGGGATGCATACCCCGAGACTCCATATTACCCTGGAAAAGTGTCAAGGGGGTAATACTGCAGTTGCAGTATGTCCCCAAGAGAAATTCACCTAAACCTGGCGCTGACAGAGAACCTGCTCCCATCACACAGGCACCAGTCGGGCGGCCGCGGTAGTGTGCACGGCACTGTACCTGCACAGTTCTTGGCTCTCCTCGCATCTCCATAGTACCCAGGTGCGCACCGTTCACACTTGAATCCAGTGGTGTTGCGTAAGCAATTCCTACACTGGCCAGTGACCTCATCACAATCTTCAAAGATCAGGTTAGGATCTGAATTCCCACTGCAGTCACATTTCTTACAAGTGCTTCCAATCAGCAAGGGGTTTCCATAGTAACCAGGAGCGCATCTGAAGGGGAATCACACGTTTAAAATTGAGCATCCTAGTTTTCTTCCTTTTTGTCTTCTTCCCTACTTAGAAGGAAGTATAATGAATCTCTCTGGGCTATTCTCCCAGAATTAATCCCCCCTCTCCCACCTTCCTATAGACAGGACTTTGTTTTTAAGGAACTACTCTTCTCTGTTGTGTTCCAGCCCATTCAGTTCAGCAAGATCTTCAGGTGCAGGAGTGTCTGGCTATAACCAGTTTGTGGGTATTTGTGGTTACACCTCAATGACTGGGAGGCACTGCTGCCATAGGATGGTGGTACTAGATATGCTAAATGTGGCTATGAGATTTGCCACTAGGGCACAGCTAAGAATTGTTCTGAACAAAATTTTAATAATACCTTTACTGAGAATCACTGGTTTATGTCCCACCTTGCCAGAGTGATTGTTCTGATAAACTAAACCTGAGCCAATCAGTGCCTGGCACTGTCCCAGTCAAAATGGTTTGGCACAGGAGTGATTCAATTGGAGTGGAGCTCCGGCTCTTGTTTGAGGGCTTTGTGAAGGCATTCTCTCTATCAGCAGGTGAATAAAGAGGCAGGAAACACTACTGGCCCTGGCAGCCATTCTGTGGCTGAAAGAAGACAGTGTGGAGATGAAGCAGAGGGCAGAGCTGAGGGAGTCCCACAGATAAGTGGAGTTGGAGCCAGATGGCCATTACTCTGTAGGTTTTAGATATATAAGCCTACAGAGGCCAGATACCTAGTTGCATTTGTTGTGAGGGCAGAGCTGATGCCTACGGTCATGCCAGCTGGCCCTTAATGAAGAGAATCCAGCCCAGTTGGAGAGCAGAGACTGAAATCTTTCCAGCCTTTGCTGGCTTTGCCAAGTTGCGTGCTCTGGGTGGGGCTGCCTCTGCCTGGAGGAAAAATGCCTTTCTTTACTGTTTCCAAAAGATAACCTGTAGGCCAGCAGAAGCCCTGCTGAGCATGATGGGACCACAGGTCTCATCTGAGTGGGGCGGTGCTTCTCAGCTCCTATCAACTCTTTCCACACTGTACCTGTGAGGGAATGATCTGTCCTGTAAATCTGTTTTTTAAAGGAAATGTTGAAATTTGGATTTGTATGTGAAATCTGTTTTTAAAGGTTGCTTCACACTTTGTAAGAATACTGTTTGAGCCAACATACACATTTTCTGGCTGGCTGTTGTCCCTGTTTTGCGGTGGACCCTAAATCATTGTTGAAGACTGGCTAAGGTGGGCTGAATAAGCTTTGGGAGTGGCTGGAAAAAATGTGCAGGCGCACCATCAAGGGACTAAAGGTTGGGCACAGGAGTTAGTTTTGATGAGAGAGAAAAAGGAAGAAAGCCAGTGAAGGTTTTCATGTGTGATAAAAGTGATGGTGAGTGAAGCCAGTGTTGGCATAAGAGTTCAGGGTGGACTGTGGGCTGGAATAGGAGACCGGGGTTGGGTGGGGAGGGCCTTGGGTGGAACCTTGGCCTTGGGAGTGGAAAGGAAGACTTTCCAAGGAAACCAGTAAGACCCAGCCAGTAATAATAAGACACCACATTTTTGAAGGCCTCCATTTAAAGCAAAAGAATTATGATTCAGAACATTTGAAAAACAGAGAAATTAAAAAAAAAATCACACCTGTAATCCCAAGACCTTAACAAAACCACTGTTCAACATTTTGCATATGTTTTCCCAGGCTTTATTCCTGTCTCAGTTTTGTGATGTAATCGTAATGATGGTGTATGTTCAGTCACTTGCACTGCATCTCATGGCTTCAACTAGGTAAGTTTATTTAGTTACCACAGACACCCAGGAGGGAGGGCACCCCGGCCTGGCATTCTGAGGTTGAGAGGCTAGTTTGATTTCCTAGTCTCCCACAGCCAGGAAGTGACAGCATATGACCCAGACCCTCTGACCCTGATGTTCTTTTCTTCACTCCAGCCTGGACCACACTGCTGCTGCTTTACATGAATGACTGAATTCAACCAACAGAAGGACAATTCATGTCTATTTTGTGTAAGGCGTGGAGAGACAGGAAGAGGAAAAACACACAGCCTATGCACTGAAAGAACAGGAAAGGAATTAGTCATAATTATACAAACTCTAGATACCGAGGACTATGAAAAAGATAAGATCGAATGTTAAGTGCCACACAACCCACAAAGAGGAAACGTTTGATACATTTTGTTATTCATACTCATGTCTCTGTACCTCTAGTTTACAGGCCCTCTGATCCCCAAGTCAGCATACATCATTCCTCTGTGGAACTCACGGCTGGATTAAATTTCTATCCTGGGCTGCTGTCTACCAAACAGAATATTAGGATTCTTAGGCTCACTAAAATGGGATGCGGATCTGCCACCTCAGTGTGCAACTGGGAGCCTGAGGTCCAGGAGTGAACGGACTTGTCCACGCTCACAGAAGCCAGATGCCAGTTACTTTCTTTTCTCTGTTTGATTCCACTGTATTTGATCTCCACAGGCGGTCTCCTGGTTTTCTACAAGAGAAAAAGCAAACTTTCTCTTCTCTAAGTCAGAATCTCAACCACAGTAGAGATCTACTTTGAGTCACTTTGAATTTCAAGAACATCTTTTGGTGGCAGTCTCAGAGGCAACTCTGAAGACACAGTCCCAACTTCAACCCTACAGATGCTATAGCCTGAGAACGCAAAGGTTTTGTACTAAGCCCACTCTGACTCCAAATTTACAGATGAGGAAACTAGACGATGAAGAAGCAGGATGACTGGTTCACCACTACAGGGTTCAAGCACTGAGTGGGACTCCCAAGTTTATACTCTTTCCACTCCACAAGTATGGCATTAATGAGTCAACTAATTAACCCATTAATGATATAACAGGTGAATAATCAAATGCTATCTATTAATATGCCTAATTCCTGCCCTCCAAGAGTAAATTACAAAGAATACAAAAGGACCAGGAATTGGATTCAGAGTCAGCACTGGAGTCCAGGTACCCAGGACTGGTGCACTTTTATGTGCTTCTGTAATTTCATTTCTAGTTGTATTAATTACTTGATTCACTCAGAGAAAATAGAGCTGATAAATATACAATGTAAATGAAAGAATAGTGACATATGAACTTTGTCATTTCAGTCAGTGATCATATCATTTGGCAAAATAGGGGGGAAAAAAGATGTGCTTTTTGGAAAAAACATTTTGGTCAAAAAAAAATTTTGAACAAAAAACAAAATTGGGGAAAATTTTGTAGTGCTTTCCCTGTCCTCTGCTCTTCCCCCTTCGCTTCTCTTCCCAGGGCTGCGTTCTAGTCCTCACTGAATGCCTTTATCAAAGGTGCTAACATTCCCAGCCCAGGTGGCACAGAAGCTTTTCTGAGGAGGACGTGGCTCTATAGTCATTTGGGTTAAATTAAACAAAGAAAAAAGTATTTGTTACACAGCAGGTGCCAGATAAATGCTCTCCACTTCTCTATGAAAGACTGGGAACTAAAGCTAGGGAAATATAAGTAACCCATTCCAGGTCACAGGGCAAGAATCCAGAAGTGGAGCAGGCAAGAGTAGGCTTAATAAGATTTTTGTAGAGATAACAGGTCTGACAGCTTAAGTTTGAAAAACATGATGCCTGCAGAATCAGACTAAATCACCAAATCATAATATGGTGCGTGTTCAGTCACGTCTTACTCTTTGTGAGCCCATGGGTTGTAGCCCTCCAGGCTCCTCTGTCCATGGGATATTCCCGGCAAGAATACATTTCCTACCCTGGGGATCTTCCCAACCCACAGACTGAACCTGAGTCTCCTGCCCTGGCAGGCAGATTCTTTACCACTGCGCCATCTCAGAAGCCTGAATCATAATATAATCCTCAATAAATGTTAGCTTCCTCTTCCTCTACATTATTTTTTTCTAACTTCAAGGTCATTATCAAAATCATTATCACTGTCATCATCATAGTCTCTGATGATATTATGTTCGGCTTTTCCTGTTAGGATTTTCAGATTCTCTTAAATTTACTTTAATTTGCCCCATTCTTCTTTCCTGATCTTTAAGCAACGAGAGCCACCTAATAAAGGCCCCTCCATCTTTAAATAAAATGTACTACTTAGGAGCAGAGGGAAGATCACTCTGAATGAGAATGAGATTCAAAACTCCTGTCCATATGATTGTTCATTTTATAATTATTTGCATCAGAAGATAACTTACATTTGCAACCTCTATTCAATTCTGGGTCTTTGATTTTCCAGGCTTGGGGTGAGAAGTAGGGGGTCAAATGGCGCAAGAAATGTCTGACTCTTGTCACTGCATCGAGTCTTTTTAAAGGAATAATAAACGTTCTGGGGTTTTTTAGTAAAAGAAACGTTTTAAAGAACCATTACTGAAACAAATGTAATTCAGTGCCTACAATATTCTAGATACCATAATGGGGGAAGAATGAAGAGAGACAGAAATAAGACACTACTGTTGAGAAGCTCACAGTTCAAAGAGATTTTTAAAAATTGTTTGATTTTGAACAAGCAGCTTAACCTCTCTGTGTCTCACTTTCTTTCTCTGTAAATAAGGATGAAAATGCTATCTCATAGGGTTTTTCTTTGAGGTTTAAATATATCATTGCCTGTAAAGAAAGTGCTGACAATAGTAACTGGTATACAGTAAGCACTAGTAAATATTATTTATTATTTTTACCATTATCATTATGATCATCATCTAAATGCAACAATATGTGGTAAGCTCTACAGCTGACCAGTGGATATTAAGAACAGCAGGTCCAGTATGGGGAGTTTAAATTATGAGGTGAGACAGGGCTTTGGGAAGAGACAGGCAGGGCCCAAAGTAGGCTAAATAACTCGGACCTTACTGGGAAGACCAGCATGTTTGAGCTATTTTGCACAATACTAAAGAAAGAGGCTCATGTCTTTCCTATTGTAGACCAGTGTTGCTCAAACATGTATGTTGTATGGATCCTTGTGAAAAGGAAAACATTTACATAGACTATCTCTTCCAGTGTTCACTTAAATCATCCTTAAATAATTCAAACAGAAAACTAAGTAGTAACTCTTTATGACTTTTATGTATCTTGAAAAACCAGGATAAATTTTCCAAATAAAACACAACAAAACTATAAAATGAATCAAATTCAAATTAACAGCATCATTCAGGCAACAGATGATGTTGTCGCAACTGAATGACCATTTGCAATGTGACATGGTAGAAGACTGTTTGACTTCAGCATGCATGGCCTGCCCGGTGCTGTGTGATGACTCAGTTCAGTTCAGTTCAGTTGCTCAGTCGTGTCCAACTCTTTATGACCCCATGGACTGCAGTTTTCCAGGCCTCCCTGTCCATCNTTGCTTTTTCTATGATACAATGGATGCTGGCAATTTGATTTCTGGTTCCTCTGCCTTTTCTAAATTCAGCTTGAACATCTGGAAGTTCATGGTTCACATACTGTTGAAGCCTGGCTTGGAGAATTTTAAGCATTACTTTGCTAGCTTGTGAGATGAGTGTAATTGTACTGTAGTTTGAACATTCTTTGGCATTGCCTTTCTTTTGGGACTGGAATGAAAACTGACCTCTTCCAGTTCTGTGGCCACTGCTGAGTTTTCCAAATTTGCTGGCATATTGAGTGCAGCACTTTAAGAGCATCATCTTTTAGGATTTGAAATAGCTCAACTGGAATTCCATTACCTCCACTAGCTTTGTTCGTAGTGATGTTTCCTAAAGCCCACTTGACTTCGCATTCCAGGATGTCTGGCTCTAGGTGACTGATCACGCCATCATGGTTATCTGGGTCATTAAGATTTTTTTGTATAGTTCTTCTGTGTATTCTGGGCAACTCTTCTTATTATCTTCTGCTGTATGATGACTCAGTTTGCCTCAATGTCATCTTTGGGCCTCCAGCTGTCTGTAATGTCTCACTGACACACCATCAGCCATTTATTTTCTCCTTAGCTCTCAGGCAGATAGATCCTCCTCTATTATAACATGGTACTACAGAATGTATAGAACATGTTTAAGTGAACTTTTTTACCCTCAGGATTATCACTGAAATAAAACACAAAATTAAGAAAAAACTCGCTGAGAACCCATGAACCTCCACAAATATATCCGAGCACACCTGTGGCTCCTGAGTCCCTGTTTGGGAAACACTATTTTATAGTTTGTGGGTGTGGTATCAAAGGTTGAAACTGAGCAGTAGTTCACAAGCCAGTGAGAGGATTGCTGTGAGAATCCAACAGGGAGTCAAATTATGGGTCCCCCAGCTTCACCTGAGAGGTCTCTTCTCAGTGGGGCACAGAGGGGTTTAGGCAGGGCCCGGATATCCAAAGGTTTCCAGGAGATACATACACAAAGTCAGACTTGAAAACCATCTTTGATTAAATGATCTCTAAGTACAGAAACACCCAGCGCATTCTTGTTTGGACGAATGAGATAGATATCCATACAAACCAGCTACATATTTTGAAAAGATCTTGTGGGCAAATTTGAGTTTACAAATTAACTGAAAACATATTAGATGAAATTTAACTGGAAAAATTTAACAATCTGATGATTAAGCTCAAAACAGAGCCTCCCTGCCCCCCTCTCAGTTCCAGAGTCAAACAAATCACAAGCAGTTGAGGCCACCTCCTGTGAGGTGACCCAGCCCGTCCACGGGAAGGAAATCTCTCCTTCCACTACAGTTGTGAAGAGCCTCTGCTAGCCTTCTCTTTGGCATTTCCTTTTTTCTGTCTGGCAATCAATGCTTTTGAGGTTTGTCTCCTGCCCTAGCTTTGACTTCATTGAGGACAAGAGACCACATCTTACATGTATCACATCCCTACCCGCTCCACCATAAGCTGTTTCTGTAGTCATTTCTATTTTGAGGAAGAGTTCCCTGGATTATCAAGTCAAGTTTCAATGTAAAAGACCTCAGTACATTCTCTTTAAAAGAGCAGGGTGTGAGGAAGGGTGGACAGGAAATATGGAGAAATTTGCTCTAAGTGATCCTCCCCCAAAGCAGATGAAAGGCCTTAGAAGAGATGCATACTTCCAGTGCCCCTGTAGACGTAGCCTCCTGTCAAACAGAATCTAGTCAACAGATTAACCATTTTTGTCCTCCATATCAAAAGTTCATCTAGCTCATTAATCATCAACATTTAAAATAGGAGACTCTTAGGAAGACATTTGGGAAAAACAGAATGGGAGAATACAAATGTTTAGCCCAAACTTTTCAAATCCTGGTTCTCCCACTTAGCAAGTGATGTGACTTTAGACAAGTCAGTTTCTTCACCTGCAAAATGATAAAATATGAGCACCTCTAGGGGTAGTTATGAGGCTGAGAGAGGACACAAGAGACAATCATAGTAAAGGCACCATTTCTAGTTAAGGAAACAGATTCAGGGAAACAAGCCAACTTGTCCCAAGCACACATTATGCCAGTGGTGGAAACAGGACAACAGGCTCAGTGACTCACACTGTCTCCAGTTAATTATTATTGAACATTTATTAAGTGCCAGGTGCCATACTAAGAACTTCTCAGTATTCCTCACAACAGTCTTATGAGGTGGGTATTTTTCATTTTTTTCCTTTCTAGAGATGTGGAAATTGCCACATAGAGATCAAATAACTTACCCAGGAGGATCATAAAGGGATCACAAAGCTGAGAGATGGACTCAGCCAGGCTGACGCTACATCTCAGCACTTTACTTCACCTCCCAAACTGGTGCTCTTCCCTCTATCCTATCAATCCAGGCCCAGCTAAGCAGCAGATCTCACTGAGCCTTGCTGATTAATGCCAGGTTCCAGGAGCCTCCAGTGTGTGTAGGGGGATTTATCACCCACAGCTCCACGTCTGAGGGTACATGCTGTCTTGTGCCAGGCCCCCTGCCGTCGCTGACAGAACCCCATCCACGCCCCTGTGTGACTGTGTAGAACTGAGCCCCCGGGGCCCGGATTACTTCACTTCTGGGGGAATGTGTGTTCGGTCAGCAGGACTCTAAGACTAGTAATTCCCCTCTCAGGAGCCATCCAGCACCCATTAGCCAGTAATATTGCTTAATCCTTATCAGACTAAACTGAGTTTAACCTCAGACACTGATGAGAAGAAGCTCCATCCCTGGCTGTTGAACAACCTCTCACACCCCTGGGGAGCCAGACAATGAGTAAATCAGATGGTTCATGTTCCTGGGCCCCCACATAAAGAAATACAGAAAAACTGTGTCACCAACATTCATCAGCTGAAGGTCGTCTGATCATCTCTAGCAGTCCCCCTAAAGGATGACATTCACATGGTCTCTTAGCTTTCATGTTGCTCTTCCCTTACAGTAAAAAGGAGGGAAATCCCACAACTCTTCAGCAAAAGAATTATCCATATTTTGCATATTTAATAATTACAATAACAATCTCCTAAAAATATAGAGATTTTCTATGTTCCATAGACACTGTGGCTTTTTCAAGAGTTCCAGAGCTACACTTTGAGAGATGGAGGGTGTTTTCTTTGAGAGATGGAGGATGTGGAATGGTAATTAAGGTTTACCTTTTGAACCCTAGGCTGAGTTTCTGAGCCCCACCCAGGGCAGTAGGCAGTGTGCTATGTGAAGTGAGCACCCCATGGCCGTGGGGATATGGGACTAGATGTCTGACTGGTTCTTTCTGGCCCTTCCTTCCCTGTCTTGAGGACACCACGCATCATTTTGCTGCCTAAATACATGGAGAGGCCGACGTTAATGGCATTTCTGTTAAAAATAAGAAGGCCTCTCTCTGTGAGACTCTTTTAGTGAAAGCCCTTTTATCTTAGAAACCTGTGAGCAGCTGAGGGAGGATGGGAAATATCTTGCCAGAAATCATTTGGTGGGAAGCCGTGCACTCTTGCTTGCCAAGTCCTTTACTGTTTGAGCAAAGCCCAAAGCAACTTAAAAAAGTGTTAGGTATAAAAACCAAAAAAGGGATTCAGAAAATCCAAACTCATGGAATTACTTTTCAGGAGAGGAAATGGTATAAAAAATAGGTTAAATAATAGGTTTGTGCCTTTTTCAACGTATCACTGTATTAACTGACCAGTTAATAGAAAAAGGAATGCCTGAAGAAGTCTTTCTCCTTTCTCCCTCTCTTTTGGACATTAATTATTGTAGTACTAGTTCTCAGTGAGAGAGAGAGAGAGAGAAAAGACCATTGCCAAAACCATCTCTTCAAAATACAGACATTCATTTTCCTCTTTCCTTACCCATTTATCCTGCGATGTAGCCATGGACGCCTATGGAGCATTCTTTTTTTTTAAAATTAACTAGCTTACTTCTGACTGCACTGTCTTCGCTGCTGCTTTCTCGAGCTGTGGTGAGCGGGGGCTACTCTCTAGCTGCGGTGCACAGGCTTCTCACTGCAGTGGCTTCTCCTGTCGTGGAGCACAGGCTCTAGACGGCCCAGGTTTCAGTAGCTGTGGCGCACGGGTTTAGTCGCTCTGTGGCACGTGGGATCGTCCCTACCCAGGGACTGAGCCTGTGTCCCCTGCATTGGCAGGCAGATTCTTATCCACTGGACCACCAGGGAAGTCCCCAGGGAGCATTCTTACAGTTGTATCTGAGGCATGGGGTTTGGGAAAGTTCCCCCAAAAGGTCCTGAAATGCTATCCCTCATTCCTTCCTAAGACCTATTGAATGAGAGCATAGCAGAACTGATGAATGTGGGAAACAGGAAGTTTCCTTTTACCCTCACAGAGCACAGGGGTGTTCAGGAGCCTACCTCTCGCAATTAGGTCCAGCATAGTTTTCTTTACAAATACACCGAACAGCTCCGTTTTTCCTATAGCAGGACTCTGCAAAACTAGAATTGAAAGAGAATATTAGAAGTCAGTTCCATACATCACTGAAGAGGCTGTCTTAATTTTGATTAGTTCATCTCTACCTTGGTCCCCCTCAAGTTCAAATGGGTGTGATCACTTGCTTCATTTAAATTAAATCTCCCTCCTTTTAGGAAAGCTTAGAATATCAGGCTCAGACAGAAAGTGACACACCACTGGTGACACCATTTCCATCTACCTCATTTATTTTTCCATAGAGGCACTTCATTATTTTGACTCGAAACAGTGGGAATCTGCAGAACATCACGTATATTTGTGTGTGTGTGTGTGTGTGTGTGTGTGTATTCAATGCAAATCTAAACCACATATTCCAAAGCTGGATATAAAATAAGCAAATTTTACCTGTGATTTTAGATTCATATGAGAATTTTCTTTTTTTTTTTTCATCACTTTCTGTGTATTCACTTGAAAGTTTTCCTCTTTTCTTCCTGCATTAGCTCTCTTTCACTCTTCAACATCATGAGTCAGATGTTGCTTTATAATCTTTATAAAGATTATATGCTTTATAATATTTACAGAACTTTAATTTTTTTCATGTGTACCTTAAGGGATGGGAATAAAGGGTGTAGGGACTGGCTCAACTGACCAAAGTCACAAAGCAAGTACTCAAGCAAAAAATAGGACCCACAGTAAAAGGATTCTAGTCCATGAAACCCTCTCTTTTGAGTCTTCTTCTTTTTTTGATAATAAAAAGTAGGACACAGAACAGAAAGCAAACACACACTGTTTCAGCAGAATAAATAATTATCAAGGCAGGGAAATGGAATATTACTCTATATGTTTTGAAAATTCTACATTGACAGGACTCTATCCCTATGAGGATGGTATACAAAATTTTAAAGACTTTTAAATTAGTTTTGGCTTAGGTACTGTACAATCCATGGAGTGTGACCTGCTGTTCTCACATTTCTGCATGTATCAGCAAAGACCTAATGGTCTTTGGAGGAAAGCAAATGAATATGTTTGCTTTGTGTGAATACATTTATAAAATCAATCAGAAAACAACATGTGCTTCTCAGTAAAAGGCAGTACACACAACTTATTTTCTCTAGCGGTTTTGTTAAAAACACTCCAATAAATTACATTTCTTTGGCATTTATCCTTTATTTTTCTTGTTCTTATTCCTCAGCCTTCTTGAAGAAACACCATCAGTTAGGCGTCCAGAACATGCATATTTCTTTGAAGAAGTTCCACCCAGTGGCCCACCCATGGCTTGAAGGAATGAAAGATTTGCCTGGAGTTATCTTCTTTGAGCTAACGTCCTGCTGTTTCGAACAGATGACATTTTCCTTACTTGGTGCAATTATCAGTAGACATGGAAGATGTCTGGCCAAACCCCAAATAAATAACTAAGCTCTGTGCAAATGAACCCTGGGAACAGCTATGTGACCACTGGTCTTGGTGGAGGGAGACGCAGGGGCAGTAGGGCCATCAAGAGCTCCTTTTTTTGTTTTTCATCAGCATTAACTGTTTACATTTTGCTTATGCTAAAGTCTGTTTGGAGCTAGGGAAATGAAATCACTGTGCCTTTCTCAGCCCACACTAACAACCACAGTGCCTTTTCCAAGTGGAAGGGAGTCTTAAGCTTTTGAAAAACCCTCAGGGAACTTAAAGGAAAACAGACTCAGCACTGTTTGTTTGCAAAACTCCCTCAAGCATCACTCTCTCGCTTTCAAATGTGGCTCTTGTAACTGGGGATCCAAATCCTGGGTCTGTAGGCTCAACTAGTGTATCTTTCTAGCGGAACTGAGATTCCACACATGGTGCCTTTCTGAAAGCTCAAATAAAAGTCCTGGCACTTTGATTTTTATAGAAAGCAGCAATATGAATGATTTTTATAGAAAGCAGCAATATGAATTTTAAGAAAAGCTGAAAGAGGCAGTGGGGAGTCTGATTTTATATGATATTTGATTTGTATTTGAGACTAGTTAACTCAGTCAATAACAAGGCCAGATCAAAGACTAGCACTTTATAGGATCCAGGCCAATTTGTCCTATTCTATGATTGCAGACTACTCCCAGCTTTTTGGAGCCAGTTTTCTCCCCGAAGGGATTCAGGAAATAGAACTATTGCCACTACAGAGAAAGCAGATCTCTCCTCCCCTCCCCCATTCCTTCATACTCTCACATATGTTCTTTACTTATAGGTTGTATATTTTTGCTTTTGTGTTAACTTTCAACAGGTTTTTTCATCTCAAATCTGTCTTCTAGAAACTTCAGCTTCTATATCTGTGAATATGTACCTAACTGCACAATCCATTCCCTAAGTCCCTCAACTGCTCTTTTGAACTCAGATCTACACACACAAGCAGAGAAAGAACATGGGTGGAAATGGTATTTCTTGGTGCCTATGGAACTACCTGTGTTTTCTCTTTCAAGACAAGAACTTCATTACCCGACTGGCAAGTTTCTGCTTATTTTATTTAAAAGCATAGTCTTCAAAAGAGCTTTTTGATGAACTAAGACATTGGATAATCTGTCTCATAGCTAAAAAGGTCATTTGCTTTAGAAGTGTCAAAATACTGTTGTAATCTGATCTATTTTAAGGAAGGCAGGAGTTTTTGACCATTCTCTTCACAACTGTGACCAACAACCAGTACATGATTGGCACATAATAAGTGCTTGATTAATATTTATTGATTTTACGTAGGTAAGACTTCTCAGCCAATGAGGTTCCAGAAGCCTCATACCTCAAAGCATTAATGTCACATAATTTAGATAAGTAATTGTCATATGTATGGTGCAAAAAAGTACAAAAGTCAGACAACACAATGAAGAATTTGGGATTACCTTTCTAATTCATCTGTTAATTTCTAAAGAAACTGCAGCTCTAAGCTTATAAACCTGCTTTGAGCAGATGATGCTATATAACAACTTTGTTCATGTGGGAGAATGAGTGAAACCCGTTATTAGAAAGTTGGAGGTAAACATATTTACCAAAATAACTATACCACGGTAAGGGAACAGCACACTGAACACGCCATCAGATGTGGTTAAGACTCATGCTTGAGAGCAGAATATTAATGAACAATTAAATAATATATCTAGGTGGAGCAAAGGGAGCTCATAAATCAGGACAAGCTTGAATAAGAAGAACAGAACACAGTGTTTGAGTTTCCAGCCTCACTCTCAGTACCATCCATTTTGTGCACACTATTAACACCACTGAACATGAAAAATCACAAAGCAAGGGCTAAGGCAGTTTAATTGCTTCTCAAGTAAGATGGGACTGTAAAACTTTGACTTCTTCACTGCCTGCCAGACTCATCAGAGGATCTGAACAAATCACAAACTATTAGGTGAAATGTTAGGTGATACTGGTGTTCAATAAAGGGGAAAACAGTTAGGGGGAAACTTGGTTGTCATCTCTTTTCTCTTTATAAGAAAGTGTGTGTGATGATATTACTTATATATGGAATCTAACCTATAACACAGATGAACTTATCTATGGAACAGAAACTGATTCACAGACATAGAGAACAGACTAGTGGTTGTCAGGTGGCCTGAGAGGGGTGGGAGAGGGATGGATTGGGAGTTTGGGATTAGCCGATGCAAACTATTATATGTAGGGTGGATAAACAACAAGATCCTATTATATAGCACAGGGAACTATATTCAATATCCTGTATTAAGCCATAATAAAAAAGAAAACAAGAAAGATTGTGTGCGTGTGTGTGAGAGAGTGAGAGAGAGAGAGAGAGAGAGAGTGTATGTAAGGCATTCAGGACTTTTTCTAGTTATTTTATATGCATTATTTAATCTTTACAACTATCAAGGAGATATTACATCCAAACAATTAGAAGAGCACCTGATAGAGAGTATGCAGAATGTTGGAAAACTAAATACCATTACATCGTTTTAATTCTATGTTACATTCTACACTTTTAAGTCAATAAAATGGCTAGTCCTGACTGGATTTATACATATATGTGCCTGAAAAGAATTCCATTACTTCCACTAAGATGTATGTGCATTGCCTTTTTAAAAATTAATTAATTTATTTTACTTTACAACATTGTATTGGTTTTGCCATACTATGTGTATTGTCTTTAATTTCTCATTCAAGAAACACAGCCAGAAGTGAAAATTCATTTTCTCAGAAATCTTCTATGTGCTGACTGGTCTAAAGCACTATGTTTATCTATGCTCTATTTCTAACTGAAAATCCACTTAGCTGCCACATGTAGAAGAGGTCTGCTCTGTGGGAGTCAGAAGAAACTGAAAACACTGAATTATAATGTCTGTTGGCATCACCATTTGCAATCTCTCTAGGTCAAGGGATAGTTGAGAAAAAATGAGACTAGCCTTGCTTATAAAGCTTGGGAAACTTCATTGTGTCTGTCATGTGTCCTGCAACCCACCCCCAACATAGGGAACAGAGTCACCACCTATACTGCAAGTGTTTAAGTTTTCCTGAAAGTGGATTCGGGCTAGAAAACTTTCCTGTATCTTTTCCAGTCTCACTGCAACAGGAGATACTCAATTTTGATTGTACAAAAACCCTAGAACTCTGTATAGGGAGAAAAAAGAAAAGAAAAATAAAGGGGATAAGCAGTAGAAAGGCTATTTTCCTTCAAGACTTACTTGGCAACATGAGGCAGCGGGCAGGGGCATGGCTGGCAGAACCGGGGGGGTCCCCTGATGGCATCTCCAATATAGCCATCTAGACATTTCTCACAGTGCTCGCCTGTTGTGTTCCGCCGGCAGTGCTATGAGACAAAAAGATAAGAAAATTGACAAGGGCACACAAAAAATTTTATACACAGCAAATGTGGGAATCAAGCAGTATTTCAAGCAAAAGGGATATCGGGCCTGATAAAACAGATGGTGTGTAATGATACTTACTGGTCAGCACAGAGGAGCTATGCTGGCCCCAGTGGATGCTACAAAGTGTGAACCATGGGGAAGACTTCTGCACATGCACTGGCAGCCTGGGGACTCTCTTCAGAGTTGGTGTGAAGAGCAGATTATTAGTCATTCATTTCAATTCAGAATGATAATCAGAATAATCAAGCTCTGAATATCCTAGAAGAGTCAGTTTACTGACTAGGAATAAATATGATGAAAAAATAAAATCCCCTCCTGGTAAACACTAGGGGGAACATTTTAAGAATTTATGGGCTCAGAAGAATAAAATGTGTCCAAGTAAAGTATAAATGGACTAGAAGGTAGCTAAAGAATATTCAGCTAATGGGCTGGTATCTTGCGTAATGATATACGAGAAAGAGTAAGCTGGTTTATTGTGTGATTCTTCCATTTATGGTATGGATAATTGGAAGAAAAGCTCACAACAATTGATTCTTCTGCCCAGAATGCCTGTTTATAATTCAAGATCTGTACCAGGCCTTTGAGAGCTTCAGGATTCCTTCCTGCTGACTCCTCGATCCTTCCCTCCTTTCCTACGCACATTATCATCTGCTCCCAGCCTCAGGTGGCACAACGGTAAAGAACCCGCCTGCCAATACAGGAGACATAAGAGACTCGGGTTCAATTACTGGGTGGGAAGATCCCCTGGAGTAGGAAACGGCAACCCGCTCCAGTATTCCTGCCTGGGAAATCCCACGGACAGAGGAGCCTGGAGGACCACAGTGCATAGGGCTGCAAGGAGTCGGACGCAGCTGAGCGCACACAGCCAGCCAGCCTCAGCAGTGCTTCCCCTGCATGCTGAGGCATTGTACTGCCATCAACTCAAACGGAGCGGTACTCAGCAGCTGTTTGTTGAACTGGTGGATTAATGTCTCACTAGTCCTCTGTAAGAGGCATTTATGCAGGTCTACTGCTATTTTCTCCAACTGGACTAGACTAGATCCCACAGGGCAACGCCAGTAGCATGACGATGTTTTCATCTTTATCGTCACCAGAGCGTATATAAAGTTTGATTGGCTTTTCAGTGAAAAACTGTACTACTAGAATTAGAACACCACTGAAGAGACACCTACTGTTTGTGCAATTCCCTTGGTAACACCTATGCACCAGAACTTTAACAGTTAACTTTTTTCAAACAGCTCTGTGGAGCGATCTTGGGGAAGGCAAGACGGAGGGACTGTGAACTTACCTTTGAGCTCTTTGTCTCTACGTTCTATGTTGAGGTTCAAAATAAAATAATAGTGAAGTCCTGCTCTAAACATTTTATGTGGGTTAACTAATTTAATTTTCATAATAATTCTAAGGTCCCATTTTTTTTTCACACTTTACAAAATGAATAGAGATATAAGGAGGTTAAGCAAATTGCCCAGTGTTACACAGACGGTAGGTATGTCTCAAAAGTGAGATTTCAGCTCAGGCAATCTGGTTCCAGAAGTCAAGCTGGAAATTCCCGTATTATACTGCTTCTCCAGTGTGTTGGAGAAAAAGTTCCTTTCCCAAAAGAGTCATAAAATGACTGCATTGGAAACTGTAATACTGTTTCACTAACAGTTTGGACTTCAAATCAAGCGCAACACACTAGACAGTGGGCCACACCTATCATGGTTGAACAGTCTTTAGCCAATTGATAGCCATCAGACGTGGACCACCTTTGACTCCTGATTAGAATTATGTTAACAGAATAGGATTAAGAGGCTACTTCAGGACACCTGACAGATGAGAAACTGAAAAATAGAGTGTGATGTGCAGACAACAAGATGTTAATATATTTCCCTCACTGTTCGTAGTGCTGCATCACGTGATGAGTGAATTTTCAGCAAATATTCGTTGAAAAGAAAGAGGAAGGCCGAAGTGGGAAAGGGTGAATTAGTATCTGGAGCAAGTAAAGGAAATTCACACACACCCAGAGCCAGCTCAAAACTGGTGGCAGTCTCTTATCCCAGGGAAAACCAATGAGCCCTGTCCAACCACCCAGAATTTAAGCCATAAGCCCCCTGTTTCCCAGGGGGCACTAGTGGTAGAGAACCCACCTGGCAATGCAGGAAATGTAGGAGACATGGGTTCGATCCCTGGGTCGGGCAGATCCCCCTGGAGGGAGCCATGGCAACACATTCCAGTATTCTTGCTGGGACAATCTCAAGGACAGAGGAGCCTGGCAGGCTATAGTCCACAGGATTACAAAGAACTGGACATGACTGAAGCAACCTAGCATGCAGCACAAGCCATAAGCAATCTGGCAGGGCTGCTCTCGAGTGGGGTCCAACGCATCCTAGTCCTTGTTGGACAGATGAAACCCATCTGTGCAGAAGAAAACAGGACTGTTGTCAGATGTCAGACCATTCTTTGCGACTCCATGGGTGCTTTGGCTTCCTGGTCAGGGCCCTATTTCTGCCATGGCAGCCACAGGGAGCAGTTACCCTCAAGGGCAAAGCCTCCAAATCACTATGACCTCCAAGTGCTCAGACTGCAAACACTGACTTTAATCATCTGCCTTCTTTTAAAGAACTTGCTATGAAATTTCCTAAAAGGTAAATGAAGTACATTCTGAGATTGGCAGGGACAGTGCTGGCAGCAGGGAGAATTCCCTAGTTCATCCGGTTTCTAGATGGTTGAACTTGAACAAGTCAGTTGACTTTTCTAGGTCTCTATTCTCTGTCTGTAAAACAAAGATCTAGCTGAGACAGTATACAATGTTTCTTAAATCTTTTACTCTGAGACTGCGAATATCCTTTACCTTCATTGTTCTGCCATTTAAAAACCAGAAAGGAAAAAAATGACAACAATAAATAGTATGTTGTTGTTGGGAAAATTAAAATTAAATTAATTTTTTTAATAAAACTGACCTCACTTAAAAAAGAAAAAAGCATTCTGAATCTTTGGCCAATGGTTAAGAAAGCCACGTCTGGACAATCAATCGCAGATTAGGTGTCAGGAATGACATCTGGGCACCAGCTGTGTCTCCTTCATGTGAGAAATGGAGGCTCTAGACACCTGGGCCACAGCACCAATATAAGGTGAGAAGAAAGCCTAAAAAGATCAGGTTAGTGGCTGGTCAGATGCTTCATGGGTCACTGTAGTCTGTCTAGACTTGTGGTTCTCAAAATATGTCCAGGGAGAAGGCAGTGAGAAGCTCACTGAGGCTGGAATAGAAATCCTTGAAGGATTTTAGAAAAGGGGATGCCTTGATATAAATTGTTTTTAAAAAATATCTCCATTGCTAGTGAGGAAGACAGATTAGGGAAGGAGAGTCTGGAGCAGGGCATCATGAGTAGTTGGGAAAGTGTACTAGTCGTCAGGAAGGGATGCTGTGGGCATGAATTAAGACAGCAGGATGGCGCAGAACAGAGGAGGCTCTCTCCTAGGTTGAACTAGTAGGGTTTGGTGTCCAGCTAAACATCGGTGAAAAGAAAAAGGAAGCTGATGAAGCATGCAGGACATCTAAGTATGGAGGATTGGCAGAATGGTGCTGTCATTAACTGAGGTGGGGAATACGAAAGGAGAGACATGATCAGGGTTGGGAGAAGGAAAAACAATGTATAGAGAACTTATTACCTGTATTAGTTCTCGTCATATTATTATGCTAGGGGCATAAAGCACCAGGGGACTCCACTGGGCTAGCCATCCTTAGAATCCTTTGCACGTGTAATTTTATGACTTTATCTCAAAACTTGAGCTAGCATGGAAAGAAATCACTATTTGCAAAATTTGGGCTTTTCCAAGCTTGCAACAGATTGGAAAATTGTCAAGATTTTAATGTAAGAATTATGCTCTTGATTTAGATACTAATTTTATAGTTGCATGTAAAACATGAAAAAAAATTCCCTTTTTCTCAGTTTCTTCTTTCTCTTTGACACCTAATGAGGGTGTTGGTTTACCGATCACATGTGTAGTCTTAAAGGGACTTAGATTGGTTGATTTTGGCTTTGCACACACAAAGGAGAGTCTGAAAGTCACCAGAAAAATGCTACAGAAATTAGAGATGTAAAATCTTTGCTTTCCTGAATTAGGTTTTAATTAGGCTTTGAGAGTAAAATTCATTAGCCTTAAATATGCTGAATTACTTCCCTTTCTCCATTGTGCTTAGGGTGAGGTAGTAGTTCATCTGAACATCAATCTTTTTAATTATAAAATTACTACAGATAGTTGTAGAACACTTGGGCAGGTATACTACAAAGCAAAAAGACGAAAATAACAATCCATTCACATTTCTACCAGCCAGATGTGAACACTTAACAGCTTGATGGTTTTCTCTCTAGGTTTCAATTATGTTTTTGCGGTTGAGTGGTTTCAAATCTATTTTCATTCAGATTTAGCTTTTTTTTTTCCCCTGAAATTCTGGCACAGACCTCAAAATCTCTTTATCTTTTTTTTTTGATTGTTACTGAACAAGTGGGGGTTTCTGCATAGATTTCTGAAGCTCTCATGGCCCTTGTGCTTTGAAGTTCATCACACTGGTCACATGCACAGGCATTTTCAACTAGTGTTCTGCCCTACAACACTTCAGTCCACACAGTGGAGGCCACTTAACCCAGATCCTAGAATAGTGTCAGGCAGATAAGTGGTACTCAAAAAATGCTTATTTGTTAAGTGGATAAATGAAATCAACAAATCAATCCTCAGTCAAAAGAATCTAAGGATCCCTGTGTAAGTGGTGAATTTCAAGTCAGATTTTCTCCACCCTAGTTCTGGTCAGTGGGCCCCATGCTTTCTGCTAATGATGAAGCACCAGTTCTTTAGATGGTAACTGGCCTTAGTCATGACCTCTTCTTGGCTCTCTGTACCTAGCCTCTAGAACTGGGATAAAGTATGGGTTATCAGGGACCAGGCACTCCCATCACTAGCCATCTGTCTGCTCTATTTCTACACCTTAATTCCTTTCTCATGCCTCTTTCAGGTGCTTTCCTAGAGAATCTACCATGCCCACTGGAGCTGCCTGGCCTCTGGGGCTCTGCCTGGCTGATTCTGCTGAAAACTCTGCCCAATGCACCAAAATTCTGATAAGATGCAAGGCAGCCCTTTGAAAAGACCATCAATACATACTGGATTTCATTAGTTGAGCTACTTGTCATTTGGCCACCTTTCTGCATTTGAAGAATTGGCAATCCTCTTGTAAAGAAATCTCTAAGTTTTTTGGTATGTCTAAAATGGTAGCATAACTTTGTCTACTCTCTGCATTTTATTGTCAAATGGCTTAGTTTCTTAAATTCAGTTTGTAAAATACAAGGTTAAATTGAAACTGAATATGGGAATGGAGGGAGAATTAAAAACAAACAGGGGAAGATAAGACAGAGGAATTACAAGCCTTCAAAATAAAATGAAACAAAAGAAGGCTGTTTATTTTTGGTTGCTTATGCAACCAAGGTGGGAGAAATGAATTAGGTCAGGCAAACTGTAAGAGCTGACTGAAACCCTGGTGCCCAGAGTGAGCTGCCAGGTGTCAGGTGGAGCTGAGAAAGAGCCGGGGTTACAGCTCCTAAGAGCAGGAGCTGAGAAGCTGGCCCTGCTTGACCAGCAAACTGGAACAAGCATGAAAAAGGAAACAGAAAAATATGAGTTTGATTTCAATGTGCCACCACAGACAATGTATTTGCCAACTAGGTAACAACATATTTTTTTCATATTGGCAAGTCTCTTCTGCCTCCTCACTTACATTTAATGTTAGTCACTCAGTCGTGTCTGACTCTTTGCAACCCCATGGTCAGCAGCCCGCCAGGCTCCTGTTCATGAAATTCTCCAGGCAAGAATATTGGAGTGGGTCACCATTTCCTTCTCCAGGGGATCTTCCTGACCCAGGAATTGAACCTGGTCTCCTGAATTGCGGGCAGATTTTTTAGAGTCTCAGTCACCAGAGAAGCCCATCATCTAGTCTTACTTACCTAATTAAATTTACAGGAATATAGACACATGTTTAGCTCTTGGAGATAAGATTGTGTGTGACTTCTCACTCTGGATTCCATGTATAATATATATCTATGTTTTTTTGTTTGTTTTTTTTACTTTGAGCATATATTACTTTAATCGGGGAAAAGACACTTCCCTCTAGGTAGGGTGAGGTGGAGGGACCACTTTTAGGATAAGTAAGATGGCTTTTTTTATGTTCTGTCTTGGAACAAAGTAATTACAGGAAGACTGGCAACTGACCTGAGTGTGTTTATAAATGTTTATAACCAAGTCCATCCCCAAACTTTTATCAGAACCTTGTATGCCCCAGGAACTATGAAGGAATCACATGACGACCGCCCCCTTTGGAAGCTCAAATCCAGGTCAAAGATAAAACCACGATAGCTCCTTTTTTGACAAGGTCATTGTAAGGAAGAGTTTTATCATAGCTCTCCATAGGCATAACCTCCCCCCCTTTAATTTATTTCAGTCTTCCATCTTACTGACTGCCTAAAAGCAGCTGATGGGCTGGCCAGTCCCTATTGTCTTACACTTAAATAAACCAGATAACGAAGAGCCCTTAATTGGTCAAATTATCAGAGATGTACATTATTAGTTCAAGTGCATTCATGGGATTCTCTTTTCAAATGTCACTGGGATTAAAATAACAGGAAACCGGAGATGGAAGCATTAGAAAGGGGTCGATTTGGCAGCTGCGTGTGCCTACACTGCTACAGAGGACATCCTGGATGTAATGGTTATTTAAGAAGATGGGGGAAGGGGACAATAGAAACACCAGGACTAAACAAACACTACAATGCATTAGCAACCTTTAGTGTTTGCCACTTACTTCTGTCCCTAGAAAAATGTGAATTGTTAGGTTTAAAATAAATGGAAATGTTCTAATTTGCATCTTAATGGAATGCATGAGTAAAATAACACCTTCATGTACACACCATGAAGACCACTTATAATCAAAACCATCTGCCTAATGCCATTAATTATGCTAATTTTGAGGTAGATAGGTGTATTTAAGTATTCTTGCAGTTTCCAGTTCATGCAAAAATATTCTTGCCTTTTGGAAAGCTTCTTTTGCCTCATGGGAACTAGAAGAATCCACTTCTGCTATGTAGTATAGCTCATGAAGGAAAACATGATCTTAGGGTTTAAGTCTTTAAAAATGCCTCCTACGACTTCTACTGAAGTCACTTCTGGTAAATATTTCAATCCCCATTTTCACTAGGTTTTCAATACATTCAGTGAAAATGGGAAATATGTAGCAAGCACTTTTGCTAAAAGGTTTCTCACTCTCCTTCATAAATCTCTATCATGTTTCACTGTCTACTAGAAAATTCATTCCAGTTAAGGGGGAAGAAGTCTCTGGGGGCTTGATTACAGAGTTACAAAGACCACAAAGCCAAAGTTTTCATTTTTATTAGCTATTGGGTTCAAATATTTTTTTTAAGGAAATTTTGATCTATAGACCTGACAATCTTAAGTTATAAAATAGGCTATGAAACAACTGTTTTATTCTCCTGGTTAATGTGGAGTGAAGCCAAACATATGGCAAACTATACTATTACAGAGGAATTTGGATGGATGGTTTCCTCCTCTGTGTATTATTTTTCAGGCCTATCCCCAATGGCCGATAGCTGGAAACCAGCTGCTGCAGGTAGTGGGGTAGTTACCACCAGCGACAGGGGCACATTCACAGATACACCTTGGTGGCCACTTACAATCATAAGCAGTTTATATGAGGTGTTTTACAGGAAAAGATGAAGGGTAAAGAGAAAGCATGATTAGCAGTTTGCTCCTCCGTAGCTCAAACGTCCAGGAAGAATATTTCATCTCCACCAGAGATGCAAAGGCTCCGTGAAATATATGAAAAGTGACAGATGCCCCCGACCTACCACACAGAGTCCTGAGCCGTCCAAGCACTCGTTTGAATTACCATTACAGTCACAGGGCAAACATTCTTCGGAGAAGGAAAAGAAGAATCCAGCGTCGCATTTCTGAAACAGACACAACAAAAGCATCTTCATCATTGAAAAGGTCAATTTTGGGGACCATTTTCTGGGAGTAGCAAGAGATGATTAGTAAACAATCTACATATTTCTTTACAGCACACATACAGAAATGAACTATTTATGCTAACATTCAATTGTCTTTGTTATATATCTTTCTTTCCTCTTTTCCCACTCTGCGGTTTTGGGGGGCTGCGGGGGAGTACTCCGGACGCAGTCGGGACACCGCGAGAACCGATGGCGCCCAATTCTCGCGATGTGCAGCTGCCTGCGATCACCGTGATCTCGTCTGCACCGCGCAAACTCCCGTCACTTTCTGAGGACAACAGGAAAGCCTTTAACACCGTCCAACGTTGTTAGGAAGAATGACAAGATTTTAGGTAACAATGAAGGAGAAATTTTTTAATGTTTCCTTTCATTCAAAAACAAGACAAAACAAAAACACATCAGGGTGAAGAACTACATCGTGCTCCCTGTGAATACTTAACGGGTTGAGAAATTATTGGCTGTGGCCAATAACGACTTAAAAGATGTGCCTCATAAAGTTGTACCCTTAAAAAAAATCCTTTTTTCAGATCCTAAAGTTTTGAACGGAGGGGTTAGGAAGTTAATAAATCCTTACACATGGCGTGGATTGTGTGTAGGTGCCGTCCCTGTAATTTGTTTATCCGCGTGACTGAGAGATTCATTGTTTTCCTTCCTTCTAGTGGTGAGATAATTAAACCTGGAGATGCTGTGGGTTGTGACGGTAAACTGCCTTGCATTTATTTGCTGAATGGTCCTCCCCAAATGTCACTAGGAGTCAGGTTGAGAAACTATGAGATTGTTCCTCGTTTATGCCATGGTTCCTGGCTTACAGATATGTATTTTGCATTTCTTTGGAATGTTTCAGCGCTGCAAGGCAGAAATGCCATGCCGTCACAGGTCTGGAAGTTCAGTCCTAGCCTATCAGGCAGATTTACATCTAAAGAATTCCAGACAGATAAGAATCTGGGTTGTTTCCACAAACTTAGAAAGTAAGAGGGTTCCCATCACACCCCCCATTGACTCACTGTAGTTTGTACTGTCCTTTGACCAGGAAACCTGGCTGAGGTCCCTGACTGTTACACAAAGCCATTTCCTCTTGCTTGTTTCTCTCTAGAGAAAGACTCACTAGATACCATTCACAGTATAAAAACACTGTAGTCCTAAAACGAAAATTTAATATATTCCATTTGAAAGAAGTTTCATAGAGCACAATGACTTTTTTTTTTTAATAAAGAAAAGGTGAAGAAATTCTGTCTTTCTAAGTGAAAAGGCTGAGAGGGGACCAATTTATAATGGAGACTTTTATAGTTGATGGTAAGACTTTTTTTTCAGGTTCCACTAGGGAACAAAAGAGAGGAAAATGTGCTAAAATTGCTGTAGGAAGCATTTAATTCAGTCCACCTAATTTCACATATGGTGAAATTTTTAATTATAATAGGAATGGATAACAGTAGTGAAGGACTTAGTATTAGTTATCTCAGGAGCCTCCAAACCAGTGGTTTCTGTTTTCTAACTGCCCAAGTTAAGGACATTTGATTTGGGGAAGTTTCTGATTCAGTAGGTCTGATGGTGAAGCAAAAGAATCTATATTTTTTAATAAAATAAATATTGTATTTTAAAAATTGTTTAACTCTTTCCCCCAGTCTCATTGAGATATAACTGACATATAACATTGTAAGTTTAAGATAAAAAACATGCTGATTTGAGAGTATGGATTGCAAAATGATTACCACCATAGCATTAGCTAACAGCTCCATCTTGTCACATAATTACCATTTCTTTTTTGTGATGAAAACATGTAAGATTTGCTCTCTTAGCAACTCTCAAATGTATAATACCTTTATTACTAACTGTACATTAGATAACCAGAATTTGTTAGCTTTTTAACCGGAAGTTATACTCTGACCAACCTCTCTCAGTTTGCCTGTCTCCCATCCCAGCCCCTGTAACCACCATTCTGGCCTCTGTTTCTATGCCTTCCAAGGAGTGGGGCAGAGATCGGTGGTGTATTTGAAACAGAAAAACACACTGGTGGTGGCAGAGAGTCTGGAAGCAGTATATGAAAAGCAGTACATGATGCCTGGAAGCAGTACATGGAAAGCTCTACTTGTACCATCAACTATAGTAAAGACCTTCCTGTAGCCCAAGGAATCAAATTTCTGTAAGGGTGTTTTAAATTGATAGTAGCTCAAGTCTTTTAGGCATTCTTGCAGCTCTTTCTTCTGAAGCAGACAAAGAAAATTAAGATTTGCCCTGAATGAATGCATCATTTTAAATATGACAGTGACTAATCTCTTATATCCCTAAAGCCCTAGCTAAATTAAGAGACTCATTTTTAAAAAACTAAAATTACCACAACATAGGAAAAAACCCAAAAAGCAACAAAAATGGGAAGATTTTGTACTTTAGAATAATTTTAGGTTTACTGAAAAAATTTGAGGGATATGTATATTTAAAAGACCCCATGAAATTTCTTTGTGAGACCAGGTTTAAAAAGATTATTTCAAAGAGGCACTCACAGTGATTTGTACACAGTCATTGCTCTATGAACGCTTGTGATTTGAATGGTTTGGACTAGGATAGGACATCTGAGGCATACATACTGGTTGGAAACCAGTGGTTAATCCTGCTAATCCACTCACTGCTCTCTACTGGGGCTGCACTGGGTCTGCAGTCTTTCTCATCACAGTTCAGGCAACCATTACCTAGACTGGACTGTGTACTAGATGAAATCTTTACTTTATGCCAAGTTCAGGAGGTGACTTCACTCTGTCATTATCCACTTACCCACCCACTAGGCAAAGGCTCTGACCTTATGTGAAAGAGGTCCTGGCTCAGGTCTCATACTGTGGGAGATGGGTAGAGAAGGGAGGCAGGGACAAGGTTGTGTGGAATAGTTATTTGGCCCCCTGCTGAGAGGGCAACAAAAAAGTTGGAAGCCTGGCCAGCTCCTTTGTTGCTGGGTTTTGCACACCTGGAAGGATTGTATTTTTTAACTCATCTATCCAGAAGGGAGGCAACATTTTAAAATTCACATGAAGGCACCACTATTGGATAATAAAAATCCTGGATATGGGGAGCTTCTCATGCCATTAATAGACCCCATACACTTGATACCTTAGACCTTGCATAGTAGAACTTTAGAGAATTTCTTGGAATGGTAGATTGTTGAGTGGTTTGAGAGAAGCTAGAGTATCCTTAGGAAGAGTGTTTAAGGCTGATTCTTTCATGTAAAAATATTTCACCATTTTCCCCCAGAAAGTTCTGTTAATTTTTACTAAATCTCTTCTTGAAATTCTATAGAAACTGACAAAATTGACCTTTGTGATATTTTTAAGAATGAAAATGTGGCTATTTTTTTAGTTTTGCTCCTGCTTAACAATCTTTTAAGTAATCCAAGACCTGTGATGTTTAGAGGCCTGTGAAGACTCTTGAGAGTCCCTTGGACTGAAAGGAGATCTAGCCAGTCCATCCTAAAGGAGATTAGTCCTGGGTATTCATTGGTAGGACTGATGTTGAAGCTGAAACTCCAATACTTTGGCCACCTGATGCGAAGAGCTGACTCATTTGAAAAGACCCTGATGCTGGGAAAGATTGAGGGTGGGAGGAGAAGGGGACCACAGAGGATGAGATGGTTGGATGGCATCACCGACTCAATGGACATGGGTTTGGGTGGACTCCGGGAGTTGGTGATGGACAGGAAGGCCTGGCGTGCTGCGGTTCATGGGGTCACAAAGAGTTGGACATGACTGAGCGACTGAACTGAACTGAACTGAAAGCCAAATAGTCCTCTTACAAAGAAAATATTACCTGTCTGCTTTCCTTGAAAGTATTCTCCAGAATTTACTAAACAAAGATGTTTTTGTATATATACATGTGTGTGTAAGCAAGAGAAGAAGTCTTAAAATCTTTCAGTGCCACCCTGAATCCTCTTGCCTTTCTAAGACTGACCTACAGACAACTGTATAACACATGGGTGGGTGATTTAGAGAGCACTGGGGGGATTTGTACCTTCTGGCATGGTGCCACAACCTTTGAAAAAATTGATGATAATAATAAGGATGATAATTGCAATAATGATGATAATCATAATATAATTACTATTTACTGAAAGTCTATGTACCAAGTATTGTGATGAGTATTTTATCAATGTTATAGTATTTACTTTTCATAGCAACTCTGTGAATTAGATGTAAGTATCTGCATTTTGGGCTTCCCAGGTAGCTCAGCTAGTGAAGAATCCGCCTGCAATGAAGGAGATCCCAGTTCAATTCCTGGGTTGGGAAGATCCCCTGCGGGAACGCATGGCAACCCACTCCCCATGGACAGAGGAGCCTAGTGGGCTACTATCCATGGGGTTGCAAAGCTCTGACATAACTGAGCGACCAAGCACAGCACAGCAGAGCACTTGGGTTTTAGTGTGAACAGACTGTGAGGGAAGATTAGCAGTGTGTCCAGTATCACAGGGATTTGTGAGAGGTTCAGACTGGCCCGAGTCTTGTTTCTCTACTATACCATAATGCCCCTCGTAAATAAGTACATTTTTAAAATGTATTTAATTTACATTTTAAATTAATTGAGCATAAATATCTGCCATGCTTAAGTCACTGCTTTGGTCATGTTGTATAGGTCTTTTGTTTTTACCCTACCATAGCCCTATGAGGTAGCTTCTATTACCTTCATTTGGCTGATCAGATCTGTGTGGCTTGTAGTAATTGTTACCCAGATCAAATAACACAGATAAGAAATGGTGGACCCAGAAATTAGATCCATTGTTTGACTATCAATTTGAGCTGTTGACCATCTGGTGTACCATTAATATATGCTAATCAAACCCTTTTTGTTGGGCATTCAGGTTATTTCCAATGTTTTACTATTATAAACAGCAAATCCAAAGCAGGCTAAAATGAATAAAAATGTAAAATCTCTCATTTAAGCCCCAGAAAAAAAAAAAGGTACATGCTTAAAAATATATCCAATTGTTAATATATAAAAGTCACTGAATCAGAATATTTACTTTCTAAACAAGTTACTTCAGCTACATTGTTGTTTTGACCAATTACTTTCCACTAAATCACTTGTAGACCTTTTACAGCTCTCCAATATTAAGCCACTCTGTTACTACAGCTTGCCTCCTGCTCTGACACTGAGATTGGATTAATCAATAACATTTACTTCTGCCTTTGAAGAATAAGAGTTAAAATTGCCCTTTGCTTACTTTGTTATGATTAGTGTGATGTCTGACTTGGAGTAAAAATCAATGTATGTGTACTTGACTAATTTTATATTTATAGAAATTAGAACTAGATGGTCCTTAGGAGGAAATTAGTGTGGTATATGCATGTGCCACTTA